CAGAGGCTCAAAGAAGTGGGGAGTTTGATGTGGAGATGCTGAGAGGCACAGGGAGGGAGAAGGAAAGGCGTCCACCATGAGGGAACAGAAGAGGCAAAGGCACAGAGGAAGGCACAGTGGAGGTCATTGGTGGAGGCAGCACTTATAGTCGCACCTCCCAGGGCCTGCAGTTTAGTAGTGGCCACTGGGCCTGTCACCCCGCTCCTGGGTCAGAGCAGAAGCCATCCGGAAGGTGGAGTGGGGACCTTAGCTTCCTAGTGCTAAGTGGCCCGGGCACCTCTGCCACAATAGGGGGGCAGAGGTGTGTGGGATGGAGATGGGTCTGTGGGAGATGGGATGCCCCCCCCGCCCCGTCAGAGAAGAAGAGAGGAGGGGCTGGCTCTTTTCTGAGCTCTATGCGGGCACATTATCTCCATAGCTGCGACCTCATCCTCAGGTGAGGAAGCCAGTGTTCAGGAAGATTTAGAGGCATATCCGAGGTCACCCAACAGGAAGGGCAAGGCCAGGACTTCCCCATGGGGACAAAGGAGAAACACAGAGGACATTGTGGAAGAGAGCCAGGGAGCCCAGGGAGGAGCTGGCTTCTTCAAGTTCAGTCTTCTTAGCACTTCTGGAGGTGGCTCCAGGCAGACAGGCTGTCATTGGTGACACTGGTGACCCAGGGCCAGGAAGGCTGGCTTTTCTCCTCTCTAGAAACAGGTCAGATGGAGTGAGCAAACAGGCCTGGACTCTGCCTTTTCCTTTGACTTCCAAAAGTCCTGCCCTCCTCCAGTGGGGGGAACCACTGGACTCGGGCATAGGGTCCCTGTCTCTGTCTCTTAATCTCTGTATCTCACCCCAGGGAATATTCCCAAACCCTCCGAGGTGTCAGGACAGATCAGATTGCCACTTCACTGCACACCTCTGTGCCAGGCCTGTGGGGTCTGAAGTACTGCTGCTGCTATTATTATCGCTGCATGCCCATTTTACAGGTGGGAAAGCTGAGGCTGGGGATTAAAGTGCCCTTCCCTGACAATGGCAGGGAAGCCAGAGTGGTTCCTGAGCCCCATAGTCTTCCACTGTCACAGCACCGTTGACTGTAGGTCTCACTCTCTAAAATGAAGTGCTAGCAGGAGCCCAGCCATCCTTAACTGGGGTGGGGGTGGGTGGGGGGATGGCTTGAGGCATTGGTGAGGGAGTGGTCTGGAGGGGCCTCCCAGGCAGCTGTGGAGGGGGGTCTGCTGATGTACCTCTCTGTAGGGGACAGCGAGGGTGAGGACCAGGCAATGGGGACAAGAGACTCCTCCCATTTAAGCCCTGGTGCATCACTCCCTGGTCCCTGGGTCACATGGTGGGAGAGGCCTGAATCCCAGGGAGACTCAATAAAATAGGGGACACAAGCCAGGCTCATTCCCCGCTTCCCTCCCCCAGGCATCCGGCTTGGGGGAAGAAGTGGGGACAGGCCACCTCTGGGATGCATGACACAGTAAGGGGCCACCCCCTAACCCCCCCGCAAGTGAGTAACACGCCCCACCCCAGAAGGGGTGACACATATCCAGGGTTACAAGGACTCAAACCCAAGCTGCCCCATCAAAGCTTGTACTTTTCCCAATCCCTGGTCACAGGGGCACTGGACTGTCCTTCCCCCAGGAGGAACAGGAGGCTCTGAAGGGAGGACTGAAGGTCTGAGCTGGGTCTGCATCCTGCACTTTAACCAGCCGCTCAGGAGGGGCTGGCTTGTCCACCTGCTGCTGAGAGTTCCCCAAGACACCTGATTTTCTGCCCAAGTGCCACAGGAACAACCCGAGATGGCAGTGGGTTCAAACCCTGGTCACCTCGCTTACAAGCAAAGGAATTTTGTTTTGACTGGTCTAGCCTCAGTTTACCCATCTATAAAGTGAGGCTTTCTGCTCCCTGTCCCCTTCCTGGGGTTTTTCAAGGATCCCAGGAGCACTGGGACAACTCTAAAAGTCAGTGTCATGTCACTCTTCAGGTTGGCTACCTGGGCTCAGGCTCTTTCAACTAGGCAAGAGGGCATCTGAGGTCACCTGCTGCATGTGGGGACCCAGGCAGGGTGAGGGCTGGCCGGGTGAAGTGTGGGGACTGGCCAGGATGCAATGGGGTCCCAGAGCTGCGTGCCGACAGCAGTTTCCCAAAGCAGGAGAAGGAGGCAAAGGTAGGGGGAGCCCCAGCCCGTCCTCATCCAGAGTGAGATCAGGAGTGAGGTCTGGGAGGGCATGGAGGTTAAGAGGCCAGAAGGGCCTTGACGTCCAAAGACGAGTATAGTTTGGGGGTCAGCAAAGCAGGAAGGTGTGTTCCAAGCAAACGTAGGGACATGAAGGTGAGACTATGGCCAGGTGAGCTGGGCGGGTGGACTAGGGCAGCTCCTGTTCCTCACGTGCACAAGGACGGGGACGGAGGAATGGTGGGGAAGGGGTGCTACACAGGACTCAGAGCAGGGAAGAATAAGTCAGGACCAGATCGTCACCTCTGAGCACTGCCAGCTGCTCTTCCATGTGCTAAGCACTTCCGGACTTCCCCTGCGGGCCTCTCCAGGCCAATAGGCTTGGTGCTTAACACTGCTCCAGGCCTCAGTTTCCCCATGTGTAAAATGAGGACAGTGTATAACACAGGCCGCTCCCCAGGAAGTGGGTAAATAAATAAATGGAAGTGGTTAGAGGTAGCCATGACAGCGGCAGGTGTGCAACCCCAGGGCAGGTCTGTGTGACCCCAGGACACTCTGTGTGACCCCAGAGGCCAAAGTTTCAGTGCTCCTGCATATTCTGGCTACTCGTAATAGTATGGTTGACATTGCTATGGATACTAATAGCTAAATAAATGCTCATATTGAGCTGGATACTGTTCAAAGTGCTCCCGATGCAACAATACACGTAATTCTCATAAGATCCTATGACATAGGAACAATCTTACAGATGAGAAACTGAGGCTCAGAGAGGTTAAGCCAGTGGCTTGAGGGGAACCAGAATTTGAATCCAGAACCCAAGCTCTTCTTCAACACTGCAGTTATGACCTACTGGGTTCACCCACTTCCAGAGTTTCGCTCCATTTTGGTGCCCAGGAGCTGATTTTACAAGCCCCTTTCCCCTGCCCAGCAACTCAGAGAGCTCTGCGGGATCCCCATCTTGGGAAACCTGCCAGAGAGAACTGACCTCCACCCCTCCCCAGAGCTAAGCAGAGCAACAAGAGCAGTGGGGAGCTACAGCAGGTTACTGAGCAGAAGTGGGGCTCGCATCAGCAGACCCTGGGACGTTGTCGTGTGGAGTGAGGAGGGAAGTGGGGTCAGCCAGGCGGCTCGAGTATCAGGTGGCATACAAGGCCCTGCCCCTCCACCTCACCCCTCAGTCTCTGAGGACCTAGGGGACAGATGGCATCACCCAGGCCTGGGCTGTGACTGTCACTCAGCCAGATGAGTTACAAACAGGCCGAAGGGGCGGCAGCAGGGAGGCTGCAGAAACAATAGCATGGAGACCCAGGACAATGGGGGGCCGCGTGCCACTGGGGCAACAGTCGTTTGTCGTACAATGGGCCACCGGGGACCAACAGCAGGGCCAACTGTTGCCCCTGACACAGGCCAGCTGAGTTTTCAAATCATTTCCAGGCCGTGTTTTCCTATGAGGCAGCCAATGGTGGGGCAGCCGGGCAGTCACCTGATCCCAGCTTCCTGGGTTGAGGGCCCAGGCCTTGTGACAGCTGAGCAGCTGTGGTCATGGCAACGCTAATTGTGGCCCTAAGACACAAGGAGAAGAGAGGGCGGAGAGCTGGAGGAGGGGAAGACTCAACGAGTGGGCTCCAGGACAGGCCTGTGGCCCATGCAAACCAGAGGCCGCGGTTAACCAGGTCCCCTGTCTCCCTCCCTCCACTCTCTCTGAGCCTGACCCACCTGATGTCGAAACTCAGAGCTTCAAATTTGGACTGTGTGTCTTGTTGCAACAAAACCGACTGTGCCCGGATGTGGAGTGGCACAGGCGTGGGAGCTTCTGCTGCTGCTGGGAGGCTGGTGGCCAGTGGCACACATGACTTCGGGGATAGCTAGGAGGCCTATCCCAACTCGGGATCCCTGACTGGGGTCCGTGACAGCAGCTTTTCTCTGTCCGTGGCAAGCAATGTTTGTGCTCAGGAGTCCTGGGAGGGGTGGCGGGCGCAGGTCCTGACTGGATTCTCCGTGATGGTGGGAAAGGGCTCTGGGCCACATGGGCCATCCCCACCCTTCTGTGCCTCGAGCAAGGAACTCAGTACTCTGAGCCTCAGTTTCTCCTGCTGAAGAGTTCTTCAATACAGGTTAAATATCCCTTACCCAAAATATTTGTGACCAGAAGCGTTTCACAGTTAGAATTTTTCAGATTTGGGAATGTTTGCATATAATTAGATAGAAAAAAAGATAGACAACCAGATAGATAGATGTTAGACCGACAGATAGATGATAGATAGATAGATGTTAGCTAGACAGACAGATAGACAGACAACAAGATCTCTTGAGGACAGGACACATGTGTAAACATGAAACTCATTTGTTTCATACAATTTGTGCACACAGCCGCAAATGCACTAAGGTGTGGGATGTTCGTCTTGTGGCATTGTGAGGCACTCAGTAAGTTTTGGATTTTGGAGCATTTCAGATTTGGGATTAGGGATGCCCAAGCTGGTGTAGTAATACCCTTTGCCTCATAGGATGGGTGACTGGGCTCTTAAGTGGGTGAACACTCTGAAGGGCTTGGCCTTGCCTGGCACATAGAAGCACTCAACAAACATTAGTGCTGATTATTTGTGGAGTAGGTACTAAGTATGCTGTGTTCAGTGGGCTGATGTTTGAGGTCGTGCTGTCGGGCTGTGAACCCTAGGGCTGGCTTCTCACACCCAGAGCCAAGGAGGGCAAATTGGCAGGCAGGAGTGGCTTAGAGAGGCGAGGGGCTAAGGGGTGTTTCCAGAGATCAGGAAGCCCCCCCAAAAAAAAACTGGCCAAAACTCCCCCTCCCGCCCGAGCTCCCTGCTCCTCTCTGCAGCCTCGTGCCGCCCACCAGTGACGATGACCTCCCTGGGGACCTGCAGTCATTGTCGTGGCTCACAGCCGTGGATGTGCCTCGGCTGCAGCAGCTGGCGAATGGCCGCATAGACGTGGGCAGACCCAGTGTACCACATCCACACCCAGGTAGGCTCGAGGTGGGGCGGGGTGTCTCCCAGCCCCCCCACCCACCTATGGGGTTGGCCGTGGATGGGTCCCTCGATCTCACTCTCTCTTTCTCTCTGGGCCTCTATTTCCACATCTGTAAAATAGGAGCAACCCTACCTTTGTCAGAGGGACCTTTGCTTACTGGACACGATACCAGCCCAGGGTGAGCTGAGGTGGCAGTAGAGAATAAAGACACACCTGCCACTCTCCTGGCCATGTTGAATGTCATTCTTATATTTGTCAAGGATTGTAAAGAGACAAACAAAAAAACCAAACCAAAGATGGATAGTTGGCAAGTCCTAAAATGCTTGCTCTGTAGCCCTTTAGAAGAGATGTATGCTGCCCTATTCTAGAAGATTCCAAGGGAATCCTGGCACACAGTAGGTGCCCATAAATGGCAGCTAGTTGTGATCTCAGCAAGTGGGTCAGATGCTGAAAACACAGAGGGTTGAAGAAAAACAAAACAGTGACAAAGCAGTCACTCAGCTCATTAAAGAGTCCATCAGTCATTTCCTGAGACTGAGCAAAAGGTATCCAGAGAGGGTCAGAATGCTCCCTTAGGGACCAGGAAATATGTTTTTTATTTTATTATGGTTTAATGAGACATGCTTTCACCGTGTAGCTCATGCTGTTCCCAGCTGTGGGCACCATTCCTCCAGCTTCTCTGTGCCTCCCTCCTACAGGTGCCTTGGCTAGGGCAGCTGACTTGCGTGTGGGAACCAGCCCAGGTCCCCTGCTCCACGGGCCTGCTGGCATGGCCCCCCGAGGCATGCTGGGCCTAGGCCCTGTGACCAGCCATGGAGCCAGTGTAAGTACCACCACACGGCTGGGGAGGGAGGAGGGTGTCCCCGGGGGCTACTCACCCTGACCCTCTGTCTCTTTCCCTCCTGGTCCCTGCAGATGCGCCAGTTCCCAGTGGGGGGCCAGCCATCCTCCAGCCTGCAGAGCACGCCACCACTGTACGCACCTGCCACACAGCTCCAGTTCCCGCTTCCTCCAGGGGCGCAGCAGGTATGGGGGAAGGGCGCTGGAGGAACCCTGGACTCAGAGGCAGACACCCCTGCCTTGGGCCAGCTAGAGTCTCTGTGAGCCTCAGTATACCTACCTGACATATGGGGATGGCATTCCCGACCATGGCTGTGCCCTGGGGTCATTCCCTTCCTGTGCTCTGAGCCCTACCATTATAACTCCCTAACCCTCACCCAGCACTGTGGGTCCAGAATGGGGGGGTTGTTACTGCCATGTTCTGCCTCATCTTCTCTCTCTCTTTCTCTTTCTGCACTCGGAAGTGCCCACCCATGGGCCTCTATGGCTCCCCTTTTGGGGCACGGTCTCCTTATCCCCAGGCCCACGTGCCAGTGCACCCATCTCAGGAGCCGCACCCCAAACACTACCCCAAGCCCATATACTCCTACAGGTGAGGTTTGGGGTACTTGGGGAGGTGGGAGAGGGCTGCCTTCAGGGCATTTCAGCTGAGAGTGGTGGCCCAGATTTCCTAGGGGAGCTCCTGGGTGAGACCTGTTCTCAGTAAGGACCATGATGTGCCCAGGCTTGAGAACTGGCTTCAGACACTGACAGTCCATCCACTCACGAGCTGTGTGGCCTTGGGGAAGTGGTTTGGCTTCTCTGAGCCTCTGTCTCCTCAAATAGGAAAAGTCACCACAATGCTGGGATCATGTGTTTCGGGTGTTGGGGAGGGGAAGCGGCCTCAATAAAAGCCCATAGATGTTAATTCTGGGGATGCGACAAAGAGAGGAAGAGATAAGATTTCTCAAGTTCAGGTTGAGCCCAGGGTCCAGAAGAAAGGTAGGGATGGGAAAGACCTTGGGTCATGAAAAGGTGTGAGTGTGTAGACTGGTGCTGGTGGGTCAAGTAGGGTGGGCTTCCTGGCAGAAGGGGACTCAGGTTGTACCCTTCACTCCTGGCCTGCCCCACCTCTCACCCCAGCTGTCTGATCGCCATGGCTCTGAAGAACAGCAAGACAGGCAGCCTGCCCGTGAGTGAGATCTACAGCTTCATGAGGGAGCATTTCCCCTACTTCAAGGTGAGGGCCCACCCCAGGGTGGGGGGCCTGGAGTTGCCCTAGTCTCTCCCTGCCACTCCCAGATCCACGGCTGGGTCACCCTCTTTGGCCCCCACTTATGTCTGCAGACCTGGTAGTGAGGACACAGGCACGTACACCCACACAAGGCAATTTAAAAAGAGAAGGGGGCATTTGAACTGGACTCTGATGGAGGAAGGAGTTCACCACGCATCTCAGGAGGCAGGGGGTGCAGCCTCCTTATTCACCACAGACTCAGCAAAAGACTGGCTTTACAACAGCCTTCATCTCTCCAGGCCTCGTTGCCTCTGTGAGGCGGGAAACACAGAGCCAGTGGGCAAGTTAGCGAGGATTCTGCACAGAAAGGTCCTGGCCACTGCTGGCTGTTCGTAAAGTTATCCCTGTTAGCATCAAAGCAAAAAGAGGAGCAGGAAGTCAGAGGGACCCAGGCTGCGGGGGTCCCAGGCTGATCAGCGTCACAGTGGGGCTCAGATGTGCACGCATGTATACCCGCGAGCTATCAAAATACTCGGTGCCTTAGCAATGCAGCGTGAGCGGTTAAAATGGTTGCACTTAGTCCACTTGTGCAGCTCTCTGTTGGTTAGCATCCGTCTTGCTTGCTGTGTGAGCAAGAGAAATGAAGGGACAAAGTGAAAGGAAGGTCTGGCCTGGGCTGTGTCCCACACTGTGACTGTGGGCTGGAGCTGAGCTGCAGCTCCCTGTTCACCAGGCTCGGCCCTCCCATCTGCTGCAGTCCCCACCCCTCTCTTTTGTCTCCCCAGCTGGAGGCTGGGTACTGGACACTGTCACACAACCCCTGCCACTGTTGGGCCTGTCCCCCAAAAGCCTGGGTGTGAGAGGGGATTCTAGGGAGTTCCAGGAAGGGACCCGAGTGCCCATGTCTCCCCCAGACGGCCCCCGATGGCTGGAAGAACTCGGTCCGGCACAACCTCTCCCTGAACAAGTGCTTCGAGAAGGTGGAGAACAAGATGAGCGGCTCCTCGCGCAAGGGCTGCCTGTGGGCCCTGAACCTGGCGCGCATTGACAAGATGGAGGAGGAGATGCACAAGTGGAAGAGGAAGGACCTCGCCGCCATCCACCGGAGCATGGCCAACCCTGGTGAGGCCCCGCCCTGCCATGTGCAAGTCTGCACATGGGTACACGCATGCGCACATACACGTGCGCATACACACACAAATACAGCCATGCAGACACGCACATGTGCACATACACACGCACACACAACCATGCACACACAGACATACACACAGTACACGTGCACACATGCACACAGGAACACACTACAACACAGGCACACATGCTCACATGGACATACATCACACACATACAACATAGACACACAAAGGCATGCACACACAGACACATATGTGCACACATGCACATACACCATCTCCCCTCCCAGCTCCAGCTAAGCCTGTGTCCTGCCCAGCCTGGCACATATCTCAGCCAAGTGAAGGGGACACAGATGCCTGGTGAGCCCCTCTATCCCCTGGGTCATGCTTCCCCCACCCTCCGTCCAGGGCTGGCAAGTTGAGGGTCTTGGTCAGGACCATGAAAAGCTGTGGAGTCCCAGTTTGTCACACAGAAACGCCAAGCCACTCAACCAGGGGCTAACATGCAGCATTGCTTCCCTACCACACTGCAGGGATGTTCACAATAATGAAACAGTAGCATTCCATGTGGCCATGATGGGGTGACAGGTGTTGTCATACCAAGTGGATGGGAATGAGAAACTTTTTGAGGGCAAGGTTGCGTACCAAAACCCTGCAAACTGAGCTGGGCATTGTGGTGCAAACCTGTAATTCCAGCACTTGGGAGGCTGAGGCACAATTAAAGGTCAACCCACGCTACGTGGCAAGTCCATGTCTAAAACAAAACAAAATGACAACAAAAATGCTGTACCCATGTATCAGTCCAGTTTTTCTACTCTTGACAACATATGCTGAGGAAATCAAAGATTTGAGGGGAAAAATGATGTATGGGGCCAGGCATGATGGCTCACACCTGAAAACCCAGCATTCAGAAAGTAGAGTCAGTAGAATTGCAAGTTCAAGTCCAGCCTGGGCCACATAGCAAGACCCTGTCTCAATGCCAAGGGTTGCGTCTTATCAGTGGTAGGGCACTTGCCTAGCATGCAAAAAGCCCCAGGTTCAATCCTCAGCATTGCCAAAAAACAAGATTATCTGTCACAAAACCACTTGTGAGGCGTAAACAAGTGAAAGCAATCTAAGCATCTCACAGTTAATACAGGGGCGATCATGACATTCAAGATGCAGTCTTGCTAGGCTTCTGCACTGGTCACAAATTGCTTTTATATTAGAAAAAATACTGCATCTGCTGGCTGTTTCAATCAAGGAATGTGAGGGGGCGCTACACAAGGGACACAGGACTCTGGCCTGCCTCTTTGGTTCCCATCATGCTTGAATTTGGACGCGAAGGGCCAGAGAGGGGCAGAGATGAGCCATTCAAGGAGGTGGGGGAAAGGACGCAGCCAGAACCAACAGGCCCTTGCAGGAGGCTGTCACAAGGCACCCACCCACAGAGCTCTGGGGTCTGGCTTGAGAACCAGGGCCAGTCTTGACCTTTAGTGTGAGGTCTTAGGCAAGCCATTGACCCTCTTAGATTCTAAGAGTCTTCATTTCTGAAGTGGGTGCAACCCACATAGATAGATCTTGGGACCCCAGTGGTCCAGTCTCATACCGCTTCACGTGCAATGAGACGTTGCCAATAGCCAAGAGTCAGAGTCATTTGTGTCCAAGAATATTGAAGAGGGTGCAGTTTTGAACCCACAGCAACACTTCTTTAAAGGCAGGGAGTGGCAACGCCCCCCTGTGTTAACAATCTCCTCAGATCTGCAGTTCCTGCCTCAGTTCCCTCTCGTGGGGCTGGTACAAGGTTCAAGTGAAGTGGTAGGGCTCCAGGTCCGAGAGATGTCCACAGGAGCAGCTGTGTGGTCACGTGAAGACACCTCTGCACATTTGTGAAGTTATTAAATCTGCACAGCAACACCGTGTGAGCCTAGAATGTCATCTCATAGAAGAGGAGACAGAGGGTTGCTAAGTTCACACAGGTGGTAGCACTTGGACTTGAACCCAGGCCTGGGCTAGGGCCTAGTGACCACAGGGTAGGTTCTGAGTGCCCTCTCCTATTTGTCTGCAGAGGAGCTGGACAAACTCATCTCGGACCGGCCAGAAAGCTGCCGGCGTCCTGGCAAGGCAGGGGAGCCTGACGCCCCTGGGCTCACTCACGCCACCACAGTGGCCACAGCCCACAGCTGCCTGGCTGTCTCCCAGCTCCCCCCACAGCCACTGATGACCCTGTCCTTGCAGTCGGTCCCCTTGCACCACCAGGTCCAGCCACAGACACACCTGGCCCCAGACTCCCCGGCCCGGCCCAGACCCCACCTCTTCATGCCCTGCCGGCCCTGAGTCCCGGGCCCCTTCCCCAGCCTGCCATGGGCAGGGCTCCTGGGGACTTCCTCAACATCAGCACTGACATGAACACCGAGGTGGACGCCCTGGACCCCAGCATCATGGACTTCGCTCTGCAGGGTGAGGCCGGGGGGCTTGGGGCAGGGGGTGCAATGGGTGGGGGAGAGAGGGGAGTGCATACTGTCTGCATCCACCCACAGCTCATTACCATGACACCCACCGAATGTTAGCATACTAAGCAGTTAAGGGGCACTTACTGTATACCAGGCGCTAGGCATACAGCAAGTGCTCATTACTTACTATATACAGTTCTCTGACCCACTGCCATTTCATGTTCCCATTGTGTCAGTGAGGGCAGAAAAGTCCCCCGGCTAGTCAGTGGAGAGCTGGGATTTACACCCAAGTTGTATACAGTAATTGCTTCAACTTGCATGTTCCAAAGTCGTATCAGGCTACACTGTGACCCTCAGCCTGCAGCATGGCATCCTCAGTAAGTGGGATGTGAATGAGTGGATGAACAAGCAAGCAGAATGGTGAGGGGGTTTCAGTGGGCTTCATGATCGGCCACCCTCCCGTGGGCGCACCTGCTGTGCGCCCTCTGAGGTCCCCATCCAGCCAGAGAAATGGACGAGGTAGCCGGTCAGTTAGCAAGTCAGTTACAGCTGTGAAATGGGTCTGTGCGGACGACCCTGCCTTGCCCCTGGATTGCTGTGTACATAAATGAAAGAGAAAACACTGTTTTGTCCTTGTGGCTTCAACCAGGATGCTACTGCTAAGGAGAACTAACGCTTTGCACACACGTAACCCTTGCCACCGCCCTCAGAGGTGGGTTTTCTGATCATCTTCATTTTATTCTGAGGTTCAGACAGAAGCGGCTTTGCCAAGGACAGAGGGAAGAGGACTAATGCTAACACTGTAGCCTCTCCTTGCTCTTTTGCTATATAATGTGTGAACTTCAATGCCACACCTGGCCTTTGGCTTTCCCTAAGAGGGGGATTTGAACTCGGGTCTGTCTGACATGAAGCCAGCTCACCCAAATGCTTTTGTCTTTGAAAGGGAGCCTCTGGGAAGAGATGGAGGATGAGGGCTTCAGCCTGGACACTCTGGGGGCCTTTGGAGACTCCCCACTCGACTGTGATCTGGGAACCGCAGGCCTGACCCCCGTCTCTGGTGGCAGTGACCGGTCCTTCTCAGATGTGCAGGTGACAGGTCTCTATGCTGCATATTCCACCCCAGCTAGTGTGGCCCCATCAGCGGCCTCCTCCTCCCCTCAGTACCTAAGTACCCCAGGGAACAAGCCCATAGCCCTGCTTTGAACTCATGCTGTCACCTGCCCCTGGGACCCCCAGCATCTAGCTTGGGTAGAGAACTGAGCAGAACAGGGTGTTCCTGGAAGAAAGACCCTCAGGAGCCTGTGGCGAGAGGTTGCTGGCCGGACAGGGAGCAGCTCCTCTCGGCACCCCTGCCCCCCACAGGAAGCTTCTGCCACCCCAAAGTCAGAAGGAGAGAGGAATATGGACAAGCACCCCAGCCTCACTGCTGCTTTGGGTCCTGAGATGCCAGGCCTCAGGACAGCCAGGCCTAAAAACCTGCTGGCCCCCTGTGGCCACACCAGTGCATCATCAGGACCTTGCAGCGGGAAGCCCCCCAACTCCAGCTTCTTGGAGACGAACCCTCTGGCCAGGGCCAGGAAAGCTGCGAATCTGTCTTGGACAATACAAGCTGAGGTCTGCACCCAGTGCCCCCAGGGCCTCTAGCCCAGGTTCTCCTGGAAGGTGCTAGAATTCCAGATGGCAGCTTCTGGGGTCATGCTGGGCATTGGGACCATGTGTAAATGGATTTCTATTTATTACGGCCTGTCCCCCACCTCTGTGAGCCCAGCTGAGGCCTGTGGAATGAGACTCGCGTCCCTACCAACGTAACCAGCGCGCCTGACCCCTAACTGACCATGGGCCACAGGTCAGGGCAGCCCTGAGCAGTCTTGGGCGTCTCTTTAGAACAAGCAAGCACTTTTGATTCTGTGACGCATCCCTTTTTTAAATGTCAGAGAGCGGATGCTTTTCGAACTGTCTCTTCCTGTGAGCCCCTGAGAGAGGAGGTGCCATAGTTGTGAATTTGGGGGACATCTAAGAACAAATGGGGCTGAGAATGGGAGGACTGCAGGGCGCTTTTTGTCCTGAGATTAGAAGACACTCATGCATGTGGCAGGGGCAGTGCAGAATAGCCATTGCTGGTCCCTTTTGCCTATGTCCATGTGTTTTCAGTGACTGATTTTCCATGGGAGGAGAAGGGGTGTGGCGGGAGAAGCTCTTCCAGCCAAGGCAGAACTGCAGTAGCAACAGCTGTGACACCAGCCTCCTCTCTCTACCAACCTGGACGCTGACTCCCATGTCTGCCAAAATGTTCAGATGAATCACGAGGCCGGCCAGTGGCTCGGGAAGGTGGCCCTAAACCATGTCTGGAAGGGCCATCGTCAAGTCCTTTCTAGTTCTAGAGCTTTCGGTCAAGCTTCACCATCTTTAGACTCAGCCCTGAGCCACCCGTCTGACCAGCACTGCCCAACTTTGTGGACTGGGACCCCCCACACACCAGAAGTTAAGATGCTTAAGTGGCTGTTAATGGAGACCTCCCCTGTGCGGGTGGTGCCAAGACTCTAGGTGTAGTGTTAATGAGTGACATTTGTCAATAAAGGCTGAACAGCAGCTCTGTGGCTGGGAAGCAGGGGCAGGGGACATCATGCACAGCATTGGAGGGAACAGGTCTCTGACACCAAGTTCCCATTGAAACTGGGGCCAGGGGTGGGGTTGTTAGTGATAAAATTCATGTGACCAGCACGTGGCAGGCATTGTGGATGTGGTTTACTGCTGCAGAAGGAGAGGTCCAGAGAGGCTGGGCAGGACTGAGTCAGTGTGTGTCACACTGCAGGCCTCCAGGGCCACATGGAGCTCGGCGGCCCTGCTCCCGCCTCTTGGGTGTACACCAGGGTCTGAGGACAGCACCATGGGAGGATACTCGCTGTCCTCAGCAAGCACCACATGCCAGGCCCTGGGTGGGACCCTGCCGTGAGCTCACACCATCCTCACAGCAGCCCTGGGACATGTGGCAAATTAGTTGTTGTGCTCATCTTGCAGATGAAAAAAAACTGAGGCTTGGAGGAATAGAGCAGGTGACTTGCCACCCAAGATCCATGCAGGGGGGGTGCATAGATCAGGAGTGTGATCTTTAAGCCCAACTAGGAAGTTCCTTGCAGCCTCACTGGGGGGTTCTCAAAGAAGGAATTGCATGGGATGGTGGGAGCCAGAAAGTGCTGAGCGGGGCACTTCCTCAACAGAGACTGGGGGTGCAGGGAGAGGGCTCCTGCAGCAGCCACCCCCCCCCCGGGCTGTCCCACTCTGTCCAGCTCCTGTGACCCCACTCCTTAGTTCACATCCAGGTAGCTTGCCCCATGATTCAGACCCAAGATACCTGCAATCATCGGTTGAAGGAGGGACAGCTGACCCAGGCCATTTGGTCACAGCTAATGAGGGCTTTGCAAGAGCTCTGAGTAAGGGGTGCCTTCCTCTGGCGTGCTAAGCTGGGAGAGTGAGATACCCTGTGGGGTCACCACGTGGAAAGGGGAGGCTGCAGTTGAGTCTGACATCTGCTCTTACTGCAGGCAGGAAGGATCCAGGCATAAATCAGTCAAAGCGAAAAGGCCAAGCTCTCAGAGTCATAGTTATAGTCAGAGCCCTGGTCACAACCAGAGCGCCACCTGCATGGGGCCATGATGCAGAAGAAAGCAGGAAGGAGCAGTGGGAAAGATGAGGCCCACCGAGGTTCTCTCTCAAGTGGGGCAACTAACAGGAACTACCAACCACTCCCATTCGAGCACCCACCATGAGCAGCGTGTCTCTGCACTCACATTACCACTGCTACCAGTGGTCACCAGGGAGTGCTGGCTGCCACATAACAAAGCTCTGTTATCCCTGAGATAGGCCAAATAACGGTCCCCAATGGTGATCACATCCTAATCCCTGGAACCTGTGATGGATGAACCTTGAGGACGTTATGCTCAGTGAGATAAGCCAGTCCTCCCCCCTCAAAAAACCAAGTACCATGTGACTCCAGCTATATGAGGCACTTAGAATAGTCAAAGTCTCAGAGACAAAAAGTAGGGGGGTGGCAGGGGAGGGACACGTGGGGAGTTACTGATTAATGGGTATAGGGTTTAGTTTCACAAGCTGAAGAGGCCAATGGAGACTGTTTGCACAACTGTGCAAATGCACTACTGAATCACACGGTTAGGATGGGTGCACCTGCAGTCCAGCTACTCCGGAGGCTGGGGTGGGAAGATCAGGTGAGCCTGGGAGTTTGAGGCCAGCCTGGGCAACACAGTGACACCCCCATCTCAAAAACAATTTTTTAAAGGTTTAAGATGGGAACTAACGTTACGTATATTTTATAGTAAGATTTTGGGGTGGGGGTGTATGGCTCCGTGACAGAGTGCTTGCCTAGCATAGGTGAGGCCCTGATTCCACCCCCAGCACCGAAAGACAAGAATAACAGCCCCCGTTACCAGCTGAGTGCATGTGGAGAAGTTTGATCGTCTGAGTCTGGTTTTCTTGCCTAGCAAGCCCAGGATGGAGAGCATGTCTGGAAGGCTCGTGTGAGGGTTGTGTGGATGAAGCCCGGCTGGGCATTGGCCAGTGGATGGAGTGCAGCTGCTCTACAAGACCCCTGCCCACACTCAGCTCTGGTCCTTCCCTCTGCCTGTGTCAGGCATGGTGCTTCCAGCGCGTGCCAATGGGCTACCGCCCAGCATCATCATAGCCAGCAGATGGCAACTTATGTGCATGTTTGAAACCAAGCTGAAAAGTCTAAGCCATCTGAGGCCTTCAGACATGAGATAAAATCAGAGCTGCCTCTTCACCATCACAGAGGGCTGCATGTCCACTTACTCTCAGCTTCTCGGTCCCTTCCTAGGTGTCTACTGGTACAGAGCACTGCTATGGTGCTGCTGTGACTAGACATTAATGGCTGCCTCTGGCTAACTGAGCTATGTCTGGATAAGGATATAGCTCTGACTCAAGCTAGCGCACTGACTTCAGGTATGGCTTGATCCAGGCATACAAAAAAAATACCAATAGGCTAGGCCTATCCCGCCATTTCTGGGCTGCTTCCTTCTGTGTTAGTAGAATCTGTCCATCTGTGGTACTGTCAACTGTCCTCCAACGCATTCTGATTGACTCTACTGGGGATACACACACATACACATAGGCTTCAAAAGGAATAGAGAACTCTGGCTCACCCCCCTGGGAGGTGAAAATGTCTAAAAGGATGCTGGCAGAATAAAGTTCTTAACATGTCACAGAGACAAAATTGAATCTTCCCTGTGCACTGATGAGCTGTGGTGGGAAGGAGGGTGGATCTGTGTGTAGACAGCTGAAGCCACTCTGGAACCATGAACCTGTGTCATAAAAGTGAGGGGCTGGGTGCTGGGACCAGACTTGATTTCCCTCCCAGTTCAATCCGTATGTGCACATGGGCATGGGCCTCCACCTCTCAGCCTCGCTGTCCTCGTCTGCCAAGTAGGGGTGGGTGAAGGTAGTGGGAAGGAATGAAGTTGAAGTGGAAGGTGCCTGAGCTGCCTCACCTCCCTCCCATCCGAGCAGCTTGCTTTTTGCCGGGGGTTGGACAAAGCCGGTGCTGGGAAGGAGAAGGGGAATATCCCGAAAGTGTCACCAGCACCAGCTTCCCCACTGCTGTGACCTGCCCCGCTGCTCCTGAGCTGGGTGTGCTCTCAAGGTTTCAGCTGTCATGTGAGGATGGAGAGCTGAAAGGGGAACTGCCAGGGGCACCCTGCCTTTTCTGGTCCACACAGTAAGTCAAGGTCAAAGTGCTTCCTTCAAAAAATAGTTTATTCTGCAGGTTTCCTGGCAGGCCCTTCAGCCCACCGTTTAGGGTAGCAGCTAGTCATTGACATGTCTTTCCTCCAAAACCAAGAGGGCCTTACCCGAAGGAACCCTTAGGTCCTCAAAGCAGCACCCCCGACCCAGTGTCTGGTGAGACGATGTGTAAGTCAGCCCTCTGCACCTCTCACTGCGCACTTCCTCATCTGCCAGGGCTGTCATTGGCTGATGGCTGGATATTTTGACATCCTCAAGCATCCTGGCTTGTGGCAGCTTTCCTGGGTAGCCTTGATGGCTTCTGTGTTGACCTGGCACAATGTTCTGTGTCCTCAAACTGCCCACACCACAGTGGGCAGTGGGCTAGTGGGTAGTCTCCCCTAGCCCCCATCCTTGGCACAGAGGGGAGGGACTAGAGGATCTCAGAGTCCGACGCTGTGTGCTGAAGTCCTCCTGAGCAAACTGGCGTGGTCTTCACAGTCTCAGGTCGCTGACCCTCTGCCCTCAGTGCCCACTGTGGACATCAAAGCAACAGGTAAGGAAGCCCCAGACTCAAGGGGCCTTCCAAGGGGATGGCGGCAGCAGTCACAGAAGGGACACTCTTGAGGAAGGCTGGGCTGGGAGTCTGGGGGAGGGTTCCCCAGCTCTGTCTCTGCACTGCCAATGCAGGGGGTGTGGGCTATGAATCCTGAAGGAGGGTGGGTGCAAAGAGAAGCCAGCCCTTGCTCTTCTTGGAGGGAAGAGGCAGGTGTGAGCAACCAGGGACCCAGGCCCCTGCTCATTTTGTTCTGTCTCTGAAACACAGAATCTTGGGATTCTGAGAGCTCGGCACGCCCTGCCAATGCGACAGTCCTAGTGATTCTGTAGGAACACTCGGGGAACAAAATACCACTGTTATTTAAAAAATCACTCACACCCTTTCCTGGGTGAGTAGGCTTTCTCTAGTCTTGTTCATGGTTTTTCCCTTGACTTGTTTATTTGGCTGAAAACTTCAAGATGTATTATCAAGTGTCCATCTTGGAATAAAAAACAAAAATGTAAGATTCCATTATCTGACATAAAGCAGACTAGACACCCGGATCTGCCCTCCAGCCGCCCCCCTCCAAAGCACAAGAAAATGGGGATGTTTTTGGTTCAGTTTGATTCAGTGATACAGCAAAATGTTGTCCGAGGAGACAAAACAAAAGCAGCTTCCCAGGAGTGGAGGGGGTCTTGCCTGAAGGGCAGCCGAGCCTTTTACTGAGACAGGAGTTTGCTGGGGGCCAGCAGCTCTGCCCACAGAAGTGCCAACGCCTGATTTTTGGGGTTTTTTTTTTTTTTAAAAAAAAAGCACCCAAGGTCCTGGCCGGGCTGCAGTAGGCAGGGTGGTGTGGTTTCTCATGCCGGTGGTCCTGGGGCTGGCTGGCAGCCAGCTCAAGTTGAAGCTGGCCTCTCCACGGTGGACAGCAGCTGGACCACCTGTGCCCGCTCAGCTGGGCTGAGGTGCTGGCTCAGGTACATGGTGCAGTCCATAGCCACCTCGGGGTTTTCCTGAACCAGACTGAGGGAGAGCAGAGAAGGACCAGGGTCACTCCATCGTCCAGTGGGCCCTAGGTGACAGTCCTTGTACAAGGCTGTGTCCTTTTCCTTGGTGGGGTAGAATCTAGAACTCCCCATTCCCTTCCTGCTGTGGTCACCCAGGGGTGGCAGTCCTACGCAGTAGGAAGCACTATGGCCTGAAGGTCCGAATGCTGGAGGTAGTACAGTCCTTACTGGTCACTGGCTGAACTTCAGCTTCATGCCCCACAGGGGGTCCCACGTTCTCTACCGCGGCCTCCCTGGTGACCCCATGGTCACGGAAAGGCTGACACTAACCAAGCCAGTAACCTCAGGAATGTGAGTTCCCTAACCAATCGGACAAATCACCATACAGATTCCGGCAAGGATCATAAGTGGAAAGCCCCTCCCTCCTGGGGCTCTGTGCCTCCTGGTCCACTGCGCCAGCCATAGGGTCTGGGGAGTGTGGTCCTGTCGCTGGGGTCCATAGGCTGTGTGCCTTTCCCAGGACGTCACTGTAAGTGGAGTACAATCACAAGCCAGGTACACTGGAATGGCTATTAGGGCTGGAGCAGCCAGCGGTGGAGTGCCCCCTGCCAGTAAGGGGCGGGGATGGGGGAACAGCTAGTGTGTGTGGGGGTGTCACTCACCCTCGGATGGTCTTGAGGGCTGAGTCCCGCTTCAGACACTGGATGTTCTCCCGGATGGTGGAGCGCAAGCCATCCCCCACAGGCCAGTGCTGCTCCAACCACTGCACCACCACCTGGTTGTTGTCCCACAGGTAGGCCTGGGGACAGGCACAGGCTGGCTCAGATGGGAGCTGCTGCTGGGCGGTGCCCCCCTTCCCCCATGCCAAGCTCCCACCCCCAGCCCGGTGCCCAGCCCCAGCCCGGTGCGCACCTTGACGGCGCCCTCGCTCTCCACGAACCAGCGGCGCAGCATGGACTGCACGTGGTCGTGGCTGAGCTCGGCGCTGGCGCGCAGCACCTCCTGCTTCACCTGGTCCTCCAGGAGCCGCCGGCGCAGCCGCCAGTACAGGAAGGCGCGCGCGGTCCTCCACTCCAGCACGTCCTGCGCACCCCAAGGTGGGAAACGGGGACGGGTGGGACACGGGGACAGGCTTCCTACCCCGCCCAGGTGCAAACCGAGCAAGCGGTGGGCACTGCGCGCACCAGGTGGACTGGAGGCTCCCCGGGTTGATTTAAAGAAACGGCACCGGCCGCTCCCCAGGTGATTTTCACACCGACCAATCCCAACTCCCAGCCCCCAATTTCCTCCCCAGGCCGGGAACCGGGTGACCCTTACCGAGATGACGCCCTTCTCCAGCATCCTGCCAGGCGTGTCGTGCAGGTCCGCGAACTGCACCGCCACCTGGTGGTAGATCGGGAGCAGCAGCTCCTCGCGAGCCTTCAGCCGGCCCTCCAGGTCCTTGCGGTCCTGCTCTGGGAGCTGGGACATCCCTACAGGACAGCAGACAGCTGCTCAGGACTTCAAGGCCACCGCAGAGGGTGGCCACGTGAGGGTGCAGTGGGGAATTTACTTTTGAAAAGGCACAAAACAAGTTTGAGGCCCCATGACAGGCCTGGGCCTCAGTGCCGAAACTACCCCTAAACCAAGTCCAGGGTCAGGACTGCAACTGTCACGAGAGGATGCCACCTGCGCTCGCAATCTGCCCCCTCTGTCAGACCCCGTGCTTTGCGTCAAGTCACCCAAGAGGAAGCTGGTAATGAAAATATAGTAAAAGTAAACTTAGAGTTAGAAACCTCCTACCAAGTGTTTTGTGTTTTTTTCTCTTTTTTTGGCATTAGGGATTGAACTCAGGACCTGCCGCTTACAAACATTCCACCACTTGAGCCCCGCTCTCAGTCTTTTTGCTTTAAGTTTGTCTTCCAGATAGGGTCCTGAGCTAACTTTGAACAGGCTGGCCTAGGACAGTGATCTTCCTGTCTCTGCTTCCCAAGCAGCTGAGATTTCAGGTGTACACCACCATACCTGCTTCAAAGCCTTCTATTAGAGATGTAAATAAATAGGACCAGGTGTTATGTTTCATGCCTATAATCTCAGCTACTTGGGAGACAGAGACTGGGGAGGATCATGGTTTGAGGCCAGCCAGGGCAAAAAAGTTAGCAAGACCCCATCTCAAAAAAACCCCCCAAAACACAAGCCAGTATGGTGGTACATACCTGTAATCCAGGTACTCAGAAGGTTTAAGTAGGAGGGTTTCAATCTGAGACCAGCCCAGGTAAAAGCAAGACCCTATCTGAAAACTAACCTAAAGCAAAAAGGGCTGTGCGTGTGGCTTACATGGTAGAGTGCCTGCCTAGCAAGCTCAGGCTCTGAATTCAAACCCCAGTCCTGCAACCCCCCCAAAAATTGAACAAATAATACCAATTCACAAAATAAGCATAGACATCTCAGTATAGTTGAGGTCAGTGTGTGTTATCCTAAGACCAAGCTAATTACACACCCAGTGTAATAAATCTTGTGAAAAGCAGTTATACAAACATTGCCATAATAGAGACACCCCGTGTGTAAACCAGAAGAGAGTGACGTTTACAGATTACCAGTGAGCAGAGCGATCACTCAAACAGAATTATGTTTGACTGGAAATTCTAAAGGGACACTTTGTCACCAAAATTCTGGCGTTCCTCATTGGCCCAAAATACTTCAGCTGTCACGATCCGTGTGCGGCCAGAAAGAAGTCTGCTATGGCATTGTGGGTTGAGCGCCCCTTGTCAAAAATCCAAATGCTTTCAAAGTCTGAAACATTTTGAGTGTTGACGTGCCGCACGTGGAAAACGCCACACCTGACCTCATGGGTTGGGTCGAAGTCAAAACGCAAGTGCCTCATTTACTACTAAACGTGTTTTTAGAGAACACAGGTGCACTAAAAACATTGAACAATCTGCGTCTAAGGCATGTACGAAGTGTAAGTGACTTAGACTTAGGTTCCCTCCCTCCCCAAAACATGGCATTGACTAAGATCCCAAAACAGCTGGCATCCGAATGGTCACAAGCGTTTGCTGTGCGTGTTTAATGTTGAAACGAAGGCACTGGAAAATGTTCAGATGTCACAATTATGGCTGCTGTGTTATTTTTAATGCACAGTCAACCTCGGGCCTGGGGCCTCTCCTGAACCCCACAAGGACAGGCCTGTGGCTCCTGCTCACCCAGCTGCTCCACGAGCTTCCTGCAGGCTGGATCGGTCCTCCGCATAGCCTTCACCAGGTCTTTCTTTCGGAACTTAATCTCCACCGTTCCCTCTGGCTCCAGAACACCCCCCCTGAAAAAGAGAGGGGCAGGGATCGGGGTAGGAGGCATCGGTCTGCAAGGGACAGCTGTGGAGTGCAGGAAGCTAGAGACAGGACAGCTGGTGTCAGTTCTCAGCTCCTGTCCTGTCTCTGTGCCCACAGGTACCTTACTTCCCCTCTGTGGGCCTCTATTTCTGTAGAATTTCTCAGAAGACTGAGCCAATTCCAGTTTGTTCTCTTTCTCTTCTGTCTCTTCTCTCTTCCTCTCTCTCCCTCCCTCTTTCTCTCTGCTCTGTTTCTCTCCTGTCTCTATCCCTCTCCTCTCTCTCTTTTTCTGTCTCTCTCCTCTCTTCTCCCTTCGTCCCTTCCCCTTCCCCCACCCTCTCTCACTGGATTTTGAACTTTGGGCCTCACGCTTGCTAGGCAGGCACTCCACCAGCCCTTTCTGCTTATTTTTGAGATAGTGTCTCACAGTTTTGCCTGGGCCAACTTGAACTGGATCCTCCTGATCTCTACCTCCCAAGTAGCTGGGATTACAGACATAAGCCACCATGCCTAGCCAGCCAAGACTTCAAAGCAATGTCTTCTGAATCTGCATAGCCCTTTGAGCTCCAAAAGACATGACTTTCTCCAGAGCAGTGTAAGTCTCCCATTCTCTGGACACAGTCCTTCCTCACTTTCCTAACTTCTGCTCTCCTAGAACCAGGACACAGTGATCTCATTAAAGTTCACAGTGAGAAGTCAGCATGGCCCCAGTTCTTTTCACTCACCCCTCAGGCTCCCTTGCTCACTTTTGCTTTTTTTTTTCTGTGCTGGGATTTTGAACTCAGGGCCTTGCACTTGCTACCACTTGAGCCACACCCTCAGCCCCTTTGCTTTTGTTATTTTTGGAATAGGGTCTTTGCCCAGGTCAGGCTGGATGATGATCCTCCTATTTATGCCTCCTGAATAGCTGGGATGACAGCACTGTGCCACCAGGCCCAGCTTTTAATTATTGAGATGGGACCTTGCTAACTATTTGCCCGGGCTGGTCTTGAAACACAATCCTCTCAACCTTGCTTCCTGAGTGGCTGGGATTACAATTGTGGGCCACAGTGCCCAGCTCCTATTTTGCTTTTGACAGCTGTGAAGCAGCTCTGAGCTTCTTGTGGCCAGAGTGAAAAGTTAATGAGGACCCCATCTGAGTATTGCTTGGGATCCTGAGCTTTCTCAAGGACTGACATCAGCAGCTCCCCAGTGAGGGCCCAGTTGCCATAAAGGAAGGGCAGGTCTTGCTCATTTGTCACCATACCACAATACCCAACCAAATACCTGGCACATAGCAGGTGCTTAATAAATACTCACTGACTTAATGAATGAAGGCAGCAGGACACACAAGAGTGGCATGCCTATATTTGGGGCTTTTATGTCCAACACAGAGTACTCAATTTGAAAATTAAATAGCTGAGTGTAGACATTACTGCTACTGTAGCAGGGAGGAGAGCCAGAAAAGAAGCAAGCAAGTCTGTGCTCTGATAATGTAGCCGGGGGTGATGGGATGGCATAGCAGGGAGATAAAACTTAAAGAATCTAAACGTGAAGAAGGTCACATAGCACTGGGGCACAATAGCCAATAGAGCTGCATGCAACCACATACGGGTTAAACCTTGCTTTTGCTTCTATAACCAGCTTGCAGGGGTACGTAAGATGAGGTCCCCTTTATTCTCAGGGCTCAGCCTTTGGACAGGAGTCCGCTGGGTCTGTGCCAGCACAACCAAACATTGCTTCCTGCTGAACTGCCTCGGTGTCCCTTTCCCCAGTCTTGAGTATCCCGTAACATTTCTGGGGGCTCAGTCCGGGATTTGGAGATGGTGTTTGTCACCTCCCTGTGGCTGGGGTGTGTCTCCTGCCAGGAGAATTGGGCCCACCAGAGCCAACAGATGATTTGATCCGGAGGAAGGCCTCATCCTCTGGCAAGTTGAGGTGAGGACCTTTGATGCACAATGGAACCCAGAGAGGCGCAGGAACCAGCAAGTTGAGTGGCACCCTCAGACTGGGAAGAACCTGGGTTCAAATATTAGGCCTGCCCCTAAGTGGCAGAAGGGGAGCTTGATCACCTCCTGGAATCACCCAAGTAACCTTGAGCAAAAGTGAAACCGTGACTCCTAGGTGCTGGGAGTGGGAGGAGAAGCTGGATGCCTGCATGTGAATGTGTGTGAATGAGATGTACCTTGGCTACAAAGTGAGTGCAGAGTCCTGATCCATGGGTCTGTGGTGAACGCAGATGGTCTAGGGTGAACCCTAACAGGGCCTCTGGTCCAGGGTTTATACTGAGGCACTTAAAGTTCCTGTGAGGGTCACAGCCAGAGAAGGACAAAGCAAGTGACACATTGCTCTCCCCTTACCTCTCCTCCAAAACTTCTACCCCTTCATGTCTGTCTTGACGTCTGGTAACGGGAGGAGATGGGTGGAAATCAGAGTAAAAACACTCCCCTGAAGTGTATGGTTGGTCACTTTGAAAAGCGATTTAATGGCAACTATGGAGTTACCTCCTAACAAGCTTAGGGCCCTTTGTGAAGCAGACTTGCCTGCTTTCAGTGTGGGTGGCCTCTGGAAGGGTGCTGTCCTCAGCCAGCCCACATGGCCAAGGCGCTGTCTGCAAGAAGCTTGCAGGATTTCTTCCAAGTGTTGGGAGAAAACAAAGGAGCCTATACTGGCCAAGGAGCCTGAGGAAATACCACTGCCCTGTGTGCTACTTTATCTACCTCTGCCACTGGCACCCAGTTCAGAGGGGAAACCCAAGGGACAGATACACCTATAAAATCTTGCCCGGAAGCCCCTGACCTCTCTGAGTCCTCTGGACCCCATACCCACACCAAGTCTGCCAGTTATCACTACACATTCCCCATTCAACTGGGGGCATCACGATGAGTTTCCATGAGGACCACTCCTCTCCTCAGACTCCCACTGCCCTGCAGATCCCTTGAGAAAAGTCCAGGGCTCAGTGTACTGTGACCAGGATGGTCAACTACAAAGAGGAGGACGGACATTTGTCTACCAGCCCTTTACCTCTACAGACCTCCTAAACTGGAAACATCATACCTGCCCCCCACCGCCCCGCCATCACGGAAAAACCTCAGGCTCTGATTGATTTGATGCAATCTATCATGCAGATTCACAAACCCACCTAGACAGACTGTTGACAGCTGCTTCTGACTCTATTTAATACTGAAGAGCGACACTGTATGACATTGGTGGCTCTAAAATGGTTGGAGGAAGATCATGCCGAGGGCACTCTAAATGCCCAAGCATATGGTCAAGCTCAGTTTCCCAAGGAGGACCCCCCACTGGGATCCTCATGATGACTGGGGCTACCAGTGGCTTGAATGGTAGGAGGCACTATTGGGAGGCATGAAGGAAGGAGGGGGAAAAGGCTGTGAACCTGAGCAAAACATCAGAGATCCTCCAAGGGCCAGATGAGTCCCAGCCAGTTCTGTGAGTGTTTGTGTGAGGGTTTCTGTTTGTACACCCCCTTTGACCTGGAGGCCACTGGCAACCAGCAGATGATTAATGCCGCTTTTGTTGGCCAGGCCCAGGGAGACATAAGGAGCAAACTGCAGAAACTGGAGGGATTCACTGGGATGAACGCCAGCCAGCTCCTGGAGGTGACCACAAAGGTTTTTGGCAATCGAGATCAGGAGGCTAAATGGGAGGCCGACAGGAAGATGAAAAGGAAAGTGAACTTTCTTGCAGCAGCCCTTGCTGGGCAGTCAGGTGGGCCCCAGAGAGCTAATCTAGGCCGAGGCAGAGGTAATCACTGAGGATGGTGACCAATGGCCTCAGACGCCCCCACCCTAGGGAGGAATTGGGGTGAAATCAATGTGCCTAGTGTCATCACAGGAAGAATGAATGTTCCCAATGGCCAAGGACTCCCAGAAGGACCCCCAGACCAGGGGCAGAGGCCAAGGTGACGAGGGAAAGTACCAGCCTGCCTGTGGGAAGACCAGCCCCTGGGAGGAAAATACTGTCAGGCTAGCTGCTCCAGAGGACTATAAGGAAGACTAGAACAGACCAGGCTCCATCCTACTGGGCCCCAGGAGCCTATGGTCTGAATGAAAATAGGGGGCTATCCTGTTGACCTCAAGGTGGACATGGGTGCAGAACATTCATTTGTGACCCAACCAGTGGGCCCCCTTTCACAAAAGCATACAACTACAATTGGGGCTGCAGGGGACCAGGCCCACCACCCCCTCCTAGAATCTAGACAATGCAATCTTGGCAGTCATGAAGTAAGGCATGAATTCCCTTGTCTCCCTGATGGCCCCATGGGCCTGATGGGCGGGACTTATGCAAACTGAGGGCACAGGTAACTTTTGATTTGGATGGTACGGCAGCCTTAAAGTTAAGAAGATCTGGGGAACCAAAGGGGAGGTACAACAATTGCTCAGGGAAACCGGAAAGCTGACAGGGAGGCCAAGCAAGCAGTCCTCATGAGGGGACCAGCCCCAGCCACCCTGACCTCTGCCTTGTTCCCATGTCCTTAGCTGAATGGGACCAAAGGTACATACTGTAAGAACAGGCTTGGTTTAAGACTGAACAGGGAAATTTTCTACCGCACAGATGATAGTTGTCTGCCAATGGCTGCCTTGCCTCCCTGAGTCACTGGTTCCTACATTTGCCAAGCAGTTCCATGAAGGAACTCATCTGGGGTGAACAGCCCTCGAGACCACCCTGGCCCAGCACTTTTATGTCCCCAAACTCTCCAGCATAAGTAAGGCAGTATTTGAAAGAGGTAGCCTATGTGCCAAAAACAACCCCTGGCAAGGGCCAAGGGCTCCTCCCCAGGTGCAGAGCACTGGTGCAACTCCTCTTGAAAACTGGATCGTGGACTTCACGGAAATGCCACCAGCTTAAGGATGCAAATATCTATTGGTGTTCATCTGCACCTTCTCAGTATAGATGGAAGCCTTTCTCACACGGACTGAAAAAGCCTGGGAGGTGGCTAGATGTCTGCTAAAGGAAATCATCCCTCAGTTTGGAATACCTGTGTCTATTGGGTCAGATAATGGGCCAGCCTTTGTAGCTGCAGTGGTGCAGCTGGTAGCTAAGAGCTTAGAAATCACCCAGAAGTTGCATAGGGCCTACCACCCCCAAAGTTCGGGAAAAGTGGAACATATGAACAGGACCCTAAAATTACAATTGGGGCAACTATGTCAGGAGACCCATTTGCAGTGGGATCAATTACTACCCATAGCATTACTGAGGATTAGGTCAAGCCCCACAAAGCAGACAGGGCTGCTTTGAAGTCCTTTATGGACACCCACCCCCTTAATCAAGGGCATACAGGGCAACCTGGCACCTTGAGGCAACAGATGCAGGCTCTCGGGTTGACTCTCAAAAATCAATGACTGGGTCCAGGAAAGACTTCCTGTTAGCCTGACAACTCCCACACCCCCTTACAGTCTAGGGAATAGCATCTGGGTAAAGGAATGGAAGGTCCAACTGCTAAAACCTCATCGGAGAGGCCCTTTTGTTATTTTGTCTACCCCTCAGCAGTTAAAGTTGCAGAGACTGTTCCTTGCATCTACCACAGCCAAGTGAAGCCAGCCTCTCTTGAGTGGGAGAGCATCCCTGACCCAGCCTCACCACGCAAGATCACCTTCTGGAACTTCCACACTCTTCCCTGGCAGGACTCTGCTCCCCTGGAAACAACAGAGGACCACGGACGATGGGACAACAGCCCTGCTCTAGTCACTCCAGAAGCTGACTAGTCTGACTAGTCTGTGCATGGCGGAAGGCTGAGGAATCATATCCTTCACTCTTCAAGGATGAGTTCCTTCTGCATTTTCCTGTGTTGAACTTAATTAGTTTTCTGTTCAGGGATCCCCAAACCTCTAAATCAGGATGATGCTCTTTGACCCTAGGTGGGTCTGAGCATCAAAGGGGGGAAATGTAGCAGGGAGGAGGGCCAGAAAAGAAGCAAGCAAGTCTGTGCTTTGATAATGTAGCCGGGAGGAGGGAGTGACAGCAGGGAGATAAAATTTAAAGAATCTGAACGTGAAGAAGGTCACATAGCACTGGGGCAAAATAGGCAATAGAACCAAAATAGCTAATACAAGCATATATGGGTTAAATCTTGCTTCTTGCTTCTGTAACCAGCTTGCTAGGATATATAAGGTAAGGCCCCTTTGTTCTCAGGGCTCAGCCTTTGGACACAAGTCCCCTGAATCTGTGCTGGCAAATGTTTCCTGCTAAACTGCCTCAATGTCCCTTTTCCTGTTCTTAAGTATTCTGCAACACTACTATCTCTATAGAACCAGTGTCCAGTCATTTGTTCAACCAGAATTCCTGACCACCTGACCAGGAATCAGGCACCACACTAGACCCTGGGTTACACAATTAGACTCAGTCTAGTGAGAGAGTCATAACTTATAGAGTCATATTTCCCTTTTCATCTTGGCTTCCAGGAAGCTCTTGTGTACCTGGTCTTTCCTTTGTTATTATTATCATTTTACTGCAAACTTCCTTAGGAAAGAGGTGAGCATAATTTATGCAAAAAGAGACAATTTTCCCACACCCTCAGCCACTAACTGCTGAGAAAATCACACCCTGATTTCGTATATCCTTTAAGGAACTGAGAACGCCCCGTGATCCTCAGCTGGTGTTGGCGGGCAGGGCGACACACCCACCTGCTCTCTTTGTCAGCATACATCTCGATGCAGAGGGGGTTGATGGTGGAGTCGAGGACGACCCATGAGCCTCCGCGGAGCTCCGCGTAGGGCGGGATATAGATCAGGACGGGCTGCCTGTACTGCCTGAGGCCGTCCACGATGTATGCTCCAAACTTCAGCACCTGGTCGTACATGTCTGCAAAGCAGAGTCTGGTCAGGACTGCGACAACCCACTTACCAGCCACAAAGTCCCCAGCCTCATGTCCAGCTGGGAGATGGGGAGCCCTGGCTGAAAGCTGAGGCTTAGTTAGGCACACGTGGTGCTCGAAGTGGCCATGTGATCTTGGACAGGTCATCTTCCCAGCCATGGCACGTCCTCATCTGTAAACAGAGGCATAGGAAGCCTGGCTCCAGCTGTGAATGTCCCACCCTGTCCCGTGTTTCCAGTACCCAGAAACCTTTCCTGCCCACAGGCAACATGGTCCTCATGTCCCACCAAGACACATCCCTCCAGGTTCCCAGACACCTGACATGGTGACAACACGAGAGTGACATCAGTGATAACAGCAGTGTGGGCAGGACCAGCATCCTGGATCCTCCCAATGGCCCTCTAGAGTTCTTTCCATTCCTTCTCCCTTTCACAAAGGAGGTAAACTGAAGCTCAGCAAGGTCACCCAGATGACAAGGGTGCACAGCAGACCTGCCTGACTCCCACACCAGTCCCTTCCTCCACATACCACTGACAGCCACTATCTCCAGAGACATGAGACACAGTTGGTGGCTTACAAAGCCTGAGGAAGGCAGCCAGAAGCACACCCCGTCATCTTACCACACAGGGAGGTGGCTTCCCAGGTCACTGGGGAGCATCTGGGGCCACCGCCTGCCCTGCCACTCTTGGTATGATCTGTAAGAGGTCCCACAGCCTCCACTGCTCAGTCCCTCATCTATAAATCAGGCCGAGTTACCTGAACTGCCCCCATCTCAGGTTGTTGAGACGCTAAGCAGGGACTGAATGGCAGGCTGGTGTCACGCGCAGAGGGAGTTGCCCTGGGAGTGGTGCCCGAGGCTCTGGGAGGTGGCCTTACCTTTCATGCCCCCGGAGAAGCCCCTCCAGTTGGCAAAGATCATCAAAGGCAACTTCTCCCGGTTGAAGTCTTTGATGGCCTGTGCTGTTTTATAGGCCGAGTCTGGGAACCACACCTGGCCCGCTTGCTGGATTATCTGAAACGCAGTCACCCAGATCAGACAGTGGCCCAGGACAGAAAGAGACGGAAGACACAGGCTCACCCTGAGGGCAAGCCATCTAACCCCTGCTAACCCAAAGCTCATGTGCTCAGGACATTGACTGACGCCCCTGCAAGGGTCCCTCCATCCCTGTGGACAGACTCAGAGCAATGCCAGGCTAGTTAAGCTGAGCCATGCAAAGCTGGGCTCCGGACCTGGCCTTCCAACATGAGTTATTCCCAGGATGGGCTGTGACCTGTCAGAGGCAGCAGAAGGGAAGGGACTTTTGCCTTCCCCCAGGAAGAAGCAGACAGCATGGCATGGATATGTGACTTCTGAAGTGAGTGCAGAGGGACAGGCAGAACCCAGGGCCAAGGATTGCGCTGAGGTTTCTGTGTCTCCACCTGCCTCCCATCCAAAGGCTTCTGTGACAGCAGTCATGGCTCCCAGTCCCTTACCTTAGCCTCGGAATCGAGGTTGGCAGGGTCTGCAGGGATGGCCATCTCTACAGTCCGCGTCTCCACCGCAATCACTCCCACTGGGATGCCCCCGAGCCTGGAAGGCAAGCACGTGTGAATGGGGTGCCAGAAGGCACCCAGGTGGATCTCAGGGGCCTTGGGGTCCACCTGGTCCTAGCTGGGGTGTGAGGGCACACAGAAGACATGCTGGCGTGAGTCTGGTGGATTTTATTGGAAGGCAAAGCCAGTGCTCCAAAGTGCTAAGAGCCCCACAAGCTGGCAGAGCTGTAGGTGGAATGACAGCTGCCAGGAGAGGGCTAGGCAGAGCAGGGGACAGAGCAGCACAGCCCACGAGAACTTTCTATGACACTGGCCACGTCTCCATTGGTGCATCTGAGGTACACAGAACTAAGGAGCCAGGTTGTCATCTTTCCACTTAAATTCACTTGAACTTTTAGCTTTTCTTTTTGTTCCTTTGCAGTGCAGTGCTGGGGCACAGGAGGCCAGTGCTCGACTGAGCTACATCCCAGCCCTCAATTCCAAACTCGATCATCACATGTGGCCAGCAGCCACCACAATGGGCGGCTCAGAGAACGTCACCAAGTCACGTGTGGAAAGGGCCAAGGGATGCTGAGACGATTGAGCCTGGTGCAGTGACCCTATGAGGCAGGTGGGGGGTGGCCTCCTTGTTTGGAGGCCTGCATGGAAGGAGGGGTAGACCTCATCCCAGGATTTTACAAAAAGTGGTTTACAATAAACACCTAGGGAGAGAGCATCTGAGTGCTAACAGGGTACTTAGGATTTTAGAATTTATTGCCTGGGAGGTAAAATACTAACCGTAACAGTAGTCAGCACCACTTAGGGAGCACTCAGTATGTTTAACACACGTTATTGCTTTTACTGTCACAACAATCCTCTGGAGTAGAATTATTACCCCATTTTACAGATGAGGACAAGGAGACACAGAGACGGTGAAGGATGGAACTAGGTAGGTCTTGATCTCAGATCCAACACCAGAGGCTACACCTGTAGCCACAATACTGTACCAGGAATCTGAGTGGTAAATTGTAAGGCATAATTTAAGGGGAGCACTTTCAGGCTGACTGAGCTGTCCAAAAAGATGGGGCCACAATGCTAAAGAACGAGCTGCTTGGCTCTAGAAGCATCCAAGCACTTAAGACTTCCACCAGCGCAAAACAGGGGCACTTGAAATGGAGTTCAAGGTGCTTGCTGAGTGTCTTCAGTTTTCTGGGAGGGCACCCAGGACTACCTTCTGAATTCAAAGGGTCCCCATGGCTAAAGGACTGACACTTGGGGTCTGGGTCCCAGCCCCAGGAATAGTCAGCACAGACCCTTCATGAGGCCTTAGACAGACAAGTCTAGGCTCACCATCCAGAAAAACTGGTTCAAAATTGGCTTTTGCTTCCAGAAAATTGTGGGACCAAGTAAGAAGATGGCCCTGGTAGCCATCGCCTGGGAGTTCCGATGCCCGGTAAGGCAGATGCATACAGCCTGCTCCCATCCTCAGGGTTACCTTGCTCGTCCCGTCACTACGGTCTGGGCCCATGGTGCCATGATTTCCTTGAAACTGCCCTGATCGAAGAATCCAGTCTGCCAGGTCCCCTTCAGAGCTGTGGGCAGAAGGTAGAGACCCAGTCTGGGGGCTGATGAGGCCCTTAAGGTCTGTCCGATGGGCAGACTGCTCAGAAGTCTCTCTAAGGACAGCCTGACTTTGACTTTGCAGCCCTAATGCCCTTCTCCCTTAAAACCATGCAGATCCCAACCCCTCTCCAAAAGCAAAAACAAAAAAGCAACACAAACATAGCTGCAAAACCCACATCGAGTCAGGAATTCGGTCCTTATGGAACTGCCTGTTGACGCCAGACACAGAGAGAAGTGCACACTCCCTGCCTGCACTTCCCAAGCAAGGAGAGCAGACAGACGCCTCCCAGAAGGTGGGGTTTCAGGAAAATTCATCCCTGACCTACTGGCCCAGCCTTATAACCACCAAATGGGGAAAACCATCTTCCCATGCCCAGAGACAGACAGATTATGATGATGTCAACTGCAGTCATGGCTAGGGAAGAAATGGTGACTTAAATCCACAGCACGGCATGAATGCCACTGTTAGGACAAAAAGAAGAAAGACAGGTGGCAGGTGGTGTCTTGAGTTTTAGGCACAGGAGGTCAGCTGCCTGGGAACAAACCACACTTCAGCCTCTGCCTCCGGGCTAGCTGACCATGATGGAGAAAAGCCACCAGTAAGAAGCTAGGGATTTTTGAGCTGGCTCCTCAGTGCTTCCAGGATGGAATCCCCAGAGAAATGGAAAGGGAGTGATTCTTCTGTCAGCCAGAGTCTGGCACTCTCCCAAGGGCCTTGTCTAGAAGGACAGGCACGTTTGTACGTGTGAAATTCTAGACCTGGGATATGGTGACAGGGCAGCTCACCTTTCCTGTTTGTTCTAGGTGCTCAAAAAATAGTGACATACCTCCAGGGGACAAAGCCATCTCTTTCAGAGGGGAAGAGAGAGATGTGTGTAAATGCACACGTGTCTTCACATGAGTGTACATGTGTGTTTAAGAAGCCTAGTTGGACATCCTGGGAGACTCAGAGTATCTTTTCTAAAGGTTTAGCCAAACAGAGAAAGAGAAGGAGAGAGGGAGGGAGGCCGAGGGAGGGAGGCAAGTCAGGGCCACCCTTGTGCCTTGCCTCCATCTATTAACTCTGGAAACTGGAAGCGTTTCCACCCTTGTTAGTATGGCTCAGGAAAAGCATAGAGTAAAAATCACCATTCCCTTACTCCCTGCTCATTGGAGCTCATGTGCAACCCTCGGGGTATGGAGCAGACATTAATTTTTCCACCTAAGTTCTCCTTTATCCCAAGCCAAGAAAAGAAATCCAGGTTGGTCCCTGACAAAACATGTAAGCACTTACTCGGGTGAGGCCTTCCTGCAAGCATCCACCGGGGGTCGTAAGGAGCTCTGGATGGGACAAATTCAACTTCTCTGTCAATGGGGTCAGTGGATGTGATGATGGGGACCGGGCTATGATTATCCTAGAAGAGAAAGCCAGGGGCCCAGCTCAGTCTCTGATGCTTGTCAGCGTTCCTACAATCTGTGCATTTACTCCTCTGGCAATGACTGTGCCTGGCTATGCAGCAATATGCTCTCACTGCTTCTGAAGCCACTGTGCTGACTGGAAAATGCCAGACAAGGATTGGCTAGCCATAGATTCTTTCGAAATATACATTTTGAAGACCTGAATGCACCTCAGAGTTCAGATGGATTCAGTGAAGGTGGGAAGTGAAAGAAAGGCAGGAGAAGAGTTGCTACTGCAACCAACCTTTATGATGAAGAGCAACAACCTCGCTTACTTGAATGCAGGTTACAGTTAGCAAGAACCATGTCCACTGTTACCTACTTCTCATCCTGCTGGTCAGAGGCTTCCCTGTGACCCAGGCAGCACAAACATTGTCCCCCTGAACAGGTGAAGAAACTGAGGCTCCACATTTTGCTGAGCCAACAGCTAGTGAAAGAAGCCCCACCTGGACTGACTAATCATCACAGTTGACTCAGGAGTCGCCTTTGGTGAGGGCCTAAAAGTGCTAAGCCGGCACACCGGTCACTCCAAAAAGCTAAGAGACCCAGGGTCACACTGCTCCAGAAGAGGAAGCCAGAAATCAAGTCCAGGCTGGGTGTGAAGCGGAAGGCACTCTTCTCTCTCTCTCTCTCTCTCTCTGCCTCTCTCACTATTTCTCTCTCTCTCTCTCTCTCTCTCTCTCTCTCTCTCTTTATAGTGACATTGGTGCCACCAACACAGCAAAGAACAGCTGGGACATGGTGGGTGTCAGAGAGGGAGGGGTGGTAAAATTAACCCTATTTGCAGTGTTCCCTGCTGTCACCACCCCCCATGCCATCCAGGCAGTAACAGGGACACAGTTAGCAAATGAGCTGGACAGCAGTCTCCCAGGCTCTCAGCTGCAGGGGGACACTGACCTTTGGCATATATGACAGCCACTCCAGGATGGTACAGACGCCCTCGAAGTCGTCTGGCACAGTGATGTGGGAGACGCCGTTGTAGTGCATGACCTGCACACCACCCAGCTGGTTGTTGGATGTATAGACTTCTCGTCCCAGGACCTGCTTTGACACACACAATCAGCAAAGTCCTGCAGGGCTGGGCCCAGCCACCTGTTGGAAATCACCTCTCTGTACAGCTGCACGCTAGAATCACCTGGGAGCCTTCAAAACGCCCACCACCCAAGCTGCACCCAGAACAATCACACTAAATCTTTGCAGGTAGCTTCAAAGTTCCAGACAATTCCAGCAGAGATGCCCCCAACAACTATGGAAATCTTGGAAGGTTTTCTGATGTGGTGACTGCTCTGCAGTGGGGCCTGGGGGTTCATATCGCTACCAAGTTCCCAGGTGACACCAACACTGCTGCTGGACTAAGAACCAGACTTGGAGCCAGGTGCCTGTATTCGTGCCTGTAATCCTAGCTACTTGGCAGGCCAAAATCGGAAGGACTGTGGTTCCATGCCAGCCCAGGCAAAAAAGTTTACAAGACCCAATCTCAACAGAAAGAAGCTGAGTGTCGTAATGCATGCCTGTCATCCCAGCTACAGAAGGAAATATAAAACAGGAGGACTGCTGTCCAGGCCAGGCTGGGCGAAAAGCAAGACCCTATCTCAAAAGTAACCAGAGCAAAAGGGCTTGGTGGGAGTGGATTAAGTGGCAGAATTCCTGCACAGCAAGCGTGAAGCCCTGAATTCAAATCCCAGTACACCCCCCCAAAAAAAAAGAGTGACACTTAGAAGCTGGATGTGGTGGTGCAGGCCTGTAATTCCAGTACTCAGGAGGCTGAGGCAAGAAGATCATGAGTTACACACTGAGACTCTGTCTCAGGAAAACCAAAACGATCCAGATCTAGAGCCCTGCAGTGGCACTTGAGTGAACATTAAATCTGGAAACCTTATGGAAACATGGGAAATCTTTTACTAAGTGAAGAGAGTAGACTAAGACTGCAAACTGCATATCCACCAGGAATTAGCCAGGGAAAGATGGTACAGGGGAGAAATAACACTGCTGGAAGCCTTCTCCAGTTTTCTGCAAAGTCCAATGCTACTTTAAAATTTTTAAAAAAGGAAAACAGGGAGTTAGTTCCACCAGAAGAACTTAAAACTTCTTTAGGCACTCAAGTGGCACCTGTCTAACAGGAAAGAGGCCTTGAGTTCAAAACCCCAGTACCAGAGGCTGGGGGAATGGTTTAAGTGGTAGACGCCTGCCTGGCAAGTGCATGGCCCTGAATTCAAACCCCAGTACAGCCAAAAAATATGATAATAAATACATAATAATATTAATGTAATTAGTAGGAATAACTAATAAATAATTCACAAGGAGCCCAGATAACGACAAATTGGAAAATGAGCTCTCACTTTGGTAGGAATGAAACTGGCTTCATATTGGGGGAAAACCCTCACCAGAGGACAATGAGAACATTTAAAAGACTCCCAGGCTCCACAGATCCCCTCCCCACGGCCTTGTCACGGTCACCTTGTTGAGGGCACTTGCTCCTGTGAGGATGATGTGGGAGTTTTCTACCTGGATCACCCTCTGGCCCAGGCGCACCAGGTAGGCCCCGATTCCAAGAGCACGGCAGGTCACCTGTGGAGACAGGACCTTCTGGTTCCCAAGTGGCATGCCCCACCCCTTCCAGGGATCAGGGAAGAAGTTATGGCAACCTAATTCAGGGCCAAACAGCAAAGCAAGAGCCGTTTATTCTTCGGGTTGTTAATTCAAGCCTGGTTTCTGCCATTATTTTCATCTTAAATATCCCCAAGGTCCATGTGTTAAGGCTTGGTCTCCAGCTCAGTGCTGCTGGGAGGTGGTGAGAACTCTAAAAGGCAGGGCCCCTCTTAAAGTTCTTGGGTCACTGGGGGGTCCTTAGGTCTTTGAGAGGGACATGGGACCTCAGCCCCTTCCTCTCTCTCTCTCGTTTCCTGGTGGTGAGGTGAGCAATTTTTCTCTGCCACATGCTCTCTACATGATGTGCTGTCTTGCCACAGGCCCAAAACAACAGGTCCATGAACTCATGGTGGACCTTCAAAACTGTGAGCCAAAATCAACCTTTTCTCTTTCAAAGCTAATTTCTCAGGTGTTTGGTATACTGATAGTAGGCTGACTAACAGAGATTAAAGATAAACAGCAGCCACTGAATGTCTGGAATTTTAAGATGCTTGTACAGAGCTCTTCCAAACCCAGCTGTTCACAAGCCACCACAGCCTCTCCACCACCCAGGGGATGTCTAGGAGTGCATGTAAAAACTGGTGAAACCCAAGTAAGGTCTGTGCTGAGTTTCTATTGTGCCAACACCGACTTCCTGGTTTTGCTAAAATGCTAAGGATATTATTTGGGAGAATCTGGGTACCTGGGAATCCTCTGTACTATCTTATAACTTCTGGTGAGTCCTAAGTTATTTTGAGATTAAAACACATATACTTCCCTATGCTCACCTAGAAAGAAACAAGCTGAAGAAAGATACCAACACCGAGTTTTCTCCACTTAGGAAACCAACCATCCAACACAGAATGTGAAAATAAGACCTTACGTGACAGCTTCTGTTCAAAGAGTGTTATCACTGCCGCCTCTCTAGAAACCAACAACACTTTCAGAAAGGTCACCGGGCTGGGGTGGGGAATATTCATTCCATACCAGTGACGCCCTAAAAGCTCTTCCAAACACCTGACACCTTCAAAGGCAGAGAAAATTGGGTCCTGATTCAAACAGGCCAAGTAATAGAAAAGTCTTGAGACAACTGAGAAAACCGAACCAACTGCGCTCCAATGAACTCCAATAGCTGTTGGTTTTGTTGGGCGCAAGAATAGGATTGCAGTTATGTATAGAAGGAGAGAGTCGAGCATGGTGGTACCCCCTATAATCCCATCACTTGGGAGGCTGAGGTGGGAGGATGGAGAGTTTGAGGCTAGCCTGGTCTGTAGAGGAATACTGTTCCCAAATGATATAACATGATATGATTGGTATGGTATAATATATAATATCATATATAATATAATTAATATAATACACCGAATTGAAGAGTTAAAAAAAAAGTCCCTGTTTCTTAAAGGCCTGCCCTGAAGGATAAGTTGGCTTTACAACAGTGTAACAGGCTCAAGGGACTGAGGACACAGGAATGGCTGAGGGTTGACAGCTGGTGGAGTTGCATGATTGGCACAGTATCCATTATTCGTTCTCTGTGGTTTTGCGATGATCCTAAAATTTCCACAACAGAGATGGAAAAAGAAAAGAAAAAGGGAGAGTGAGAGGGACTCACCATGCTGATGGTGACAACCTCTTCATAAGCCAGGGAGGACTCCCCAGCGATCATGCCTGAGCCTCTCAGGTTCTCCACTCCCAAGCCGTCATCCTTCCCTATGATGTCCGTGACCACGTACCTGCAAGGACCGAATGGTTAAAGGCTGAGCTCTGGCCCAGAAAAAGTCAGGGTGGAAGATGGGCATGGAGAAATCCTGGTACAGGAGAAATGGTCAGAGGTAAAATGAAAGCAGCAATCTAGGACCCTTTCGGCTGGTGCTAAGATTTCCAGAAGGTCAAGCAGGAGGGCGAGAAGTGACATCTCTCCCAGTCAGATATCTGCCCACCCCCGGACTGTCTTACGAAAATGTGGCCCCTCCCGCAATTCTGCAAAGCCATCTAGATTAGGATTTGATCCTCAGAGGGAAGGGGGATGCATAAGGAGAAGCTGCTTAGTTCACCATCAATCAACCAAGACTCCGTGGCCACAAAACATGAGATGCACTGAAGCCAGACCCTGTTAGCAATTCACAGAGTGAGTTAAAGGCTCTGAGAAGGTCTGCAGGAGAGATGTCGTATTAGATCTCACGTGCCCTAGTGTTTCCCAAACTTGTTTGACCATGGACACTTTCATTAAAAATGTTTCCCCGAAATATCACTAACACTCCAAAAAATCACGTCTGCAAAATTCTGATTTGGTCTATCCCGCTAAGGAAAAAAGACCATCTCCCTGGAAAAGACAGTTAGGAGTCTCTGGTACTCTCAAAGAACAGATCTGTCTCCCCTCCTCCCAGTACCTTCCCTGGTCACCAGTCTGTACGTAAATGTGAGCTATAGCTCCTGGGACCCCATGAAAATCCAGTCTCATTGTCCCTGTGTGATGTGCTCTTTTGAGAAAAGGGTTGACTCAGTTTACGGTGACCAGGATGGGTTCATCTGGAGAATGCTCTGAATATTTAAGTCATCAGAGCCACAGATGAAAGGCACTTGGAAAACATCGGCACAAGCCTGATGGCAGAGAGGGAGCTCTCATCACTAGCTGAAGTGAACCACAAACAGAACCCGCTTCCCGCGGGCGCTCACCTGGACTCGCCTGCTTCCTCCACGTGCTTGCAGTGGATGGCGTTCAGGGAGCTGATTCCGGTGTAGTCTTGGGGTGTCAGGTACAGGTACTTAAATCCCTTAAAAACACACTTCAGTGAGCCTAGAATCTACTTGCCTGCACTTGACATTCGCTGTAGGGGTGGATGTTAGTAACACGCGTGTTAACACCATGTTACTAACAGGTTATCAACTACAGGTCAGGTCTGCTCTGAGCTGGGCACTGGGCTCTTCCCTCTCATGGTAACAAGACAGCCAAGCCTGTTTATGTACTAGATACCGTGTGTGTGTGTGTGTGTGTGTGTGTGTGTGTGTGTACAGGTGAATATACCTCATCCGACATACATGGGACCAGACACGTCTTGGATTTTAGATATTTTTGAATTTTGAAATATTTGCAGCTGCAGAATAACCTCTCTTGGGCCTGGGACCTGACTCTAAACAGGAAAGTCATTTATGGGACCTTTTACACACAGGCTAACTTAAGCCATATTTTCATACATGTGTTTTCAGTGTGACCTGTCACATGAATTCACCGCTGTGGTGTCCTATCAGTGCTCAAGTTTCAGATTTTGGAGCATTTGGGATTTCAGATTTTTGGATTTAGGATCTCAGCCTGTATAAGAATATAAAAAATATTTTGCTGACCCCCAAATAAGCTTATCCCCTCTAGGGGCATGGCAGTATCGCTGCCTGATACTTATGTTCCTGGTGAAAGAACGACTGTCCCCTGCTGTCTCAGTCACAGTGTCCATTGTCCTTTTATGGCAGCTGCTGGCTACACTTCCCCAGCTTTCTCACTTTTCAGTGAGGCCAGGTGGGCATGTTATCCACTTTGGCATTTTTGGCACAGTACGCAGGAGATGCTCGGGGAGATCAGCTTGGAATTTATAAACACCTTTTTTCCTTTTTGGTGGGAACTGGGGTTTGAACTCAAGGTTTCATGCTTGCAAAGCAGGCGTTCTACTGCTTGAGCCGCATCTCCAGTCCACTTTGCTCTGGTTATTTTGGAGATAGGGTCTGGTGAACTATTTATGCAGGCTGGCCTCAAACCACGATCCTCCAGATTTCAGCCTCCCAAGTAGCCAGGATTACAGCGTGAGCTGCCAAAGCACCCGGCTATAAAAAGCTTTTTATTATCATCCTGCTACGAGTGATAAAAATATTTTTAGATTTCTTTTCCTGTAATCATCCCCTCTGAATAAAACTGTTTATGCTCAATGCTTTACACATTAAAAAGTTCGATTTTTTTTTCTACCCAACCGTAGATGCAATCGTGCCTGTGACAATGACACCGATGGGATCTCCCCTCTCAAGTAAGGGTGCTTTTGATTCTGGATTCTGTATTCTGTATGGATCAGAGCATTTGAGTACACATAAGGAGACACCCTGGGAGCGGGACCAAGGTCTAAACAGAATCCATTCGTGTTTCAAAGGCACCTAACACACATACTGCATTTTTCTGCAGCTCATCGCATGGGATCAGGTGTGGAATTTTCTACCTGGGGCGCTACCTGGGGCGCCTCAAACCTCAGATTTGAGGTTAAGGTTAAAGGGATGCTCAACCCGTACTGTCTGAGTGACACGAGGCTGCCACCCCCACCCGGTGACGTACTTTGTGGGGGTCTTCTGGATCCACCCATGCCACCTGGAACATGTGTTTGATCTCCTCCGCCAGGCCGATGCGGGCCCCGCTGTTGGCCGCCAGGTACACTTTGGGGATGCCCTCTGCGCGGGCCATCTCGGACGCCCGCAGGTACAGAAGGTCCTCCCCTGTGCCGAAGGACCCGATGCGGAACGTGATGTCGTTGCTGATGACAACCACATCCCGCCCTTCTGGATACTCCTGGGTCTTAAACCTCATTTTGAAGGCCACCATGCCCACCTGGCAAAGACACGAAGGCACAGGAAAACGGGTTTGCTTCTTCCAGGACACGTTTGGAAAAGACTGGCTCCAGCCGGGGACTGGGCTCTGCTGAGCGCTACCTCGTTTCCCCCAGGAAGTCGGTTCATCTCCACCAGCTGGCCTTGAGGGTCCAACACCAACTCAGTGTAGGTCAGGATGTCCTTGGGGTACTTGTCTGGGGAGCCCCACAGTTTAAAGAGCGCCTGAAGGAGGGCAGGAAAAGGGACAACTTGAAGCCATCAGCAGGGAAGTACTGTCCTTCCCGCTGGAGATGACTTGTCATGAAATCACAGAGAACTGCCTGGTTCTCTCTTTTTTAGTCATGAAATAGTTAAAGCATAGAAAAAATGCAGAATGTCTGACAGACACCCAGGCACTGGTGGCTTTGTCAAATCAAGGTTTTCATAGTTGCTTAAGATTATTTTTTTTTTCTGAGACAGGGTCTCACTATATTGCCCAAATTTTCAGTTCTTGGGCTGACGTGATCTTCCTGCCTCAGTCTCCCTGTATATGGGGCTCCAGGTGTGTGCCACTGTGTCTGGCTCTGCCTAAGAAATTACAGAAAGATGTGCTTGAGCCCCTGGTGCACCCGACCCATTGCCCTCCCTCCCTTTTCCCCTTACAAGCCACAGGGACCAATTACCCCAAAGTAGTGCCTTCCAGTCCTGTGCCAGCCTTTGTTTTACTTCATCGTATAGGTACACACCGAAAACTTGTACCATTTTGCGTGACAAACGTCACATCAATGGTATCGCACTGGATATATCCTTCTGCGCCTTATTTTTTTCTACTCTCTGTTACATATGAGATTTACAATATCGACACATTTCTCTCTGGTTTATTTCTTTATCCCTGCTGTTCAGTAATCCATGATAGGACTATACTACAGTTTGTTTACGCATAAGCTTACTCGGGAGCATCTAAATTTTTTCCAGTTTCACAGTGGGATCAATAATGCTATAATAAATGTTCTTATAGTCTCTTCTTATAACTATAGGGAAGAGTTTTCTCTAGGCGTGTGTGTGTGCATTTTTTTTTTCTTGCAGTGCTGGGGATCTCACGCAGGGCCTTGCAAAGGTTAGGCAAGTGCTCTGCCACTGAGCTACTTCCCCAGCGCACACACACACATATGTATATGTATACACACACGTACGCACATCCACGCGCGCACACACACACACACACACACACACACACACACACACACTCCTAGCAGAACTGCTGGCTCACAGGAAGTTAGGCTCCTCAACTTTACTTGATATAATCGGATTGCTTCCCAGTTTCTTACACCCCTGTACAAGCTCAGCAGGAATATGTAAGCTCCTTTGCTGCAGGTGCTCTTCAACACTTGACCTTGTTGCCGTGATACGTTTGCTCCCTGCTGGGGGTGACTGTGTGGGTGGGACCAATCGTGTCCTTCTCGTGTATGTATGAATCATGTGACTTCCTTTTTACAAGTTTCCTGTTTAGAACTCTTGCCCCTTCTTTTCCTAGTTCTGCTTTTTCCTCTCTCCCTAATTGATTTATGAGCATTCCGTCAGTCATCTGGTTCTCATCCTTTGCTGGTCTTAAGCACTGAATATCTTCTCCCAACCTGGGCCTATCTTTTTCTATTTTGCAACATCAACTCCTAAGATTTAATGCAATTTTATGGGTCATTTCCTATATAGTTTATGCTTTTAATTGTCTTCAAATGGCTTTTATCCTCTTGAAATTTATTCTTGTTTACTAGACAACGCAAAAGTCTAAATTTACTTTTCCCACTAAGCAGCAATTTCTTGTGTCTTTTACCAAAGTTCACCCCAGAATCGCAGTCCCAGTTCTATGTCTGTCACTTATGAGTGGCTCTGACCCTGGCTCTCTGTCCTGTCCCATGGACCTGTCTAGCTCCACCACTAGACTGTTGCTTCAAAATAACTTACAGCATCTGCCAAGACAAGTCCCCCTGACTTGTCCTCTTTCACAACTGCTTCTGCTGTTCACAGGCTTTTGCATTCCATAGCAATTTTAAGATCAGCTTTTCAAATTTCACCAAAACTCCGGAATTATATGGAATTTAGTCTGTCTTTCTAATTTGGACAGAACAGACATCTTCACAGTAGGGCAGTTAGCATCATTCATGGATATAATATACCTCTCCATTCATTTAAAGTATTTCAGCCAAGTTTTAAAACTTTCTCCATATAGAAAATTCCTCTTACATGCTTTGTGTTTGGTTTATTCCTAGGTCAACTTATAGTTGATCTTGATATTGTGAATGGTGTATTTCCCAATTACATTGCATAATGATTGCTGGGCTATGAAATGCAATTAACGTCTTATATATTAACCTTGTATCTAGCAACCTTGCAATAGTCTCTATTTTCTTCTATAGATTCTCATGGATTTCAAATATACACATTTGCAGGTTATGTAAAACCCACCATTTTATTATTTTCTTTCCAGTCTTCATACCTTTTGCTTTATTTTTTCTTGGCCTGGAACTCAAGTACAAAATGTGGACAGAAGTGGTGACGATGAACACTTCTGTCCTCTATCTTTCTTTAAAGAGAATACTTCTAACATTTTACTGCTTGGTGTGATTAATTTGAGTTTGATATTTTTATCAAGAAACAAGTTCCCTCCTGTTCCTAGTTTATTAAAAGCTTTTATTCTAGCCAGGTATGGTAACACACACCTATAATCCCAGATACTCAGGAGGTGGAGGCAGAATCACTGAGGCCAGTCCAGGCAAGGGTAGCAAGACCCTCTTTCAGAAAAACCAAAATTGTGGAGTTGAGGGTATAGTTCACATGGTAGAGCCCAACCTAGCTAGCATGTGCAACACCGAGTACAATCCCAGTGCTGCAAAATATAACTTTTATTATGAGTGTGTGCTGTTACATCAAATACTTTTCCTTGCCATGACTGGGAAATGTAAATTTTTCCATAATCTACTAGTAGGGTAAATTACTTGCATAGACCAAATCATAGAAAACGTCACAGCATAAGACCTACTGGTCTAAGCTTTTAAAAAAAATAATTTTTAAAATTTGCCAATATTTTATTTGTTTTGTATCTGTGTTCATAAATGAAAAAGCAAATTTCTCTTTTCTAAAGACTTTATCTGGGATTAATATTAAGGTAATAACCTGATAAAATGAGTTAAGGCTCATTTATTCTTTTCTACTCTATAAGTAATTTATATACAAAGAGAATTATCTGTTTCTTAAAGGTGTGAGAAAAATTGTTTTAAAAACATCTGGATCCAATTTTAGTGGATAGATTTTTTTAACTATTAATTTATTTGATGTTTCTAATCTACTCTGATCAGATCTTCTGTTTCTTCTTGAGCCAGTTTGATAAGTGTGTTTTCCTTGAAATTTCATCTCATCTCAGTTTTATCTCCTTTAAGTGCAAATGGCTGCTCTGTTTCTTTATCTTAAAGAAGACAGACTTCCTCTGATTTAGCTTTGCCTCACCCCCTGAGGTCAGAGGCAAAAGGATACAGACAATGAAATTCTTAATCACAAAAGTTCCCATTTATTAAGTACCTACTGAATACTTTACACATATTTCTCCAACAACCTTACACTTTTATCACCCTCATTTCAAAGAGAAGGAAACTGAGATAAAGAAACTTGCCTAGGAACAACAGGAAGCAAAGGACAGACCTAGGACTCAAGCCCAGGCTTGAAGTGGCTTTTCCTTTTATTTTCATCTACTGTGCCTGATGCACAGGTGCACAGGCTAGGGCGGAAGTGACTCTCCCCGCCCACAGTTGGACCTTCATGACCTCAGATTCACGACATCATTCACAAAGCAAAGAAGGGGATGTGTCCAGTCTCCTTTAAAGGATTTTTCTATGTAAAAAATAAAGGCACAGAAAAATACTTGAAGGAAACACACTGAGGTGTTACTACAACTTCCATGCCTGGCAGAGAGGTCACATGTGAGGGACATTTTATTTCCTTATTCCTACTTTTTAAAATTTTCTGAATGGATACTTTAATAACCAGGAAAACATAACAAAACATTTCTCTCTCTCTCTCTCTCTGCCTCCCTCTTTCTCCTTCTCTCTCTCTCTCTCTGCCTTTCTCTTTCTCCTTCTCTCTCTCTCTCTTTCAAGATAAGGCTTTGCTGTGCTGCCCATGCTGACCTCAAACTCCTGGGCTCAGGACCTCCTCCTACCTCAGCCTCCCGAGAAGCTGAGACCACAGGTGTGTGCCACTGCACCTGGCTCCCAAAACATTTTCTAAGAGTAGACTAAAAACTCCTCAAAGTCCTGACGTGACTCTTTTTCCTCCTCCAGGTCTGCCTATCCCTAGGCCTTAGAATAGGGTCTAGCAGTGGCTTAACAAATGAACACTAAAAAGATCGGAAGGAAACACCAAAACATTAAGCAATCTGTCACAGGGTGTAGGATTACGAGTTACTTTTCTCTTTCCCATTCTCTTTTGCTTTACTACATTTCTGTATCATATCCCTTTTATCGTTAGGATAAAATTAAGTTTGGGGAAAAGTATTAATTCCTTTTTCTTCATGATGACCTTGTTGAGATGGGGGTCTCAGAAGCAGAACTAATGGGGTGGGGTAAAAGGAGCCCTCAGGGATGGGATGGCATCTGAGCTGTAGGACTTGCCTGTCTGAACATTTCTGGGAAGTCATACACATAGGTGGTGCCGAGAGACTGCGCCTGAAATCGCTTGGCTTGAAGCAGATCCTTGGTGACATAGGGTGTGTTGATGAGCATCCCGTGCTGGCTCCCTTGCTTGTTGCCAAAGGAGTGAAACATAATCTGGACCAGAAAGAAAGGAGAAGGGAGAGTGAGGGAGGCAGGTCCCAGAGAACCAGCTCCTACCAGATTCATTTCAAGAGGGAAGCAGAGCATGGCAAACCGAGTGCCCAAGATAGCCATGCTCCCTTGTCCACTGTGGTGAACCAGAACAAAGGCCATGAGAGACACAAAGACAGAGTTCCAGAAAAATGGTGATCAGAGCAACACACACACACATACACACACACACACACACAAGGTGCGCAAGGTAAAACTGCCAAAATCAGAATCAGGTCTGTATTTGGGTTAATAGCACTGTACCGATGTCAGTTTCCTGTTTTGGTAGCACAAAATACACCACTGGGGAAAGATGGGTGATGGGCACTTGTGAACTCTGTCCTGTTTTTTGTTATTGAGAGCTTTCAATACAATTCTTTCTAAATAAGAAGTGTGTGTGTGTGTGTGTGTGTGTGTGCGCGCGCACGGGCGCGTATGTATTTATATGTATATATCTATATATACATATGCACATACATACACACATGTGCATATATTTACAGACATACATGCTCACATATATACGATAGCTGTCAAAATTCCTTTTACGACAGTCTGTTCTGTGACTATTCTGGGAGAACATCACAATCAACCCAGGCTCCCAGCATCTCATCCAAGGACGGCTGCAGAATGGACTAAACTCTGGAGCCCTCAAGCTTGTGTTTAGGATGGACAACCAGGACTCAGAGGTAGCCAGTTCATCCCACCCTGGAGCCATCTAGTCACAGAGCTCCCACAAGCTGCCACAAACCGGCAAAGCAAGGCAATGTGAAGGGACAGGGCCACCACAGGTGGCTTTAATCTACTTCCTAATATCCCCAGCAGCCCATGGTCCCGGCATAGCCTTACGTTTCCGGATCTGGGGTCGGTCACTTCCTTGTAGAGGCTGATGTCCAGGTAGTAGCCCGACTCGTTAGTGATGAACAGGCGGATGGGCACAGCACTGCCGGCGGTGGTCTGACGGATGTTGATCTTGACTTCAGCCTGCAGCACACGGAGCTTCCACAGCCGGCTGCCATAGCGCATCACCATGGAGCGAACCGACTCCTCAATCTGCCCCAAGGCAAGCAACCCCCACTCAGGGCCTGTCCCCAGGCCAGGCAAGGCAAGGTCCCACCTGAGCTATGCCCGCAGCCTGACAGACTGAGCTGGGGCATCACGCTCCGCTCTCCCTGTGCCTGATGAGCCTGTGCACGGGGCTCCTCTCAAGGGTGTACACTGGTGGGGTCAGGGACCCCAGTGAGTGCTCTGCACCCCTCAAGGGCCTTGGGATGTCTCTCAGGCCAGAATCTGCACCAAGGAAGTCTGCTGCTTGTCCAGAACCAGCCGACAACCTCAGACTCTCACCCTCCTCCCCACTCTCGTGCAGCCCAGCAGAGCCTGGAACCAGGGCAAGGACAGCATTCAGCGACAAGGCATTCTGGGCATGGTGTCGCCCTCGCAGTGAAGCCCAGCAGGACAAGGCTGAAGTTTGGCCCTATAACTGAACCTGTTTTAGCAGCCAAGGCTTAACTATATGTCTGCTCATCCCAGGACTCAGGGCCCCAAGACAAAACCCCAAAGCCCAAAGGCATGAAGAACCGTGGAGGGTGAATCTGCCACAGGCGCGACCTTGAAGGGGTCCATGATGACGGTGGGCACGAAGTTGAGGAAGATGTGGTTGCAGTCAGTGCGCACACTGGTGTTGTTGAATGCCACCTCCAGCTCGTCCATGGCCTCCAGGAGCAGCCGCTCGCCCTCGTTCTGCAGGTACTCAAAGGAGGCTTCCTGTGGGAGGAAGAGCGCATCCTCAGGTGAGTGAGGCTCAGGAGGAAAACCTTCCTTGCTCTAGGCCACAGGCTCCCGGCCTCAGGTGGATTCAGCACTGTGATGCTGTCACATTTGGGTTTGTGCTGCAGCACACAAAGCACCACATCCAGAGACAGCAAACAACTCTTTCCAAGGCTGCTCACAGACTGCCCTCAGCCCACACCCCAACTGCTTCCTTAACCTCCTCACCCCCCAGCCACTGCCTTCTGGCCCTCATCCGCCAGTGTGCGGTACCAGCCAACCAGGGACAGACCTGTGTCCAGGGCTGTGAAACTATTCAAGATGGCCAGTCTTCCACTGCTTACCCTGCCTGACTAATCCTTTCTTCAGAAATCACAATAAAAGTTCTTGTCCCCTTTTTTCCTCCTTTCTGCCACCTGACCAACCCAGGTGGTTCCCCTACACACCCCTCCGTGGTGCTCTGAGGTCCCATTCTTGGAATTGTAGCACATTAGCTTTTTTTTTTAACTACATTTTTTATTAGGATACATTCATTATATGGGGGGGCTTCATAGTGACAATTCTGGTTAGTTTTTTATTGTATGTTAGTTACACTGTCCCCACTGTCTCTTCCCCCCAACCCCTCCCCGCCCCACTTAAAGCAATTGCAAGCGGTTTCTTAGTTCTGTTTCATATAGGTATATGAAGTCCATCTGCCATATGGTGTCACCTTAATCTTCTTTTCAATGGCAACCATTTCCTGATCTGTGGGCTCCCCATACCTATGTAATAACACAACCTACTGAAACACCTAGTGGGCTGAAACAGCAAACAACTGAGACTAGCTTAATCTCCATCAATAGGAGATTTGTGAAAAAAATATCACAGAGAGAGAGAGACAGAGACAGAGAGACAGAGAGAGAGAGAGAGAGAGAGAGAGAGAGAGAGAGAGAGAGAGAGAGAGAGAAGGTGTCCATGTAAGGGAACAGCAGGAATCATAAATCTTTCTCAGTAACATGGAAAAAGATCTACAAGGAACTAACCAGTAAAAAACCCAATAGTGCTAGGAACCAGTGGCTCACGCCTGTAATCCTAGCTACTCAGGAGGCAGAGATCAGGAGGATTACGGTTTGAAGCCAGCCAGGGCAATAGTTCTCAAGACCCTATCTCAAAAAAACCCATCATGAAAGAGGGCTGGTGGAGTGGCTCGAGGTGTAGGCCCTGAGTTCAAACCCCAGTACCACAAAACAAAAAAACAAAACTCAACAGTGTCCAAATGATCTCTCCACCCGGGGCTCATACAACATATATACAACATTATAGCTCCAACTCTAGGGACAGAAGTTTGCAAAAAGGGTTACCCACAGAGCAGGTCCCTCTGTGGCAGAATTTTGGGTCCTTTCCCTGTTGTTTTGTTTTGTTTTGTTTTTTACCTGGTGGTTCTGGGATTTGAACTCAGGTCTGGGATTTGCAAGGCAGGCGCTCTCCAACTTGAGCCACTGCCCCAGCTCTTTTGGCTTTAGGTATTTTTGAAATAGAGTCTCGCATTTATGCCATGACTCTCCTATTTGTGCTTCCTAAATAGCTGAGATGACAAGCACACGCTATTACATGCAGCTACTGGTTGAGATACCCCAGACTGGCTTCAAAACGAGATCCTCCTGATCAGCTAGAATTATAGGTGTAAGCCTTGATCTTTAAAAACAGTTTTCAGTAGTGTTTGAAGTTTTCACAAAATAACATTGATTACTTTTCTAAAAGCAAGAGACGATAGAAAATGATCATTCACTTCATCAGTAAATATAAGAAATTCCCTGAGCAAGCCATTATTTTTCTCTACCCTGCCTTCTCGTCTCATGCAGAGAGAACCATATGACACAGGAAATGGAGCCAAGCACACCAGCTGGGATGAGAAAACAGGCACCTTGCTGTCTGCCTCCCCCTCCCCCCGCTAGGCTGGAGCGTCACAAAGGCAGGGCTCTGTGTGTGCCCAGTGCATCTCTGGTCCCCAGCATGCAGCCCGGGGCCTGGCAGAAACTTGAGGAAGGGAAGACCAGGACACGTGGGGACAGACCCATTCTGAGCCATTTTACCTTTGTGATCAGGTCTGAGTGCCTGATGATGGCACGGATGAAGAACCTGTGGTCTGTCACTTCCGCCCCTTCCTTCACCTTGGCGGCACCCAGGTAAAGGTGCATCTTGTGGTTGGCGCAGGGCACAGCGGTCAGGTCAAAGTTACGCATCCGGCTGAGCTCCAGCTGGAAGGCCAGGGCAGGCTCCAAGTGGCGGTAAATGCGATCCTCTGAGAACTGTAGGCCGGCCAGTGAGAGAGAGGATGGACAGGCACACGGACAGACAAATGGACACACACAGTGAGACGCTGCACCTGCAGGCCTGCATGGTCCAGACTCCTGGGGCTCAGGAATGGAGCAGTCACTGTCACTCATTGTGAGCCAATGAGTGACAAAGCTCAGGAGCCAAAGCTCAGGAGGCTTAGGGTTTTCCTAAGCACAAAGATAGCCATGAGCACCGCGTGACTACAGTGCTGGGGGTGGGGAGGCAGTCCCAGCTCCTGGGGAGTCCAGCTGGTCCCCAGCACAGGGCGTGATTAAGCTAGCCCCTTGTTTCTTTGTGGAAACTGGTCCACAAAAGTAAACAAGTGACAGAGCTGTGAACTAAGGACGATGAAGTCTAAAACAGGATGGGGCACAGCTGGGAAAGTCAGGCTTCCTAATAATTAAAACACAGGATACTGAACTTGGATGGGACTTGACCCTGGGCCAGGGATGAGCCCGCTCACTCTAGAGTTGGGATCTTTTCCTTAAAGGGTGAGACAGCTAACTGTTTTAGAATGAAGAACCACACAGGCTCAGTTGTAACTACCCAACACTGCTACTGCAGGGTGAAAGCCCCAGTAGGCAAAACATAACCAAATGGGTGTGTCTGGGTTTCAGTAAAACTTTATTTGTAAAACAGGCGGGTGATCTGCAATATAGTTTGCCAACCACTGGTCTACAAGTTGTAGGAAAAGGAGAAACCATTAAAAGAAGCCAGGGGAGAGAGAAGAGGGTCATTGCTTTGGCCATACCTCATCTCTTGCTCTGAATGTGAAGAACTTGGGAAATTCTTTCTGAAAAAGAAACCCACATAAAAGATGACTGAATCAGGCAAGACTCATGAAATGCGTCGCTCTTTCTGTGGTAAGCGTTAACAATGACTCAATCTGCTTCTAGAATGACTCATGTTGAAAGCAACCAAGCTCTGCTACCCCAAGCTACAGAGCAAATATCAAATTCACAGCCTAGAGGGTGGAGAAACTGAGGGATGACCTGAGGCTTGCACTGACCTCCTGGGCAATCAGGAATGTGATTCTTCGGAGTCCATAATCCACAAGGATGTGTTTCTGGATTAAAAAATCAAACAGAAAAACTCACAAAACAAGCAAACAGGGTCATCGTTTAATTTGTCAACAAGATAAAGACAATTATTGTGGGAAATTTCAGAATGAGATTGAGATAAAAGCACGCACACAAAGAAACATGTCAGGAGGATACAGATGGAAGAGAATGGACAAACAAAAGAATGAAGACACTGAGTGGAAAGTTAACAGTGTATTCGGGTGAAGGTACAGGTGGATGTGTGGATGTTCATTTTGTGTGTGTGTGTGTGTGTGTGTGTGTGTACACATGCATGTATGTGCTTAAGGTGAGAATTTCTAAACACCTTAGAAACATATGACTTAAGTTCTTCCTTTCCACATCAGGCACACGCCATTCTTCCGGCTCTTTTCTCTTCAGTGTATCATGCACACATATAAATATACACACACGCATACACGTCTACACTCTGTCTCATGGTGTCTCCCTGGGGCTGTGTCTAGAGAGATGTCTGGGTCCATCCACACCAAGGGCCCCTCAGTGACCATTCTGTCAGGAGATGCTCCTGACACTCCGCCCTCTCTGGGTGAGCACCCCCAAGTATAGTGAGCTTCATTTGGCATGGGGGGGACAGGTGAACTCCCGCCAAGCTGAGAGGTCCCCTCCCTTGAGCAGGGGGTGCCAGCTGAACCCCAGGAATGACATCTGGGCTAGGAAGAGACAAGCTGGGCAGGAGTATGCCAATATTTTCAGGGCCCACCTTGGAGGGCAGGGCAGCAGACTTTCTTTTAAACCTGCTTTTCAGACATGTGCATCTTCAATTTTTCTACAGTGAACACCGTCACATAGTTGATTCATGATGTAAGAGGCAAACATTTCCATAAACAATGCCTGTCCCAGAGGGCCAGGACAGATCCTCTGAAGGACGCCGGGTCACGTGGAAGTGGGATGTCCCTTCTACTAGAACAACGCTGAGAACGACACGTGTACACAGAAAAGCAAACAAAAAGCAGCAAGTGAAAGTTCCCAGGTGGTTGACACCAACTCAGGAGGGTCAGCAACTACCATCCAGACTGTGTGCCTGGCAGATTCACTTCCTTTATGAAACCAAGAACCTCTGCTTCCCATTTTCCAGATGGAAAAACTAAGATCAGAGAGGGAAAGTCTGCTGCCCCGGGTCACACAGGTGATGAAATCACACTATTTCTTTGCTTTTGTCTGCGTGCTTGGTAGGTAGGTATGCCACCACCTGAACCACAGCACTAGCACTCCTTGCTTTAGTTATTTTTTAGATAGTATCTCGTATTTTTTGTCCAGTTCAGGCTGGATCTTGATCTCCCTACTTATATCTCTGGCATAGCTGGGAGACTACAGCCATGATCCACCGCTTCTGGCTTACTGATTGAGATAGGGTCTAAGTTTTTGCCCAGGCTGGTCTCAAACCACATTCCTCCCAATCTCTGCCTCTCGAGTAGCCTCTGCAAGCATGAGACTCTGCAACCTGCTTGTGCTATGGTTTAAAGGTGGTTTATTCCCACCAAAACTCACATTGAAGCATAATTCCCCAATGGAGTAGTACTGAAGTGGGAAGGTAGCCTTCAAGGTGGTGATTAAGTCATAAGGACACCACCCTTGGAAGGAACTAATGCAGTTCTTTAAGGAACAGGCTAGTTCCCATGAGAGTGTGTTGTTACAAAAGAGCAAGCCTGGTCCTCGCCCCTCTCTCTTCCTCTCTCGCACATGATCTCACATGTACTCCTGCTGTGTGATGTCACCTGCCGTGCTATGACACAGCAGAGGCACCTACGACATATGGTTGCCTGATGCAGCCTTAAGAACTGTGAGCTAAACAAGTCTTTGTACTTTATAAAAGAATTGAGCCTCAGGTATTTTATTACAGCAATGTAGAACAGATCATGATGCCTGCAGCCAGGAGTACCTTGGACTGAACGAACGTCCGGAAAATTGGCACCAGCGCCTCATCCTCCAGGTGGTCCGCACACTGGATGGCCACATTCAGGATGTGGATGGGCTCTTCTCGGAGGTTCTACAAGAGAAAAATGAGGACTGGGGTGCGAGGGGAGGTCTGCAGCCTGCCTCTCCTGTGGGCTGCTCCCTGGCTTGGCCACTCACCTTGCTGTCGTCCTCAGTATATAGGGAGGTGCGGGCCTTGCTGAAGAGGGGGGTGTCTGTGGGTACGTTGGCAAAGCAGGAGATGACTTCATCAAAGTTCCTGAGGTGTGGGGCAGGGAAGGAAGGCTGAGAGCCACCGCCTCCGGAGGACATGGGCTGGTTCTTAGATCAGGCAGACGGATGCACCAGGACCTCCCTGTTCCCCACCAACATTCTGTGCAAGGTTACATGTGGCCCCCTGCCTGGCCCAAGGCACCCCAATCAGGTCGTTCCCAAAAGGCAAAAATGAACCCATGTGGTCTGAGATCGGGAGTCAAGGAAAGAGTTGCAGCCCATCAGGCTGTCAGCTGGGCCTAAGCACAGCTCTTGGCGCCCCATTATTGGCCAGGAGACCTCTCAGTACTCCCCTCACTTGAGTCAGAGGAGGATAAGTATAACCTCTGCATCCCACAAGGGTGTGGGAAAACACAACAGGGTAATCTAAGCACAGTGACACAACAACACACAGTAACAGGCTGAGAAAGGCAGCAAAGATGACAGTTCTGGAAGCTGACCTAATGGGCCTGTCACTCACATCTGAATTCTACTTTCAATATACTGCCCTACATTTAATTTTCACAATGTGCCTATGACATACGTCCCCTTACTGTTCCCATTTTACAGATGGGAAAACTGAGAGAGGTTAACAGTTTGCTCAGGCCCAGTGTGAGAAATGCAGAGCCAGGCTTCCAACACTGCGGAGCTAACACACAGGTCACACTCTTGAGTACAATGCTACTATTTAAATTTATTTTTTACTGATACATAAAAATATAAAAGTTATACATAGTACATGTGTAATCATACAATGTAACATTTCAATACGCTCCCTAATGTTTGAATCAGATGAAACATATCTCCTCAAACATTCATTTCTTTTATGGTGAAAACTTTCCAGAAAGTGTTCTCAAGATCTCTTCTTCTAAGCTTTTTAAATTTTTCCTGTTGGCTGTACTGGGGTTTGTTTTCAGGGCCTTGCTAGGCAGACACTCTGCCACTTGAGCCACCACCCCACCCCCAGCCCTTTTTTTACTTTTATTATTTTTCAGATGAGGTCTCATGTTTTTGCCTGGACCTCAAATCTCCTACGTATGCCTCCTGAGTAGCGAGGATTACATGTGTGAGCCCCTATACATGGCTTATTTATCAAGATGGGAGGCTCACTAACTTTTTGCCTGGGCTGGCCTCAAACCACGATCCTCCTGACCTCCACCTCTTCAGTAGCTGGGATAACAGGCATCAGTCACTGCACCTGGCCCTTGATCTAGCTTTTTAAAATGCACGGGACATTACTGTTATCCACAGCCACTCTCCTGTGCAATAGCATGCCAGAAACCTCTAGCTTTCAACTCACAGGGCCAAGTGTCTTGGTCTCCCCAATCCATGTGTCAAAAATGGAAGGGGGTCAGAGGAAGCTAGTCCAGTCCCTCTGCTTGGGCTTCTCGGGAGACCGGGCCACATCTTACCTGGTGAAATCCTCAAATCTCCTGAAGGCGACCATGGCCCCCATTCGCTGGCACAGTGGGGAGAAGCGCTGTCCATGAAGAGCTCCGTGCTGTGCCTCAGCAGGTCAGGGTTGGTGACGCTGATGGGCGCGGATATCCTGCAGGGTGACAGCAAGTGAAGGATGGGGTGGCTGCCTACAGACTCCATCCTAGGAGCGGCTCTGTGCCGGTTGCTGTGGGGAGCCACGCCAGGATTGGAACCTGCCCAAGGTGCGGCTCCAAAACTGGGGGCCGAGGGGAGAGACTGAGGTTGGGGCCAGGGGCTAAAGGGATCTCATCTGATTCCTCTGAACCCGATGAAGAGTAGGCCCCGGTAAGTGAATGAATGAACAAATGAACGTTGCACGCATGCCAACACGGTCCCAGGGTCCATCCCGAGAGGTGAGCGTGGCCACACAGAGAACGAAGATTCCAGCACTGATTTCTCTTGGACAGCCTCAGCCCTGTTCAGCCAGGGAGGGCAGGCTTGGTCCTAGGGATACTCCAGGCCTCTGCTCTCCCTCCTCCCTCCCCTCCATCAAACTTTTCTTGGGCCAATTAGAGTTTAGATAGTTGCTGTTTCCAGACGCAAATCCAATGAGGTCATCCAAGAATTTTGGAATTGGGCCCTGGAATCAGGTATAGGAGGCCCGATCTGATAGTGTGCAGAAAAGAATGAACACAGATATTTATAGAAAGGAGACCTGCTTGCAAGGTTAGCCCATGGCTGGCATCCAGGAACTTGGATTTGTGGAAGGTTTGCACCCTTCTCTAAATGGTATGGGTACTGGCTGTGCCTAAGCTATTTGTCCCCAAGAACAAGGTTTATGCTGAATACCTGGGGTCTTGGTGCCAAGGAGAGGATGCCTACCGTGAGCGGCTGCCAATAAACTCAGGGGCTGATTTCTAACAAGCTGACGGACAAGGTGACTTCATACATGTCACCATTAGTGGCTGGGGACTAGCATGTACTGTGGGAATCATGGGACCATGTCCCTGACAGCAGGTGTCTGGCTCCCTGTGGACCACCCAGCTGCCTGTGGCTTTGCCAATTCTGTCTTGGGTCCCTGCACTGTAGTAAGCAAGAGCCATGAGTCATCCTGATGAATCAGCAAGCCTGGGGGTCCGCAACACAGGTGTGCATATTCTTGTTGGTACCCCAAAATCATGGTCCAGGACCTTTACTCCCCTACGTGACTAAACCCAGAGGTCACAAAGTGGCATTCTGTGAGGTTCAATTCAGACTTACTTTGGTCCACACAGTACTTTGAACATACATGAGTTCACTGTTCACACTGAAAACTTCAGGAACTTCTGATTTTTGTTTGTAATAAAATCTAGATTTCCAGCTTCTGCTGGAAAAAAGCAAAACAAAACAAACAAACAAACAAAAAAAACGCCAGGGAAAGGCCTGGCCTTGATCAGAAAACAGTAGGCAGGGCTAGAACACAGACCACTGGGCCAGGTCTGTGGGAGCATCCAGCTCCCACCCAGTCCTGCTCACAGTCCCTTTGGGCACTAAGGAGAGTAACAATCCAGGTCCAGGCTGCAGCCTGCAAGATACCCCAATAACCCCTCATGTGGCCTCCCTGCAGGTGTGAATAACCCACACACCTCCTGGCTCTACAGATGCAGGTACTAAGCTGGGCCAGGCTTTCCTGCAAGGGAGTCCTCAGTCTTCACGGCTCTCCCAGAGGCCTCTCTGGCTGGGCTCTTGGGCTAGCCCCAAGCCTGTGGGTACTCTCATCCCATAGCAACAGCCAGGTGCTACCCCTGGATCAGGGACTCCCTCCAGGGTCCTCAATATCTCTCTGGGTCAAAACAGGACCTGGTACCTATACTGGGGGCACAAGAAATAACCTGGGTATACTTGTGGTTCCTTTCCAAGATACAGTGCACAACCCACAGCTCATCAGAGAACTGCTCTTCCTCTCCTAGCAAGACTAGCTGCTGAGACAATGAAGTCAAAGAAAAGAACTCCCCGTAGCAACTTCAAAATGCCTTACACTGCACCTTCCACCACCCCCAAAATGATCCCAGGCTAGAAGGCAGCATAAGACTTTTCTTGCACACACAGTGGGATAAAATGTCACAACCCTTATTTAGAAATTAGAAAAGTAAAAATAAATGATAAATATGAAAGGAGGACCTCATAGGGAGCCTCTTTCTCCATCCATACCACCTTTCTTTCTAAAGCTAGCAGACAGACAAATACTTTTAAAAATACCAAGAGACCAGGAAAATCCCTGCTTCCTGTAGATAGAAGATCTGATCAGCAGAACCCCAAACTGTGATGACACCATTCCAGCCACAAGCAAGGCCTTTGAGAAACCCTACAAGAACCCAAAACAGAGCAACCAGGAAGAGTGAAAGGGAACACTTCGAATGCCAGGGGGACATAATTACTTTATAGAAGGTATTGCACTCCACCTGACCAGAACGGGACTTCGGACCCTGAAATAAGATGGTTGAAAAAGAGACTGTGAGCCAACAGTACAGACACAAGAGACATTCCCAGCAAGAACATCGAGGAGATTCACTAAACCACGGTTTTTGGATGGCAGACTCCAATGACACAGACAGGCCAACACAACTGTCCTTGTGCTTGTACCCAAGCATCCTCAAGTGCTGTGGAAAGAACTCTGAGGTGAGGCTATGATGTGATTCCTACTCCATATGAGCAAGCAGATCAGCCTTTGGCAAATGAAGGCCCCAAGGCTCTCATCTGTAAAGTGGGAATGAGGACACACTTTTGGCCAACAGATGGCAAGGGCTAAGTGAAATGAGAAAGTGGAAAAGCTCTGGATGGTACCTCGCCATCATCAGACGGTAATAGCCTTGAGTCACCATCCTCACAGAGATTGGCTAGGTGGTGTTGCAAATGCTGCGTGTGCCTTGTCTCACTCTTCGCAATGGCCTAGGACAACACTGCCTACTAGAGCTTCCTGCCATGGCGGAATGTTCCAGAAGTGCCCTGCCAGTATGATAGCCAAGAGCCACATTGGCTGGGCGTTTTCAATGCAGCTGGTATGACTGAAAGGCTGAATTTTCAATTGCATTTTCATTTATTTTAATTTAAAGAGGCTCCTGTGGGTCACTGGACAGCACAGGTATAGATGGACGCTGAGTTTTCTCCACTTTACAGATGACAGCATGCAGCTGTGAGGGACCCACGGCAGGGAAGGGGTCTCTCCAGCATCACTCCCAGACGTACTTGCTGGGTCCTTCAAAGACAAGACTACAGCAAGGTGTGCACTGTCCCATACCTGTTTGGGTGGGAAGAGGGCAGCATGAACTGGAACTCCACCACGCAGGTGCCATCTGGGAGCTCCCGGTGCTGCAGGCTGTTTAACTCATAGGCAATGTAGCCTCTCCGCACATAAACCTAATGGGGCAGAGGAAGCAGGGTGGACATTCAGAGGGCACCAGACGGTCCTCCACTCCTAAGAAAACTCAGGGCTACATGGATACGGGGAATGACCTCTAAAGGATGTCTACAGAGCAGTTAAGAACACTCAGTAAGAGCTGAGAGAGTGGCTCAAGTGGTAGAGTACCTGCCTAGCAAGTGTGAGGCCTTGAGTTCAAGCCCCAGTGCTGCCTCCAAAAAAATATTCAGCAAGGGTTGATAAACTTTTTCTGTAAAGAGCTAGACAGTAATTATTTTAGGCTGTGTTGGGACACATCTCTTTGCAAATATTTCATTGTGCTGTTGTAGAATGGAAGCAGCGATGAAATTATGTAAATGAATGGGTGCAGCTGTGTTCCAATAAAACTTTATTTATAACAATAAACAGTGAGCCACATCTGGCCCAAGGACTGTAATTTGCCATTCCCTTCTCTAGAGCAGCTCTAAAAACAGAAGCCACAATAATACAAGCCACATATATAATCTTAAATTTTCTAGTGGCCACTTAGGGGAAAAAAAGGTAACTAGTAAAAACAATTTCAATAATAGAGTTTATTTTTCCCCAAATATCCCAAATATTATCATCCCAACATGCATCAATGTGAGAAATTATTTAGGCATTTTACATTCTTTTCCCCGCACTGTCTTTGGAGTCAAGAGTGTATTTAACGCTCACAGTGCAGCTCAGTGCAGACAAGTCACACCTCAAAAACTTGCTACCCTCATGTGGCTTGTGGCTGCCTTACTAAACAAGAGAATCCTAGAGTATAAACACTGCAAGTGTTTCAACAGAACAGGGGATACAGAGACTGCACAGTTACGCAGCAGGCTTCTGCTGTCCACAGGAAGACCTGCTTCCAGACTGGCCCAAGCCAGCACTGGGAACTTACTATATTTGGGGAGGATGCCCACCATCCCTGCTAAGAAAGGTTCAAGGTGCCTAAACTGTTCGTGTTAACAATGGGCTTGTGCTGAACACCTATGTGCTTTCTTGGAGTTTAGACTTTTGTTACTGTTAGGCAAAGGGTGGACCAATCCTACTAAAATCTCCTGAGCTTCACACATTGTCACAACTCATGTTCAGAGGAATTCTGCTGGGACAGAACTGTTGGGAGCTTGTTCCTGGTTCCATCAAAGGCTGAATGACGTTCAATAAACGGGGTAGACAAAGTCCTCTAATAGACACAAATAGTCTTGACACCTTAAAAAGTAACTTTTGACAAGGTAGATTGGGTCTCACGGCTGGAAACTAAGACTGAGGCCCAAGAGGAAGTCTTCAAAAAAAAAAAAAAAGGCAGGTCAGGAAACCCCGTGGCTGTCACATGCTTATAAGCCCAGAATGGTCTCCACAAAGACCGAGCCAACCTTCAGGCATCAGGGCTACCCACGGAGTCTAAAAGATACAGGAGAGAGAGTAGGGGCCACAGAGAACAAAGACACTGAGCTCAGAGGATTCCAGAGTGAGAAAGAACTACCACCAGCCACACAGTAAGAACCAACTGAGAAATATTCCTGTAAGAACAGATTAGAGCACCTGCTGACCTCCGAATTCCAAGCATGAGCAGGACAGTCCAGTTCTAATCTGTTACTGCTAGTCATGCTCTTCTCTGCCTTGTCACATGGGCTGTCATGTTAAGTCACCTAGGCTCTGACCAGCTCTCATAGCTCCAGGCAGAAAGGTTTTCCAGAGGTAATTAAGGCTTGTGAGTCAGGAGGTTTGGGCAAAGTTCCTTGGACTCAGCTCTGGGGGTGATGGGGGAGTGCCACCATCTAGCTGTGCCCTGCCTGGAGGAGGTTGCAATGCCACGGGCCACAGTACCAGTTACCAGCGGGGACTCTGCAATAAGACTAAGTGTGACTCCTGGCTCTGCCTCTTCCCAGCTGTGTGACCTTGAGCAAGTCACTTCACCTCTCTGAGCCTCAATTCCTTCCTCTGTAAGATGGAGATAGTAACAATCTCGACCATGTAGCTGGAAGAAGATCATGTTTGTGAGGTGTGTAGCCCAGGGCCAGGCAGTGAACGCTACAACTGGCTAGCTGTGTGCTGCCGTCCTTCCCTCGGCCTCTCTTACCTCCAGGGACGCCATGCAAACGACTTTGTTAGTGTGGTAGAAGAAAGTGGGCAGGACGTCAAATATGGTTGTTTCCGAAAGTATTAATTTCTAGGAAAGGGGAGAAAAGCAAACATGAATGTAAACAAGTTTTAGCCACCAACCAGGGACTGGGAGGGTGGGAGCAGGCAGAAGTCGCCATGTTGCTATTGCTGATTAGGCCAGTGTCCCCAACACAAGCGCTTCTCTGGTGTCAGAAGATTTGACTGCACCCAGGGAGAGACTTCCAGCGTCAGCCACTGAGGGGGTTGTCTGCAAGCTTATAAATGATCCAGAGTCACGATGGGAGGCCCCTGGCTACAGGCAGGGAGGGCTCCCTGCTTCCAACCAGGCTCCATCACAACTGAATTTTAACAATACACCTGCCAGGACAGCCTTGTGCCTGTCACCCTCTGCATCCTGCAAGACTGGGCTGCACACCCACCTCTCCCAGAGTCTGTCAACACCCCCTGGGACAGTCCAGGCCACGCAGCACTGAATGGCACTGGATTGGGGGCACTTGGAGGGCAAGGAGAACCCATGGCCTCCAGAAACTCCCACCTGGACCCTAGCCTGTGCTCTGCAGAAGCTGAAGAAGGCGAGGCTCACCTTGAGGTTTTCTGGACAGAACTGGTGGCCATACATGTCAATGGCGGACAGAAAGATGGACTCCACCTGGTTGTGCCTCAGTTCATAGGATGGGAGGTGGGAGGCGATCAGGACCTGAAGGTGAAGGGGGTGGATGGAGGGCTGGTGTGGCTCAAGTGGGGGATAAAGAGGACCACACACTGGGACTCCATGCTTGGAAACTGACCTGCCTGGCTCTGAGGGCCACTTTGCAGTGTTCACTCTTACTCAGCTGAGTGAGCTCGTTGAGGATGGAAGTCAGCTCATCTGACAGGGCAGGATCGGGACCACAGAGCTCATCCTTTGGGGGCAAAAACATTATCCAAATGACTTTACAATGCCAGAGGGGAAGCAACCAGAACTCAGCAGGCCAGGGAGTCTAGTCTCAGCTCTCTGGACACACCCCTACCCATGTCTACCATGTGTACATCCATTACTCATTAACCCATTCATCCTCTCCAGAACACAACATTGACACCTGGTAAGTCCCTGCCTGTATTAGCGGATGAGTGTCCCTTATCTGAAATGGTTTGGATTTGGCAGGCGTGGGGGTGTTGGAATATTTGCATATACATCATGACATATCTTGGAGATGGAGTCCAAGTGTAAACATGAAATTCACTTATGTTTCATAACACAGCCTGACAGTCATTTATACAATGTTTTTAGTGCACCTGCATTTTGTCTGTGACCTGTCACACTGTCGCAGGAGGTCCTACATGGAATTTTCCACTGTGGTGTTGCATCCGTGGTCAAAATTTTTCAGATTTTGGAGCATTTCGGATTTGAGGTTTGGGGATTTTTGTATTATTCCCAGCCAGTGATTATCAGGAGATTACTATTTGCCAGGCAAGCAACTAGTTCTCTCTCACACATTTTCCAAATACTCCCAACCCTCTGATGAGTCACCATCATGATCCCCACTTCACAGATAAGAAACCAGCTTAGACGGACACTAGGCTTTGCCCAAGGCCACCAAAAGAGCCAGGTGAACACAGAGCCAGGTTCAGAGTCTCTGACTCTTTCTCCTACACATTACTGCCTAAATTAAATGTTGATTCTTTGTGTACATCCTTTCTTGCTGCTGCTTCTGAACCAGGGACCTCTCTGCTGGAGACCAGGACCATGTGTGAGTTGTCTTTGTACCTCCTCAGTGAGACATTCCCACCCAAGAGGGCTTTGGGAACAACTAAAGGCAGGAGCTCCCTAAACACCACTGGAGACACATGGATGAATGCAAGAAACCAGAGTTCCTGCCCAACCTGCCTCCATCTCCAGCATCACTCCACACTGTCTTCCAGGAAGTCTCACCACCACTAGCTCCTTGAGAAAAACAGACTCTCCCACTTGTCTACAGAACCATTAAAACACCAAAGAAATTGAACATGAAACCAACACTATCTAATCTCCACTCTACGTTTAAATTTCCCATTGGGGAAGCTTTCAAAAAACTCTACCACCTGGGCCCCACCTCCAAAAACTCTGATTTAAATGATCAAAGGGAGAGGCTTGGGCATCTGCTCTTTTTTTTTCAAGTCACCCCATCCCCCACCAAGTGATTCTTATGTGCAGTCATGATTAAAATCTGCACAAAGAAATTCTGAAATGATTCTTTCAAAAACACCAATGTTCAAGAATACGTCTGGTTAGCCTGTGAACTACCCTGTAAGCTGGTGGCTCTGATTCAGCCCAATGATTGTTTTTGTTTGGGTTTGGATTTTTGTGTGTGTGTGTGTGTGTGTGTGTGTGTGTGGGACTGGGGTTTGAATTCAAGCCTTCACAAGGCAGGCACCCTACTGCTTGAGCAACACCCCCTCTCCATTTTGCTCAGGGTATTTTGGAGATGGGGGGTCTCTCGAACTATTTGCACAGGCTGGCCTCAAACCATGAGTCTCCTGATCTCAGACTCCCAAGTAGCTAGGATTACAGGCTCTGATTGTTTTGGTAAAGAAAGTTTTTTTTTTTTTTTTTTATAGGAACACAGCTGCACTCGCTCATTTACGTATTGCATAAGCTGTGCTCAGGATCCAAGGGCAGAACCTGCAACACAGGCATACAGCCACAAGACTGCAGTCTTGTGCAGTAGTTACTATGGGGCTCTTCACAGAAAAAAATGCCAACTCTTTCTGCTAAAAGCCAAGCCCAAGTCTCACCTTCTCTGCTGAACTCCCGTTTCCCAACTAAGTCATCGGGGACCATTATCAAGAGGAAAAATCTTTAACTAAGAAAGACTGCTAGTTATCAAGGAAAAAGTCTTCAACTATAAAAGATTGCTAATTACCACTGACACGAAGAGAAATATGAATGAAGAAACCCCAACTTCTCCAAGAAGACAAAATGAAAGATCTACCATAAGACTCAGAACCCAGTATCTCCAACATTGATGACTCTGAAGCCAGGCTGAGGGCTAGAATTCTCACTGTGTACTGTCAAGCTGGGTGCCCTTAGACAAGCAGTACCTCCTGCATGCTGCCAAAGGAAAGCGAGACTGGTACCCATCTCCTAGGGCTGTTGTGAGAATTCAACGAGCACAGTGTTTCGTTTCACACCTGCAGTCCCAGCTACCTGGGGAGCTGAGGTGGAAGGATCACTTGAATCCAGGAGTTCAAGACCAGCCTGGGCAATATACCGATCCCCGTCCCCCGCATCTCAAAAACAAAATTATGATCAAATAAATTTGTTACAAAGTCTGAAAAATAAATGACTCAAATTTTGGGGGGTTTTCTTCTGGCAGCACAGGTACTCTATGAGTGTTACAGACTGGTGTTACAGACAAAATTTTATTGGGAGCTGGCAGAGTGGTTTAACAGTAGGGTGCCTGCCTAACAAGCATGAAGTCCTGAGTTCAAACCCAGTACCACAAAAAAAAAAAGGGGGGTCAGGATGAAGAGCCCAGGACCTGTGAGGTTCCTTACTTTCTGGCCCCTTCTAAAAACATGCAGGGCCCTGACCCACCCCACCTGGGTGAGCCCCTCCCGCTTACAATCAGCATGATCACCAGCTGGTTCTTCTTGGCCACCTGCGAGTGCGAGAAGATGCAGTCCAGCACCTGTGACATGTCTGGCTTGAACTGCTCCCTGAGGTTTATCACGCACTTGTCATAGTGTGCTATGGGACACAAAAGACCACGCAGGGGTGAGATCTGGACTCCTTCCCGCTCCCCTTACTCCAGCAGGTTGTCGGTGCCACTGGTGTCATGAGGAGAGGTGGGATGGTGTCTCTTGCCTTGTTGGAAATAGTGCTCAACGTGCAAGTATCTCCGCAAGAGGTCCAGCACCACGGTTTTCATGTAGCCGCGGGTCCCGCTACGGTATCTGGGGAAGACAGGACACAGTCATGTTAAGGTGCATTGCACCTCCACTTCCTGTCTTAGCCAGAAGTTTTATAGTTTTTGAGAGGAGACATGCATCAGAAAGCTTCTAGAGTTGTGTGGTAGGGCTGGGCGCATGGCTCAAGTGCTACAGCCTCTGTCAAGAGCGCGCAAGACCCTGAATTCAAACCCCAGTACCGCCTCCCCCCAAAAAAAGAACTGGAATGCTAAAAGCAAGAAGCTAATTTTAGCAAGTTTTAACCACAAAAGCAAAATTTTCCAATGGCCTATCCAAAATAGAAAGATGTTTTCAAAAGAAAAACTTGAAAGGCATTTACCAAAAGATCGCTGGGTAAATTGCACTTCCTTTTGAAACAAAACTTTAACCTGGGCGTTCCCCAAACATTTCCTCTTCCAAAATATTTCTGAACACAGGGAATAAAGATTCTTAGATAAAATACTGAGTTTTAGGGAAACAGAAACTGGCTTTGGCTTAATTTCAGCATCATTAAATGAAAACAAAAGAAAGCAAAGACCTACAGCCATCATTAATCCAAATGTGATTTTTAAAACCATGCAAAACAGCAGATCTCTGACATTTATGATCAACACGGAAAAGCTCTCTAGGGAATCTGATGAGATCAGGGGCTCATTTCTTCCAGGTGTTTCTCTGAAGGATGTTTGGAGGAGAGGGCTCCTCTGCTCGCCTTGGCTGCAAAGGTTTCCACGTGTTGGATCCCATGCGGGGACTCCCTCCTCCACTGCAATCCTGTGTGGCCAGTCTGGGAACTCCCTGAGAGGACAGCCCTACTTCTGCACCTCTGAGAGTCCCTGGCACTGAAATTCTGTTCTTACAAGCCAAGCTTTCCTGCTAGGTGGACTCTTTATGAAAAATGGCAAAAAAAAAAAAAAAAGAAATCTTCTTTATCATCACAATAGTTTGGTAGCAGAGTGACCCCGCTTCCAAGCTACCTGAGATAAAATCCAAACCTTCCTTTACGATGATCCCCGACACCACACTAGTTATGTGTCACCACTTCACAAAAATCAACCCACTTATGGCTCCAGATGACATATCTTATGAAGGCAAGCTGAGATTCCAGGAAGTCACATCCAGAACCCAGCTTTTATTAACGATGACAGTGCTGCACCCTATGTGAGCCTGCCCCCAAGGGCCCCAGAAACTGACAGCCACACCCTTGGAGGGCCCGGGATTCACCTCTGGACCAACTGCACGATGCTCTGTGTGTTCATGAAGAAGACCTCTCGGTCAGCCTTGCGCTGCAGTGTGGCGGCGTGGCAGTCCAGGATGGTGGCTATCTAGGTGGAAAAACAGAACAGGAAAGACAGGGCTGATTACTGACCACCACATGATCCAGCTGCCACGTGGTAGTCACCATAGAATTCACCACAGGTTCCCAGGGAGGTCACATTGGGGTTCAATAAAATACCAAAAATGCCAGCCCATGAGCCAGCTGGCCACTCTGAAAACAGCCCTGCTCATCCCTTCAATGTCTTGCTGGAGGAATCCAAGAGTTGGAATAATAACAGTCATGCAAAGAGGTTCCTTATAATATTCCTTTTATCCCTCCCCTCAGATAGGGACAGTACAGGAAAAGGGGAGAAGGGTATATCCAACCTCAGCAAAAATTGTAGGTGCTGGACAGGAAGCATCCTGTCTTTATAATTAGATTTATTGTCATTGGTACATTGCTTTTGGCAACAAAAGTATTTTAAGCAGGGAGGGAGGCAGGGAGGAGAAATGACCCCAACAATGTATGCACATGTGAATAAATGAATTAAAAAAATTTTTTTAAATTATTTTAAGCAAAAAAGAAAAAAAAAACTCAATGACAAATTCTTGAAAATTCCGAACTCGTTCTTTTCTTCATTGAGGTCCTGTAGAGTTTGCTTTTGTTATTTTGGGCTGAGACACAGCTTATCCACCTCACTATTCCAGCACCTCCTGTAAGCACATGCTCAGCAGTCTGGACAGAGTCACAATGTTTGCAACTATCACCAAGTGCCTAATTCTACAGCTTCTTCAACATCCTGAAAAGAAGCCTCCGCCCATCAGCAGCCTCTCCTCAATTCCCCTCCCCCAGTCCTAGTCTCCAGGGATCTCCCCGCTCTGGGCATCTCCTATATGGACCTGTGTGTCACGTGCTCTCCTCCCCACTTGGCATAACAAGGCTCCTCTGTACAGAAGCATGGGTCAGTACTACATCGTTTTTAACAATATTCCAACAAGCCTCAGGGGCTGGGGATGTAGCTCAGTAGTAGAGCACTTGCCTAGCACGTGGAAGGCCATGTTTGATTTCTAGCAGCACACACACACACACACACACACACACACATACACAATGTAGTCCTTAGAGTTGTTGTCCTAAAAATGGCCTTACACTAACCTCTCCTTTCCCAAATGACTAACTGCGAGTGGGGAAATGATGACAGAGGGAGCCCTTCCAATCAGACAGAGGACAGGAAGAAAGAGGGAATCTTCCAAATGCAAGTTACCTTTAAAATGCTCCATGAAGGCCACAATAACACCATCAACTAAATGAGCAAGATGAGGCCAAGATATGATTAATAGAGGTATTTTATACTCCCTTGGAATGGCTTCCATTCTTACAAAACATTGCACATCAGCTCACCCCAGGACTATCTCTTTACAAAATGTAGGAGGAGAGAACCAATGCTGTGCTGAAAATGCACGGGAAGAATCCCTCTGTGATTTCAGGCAGCATGTTTTTGGAAAGTGCTTGGTCTACTTGCATGAAAGTCAGACACCACAGGCCTGGTGGGCAGGCTGGGGCACCTACCTGCTGGCTGGGGAACTGGCACAGCACCGAGGTGATGTTGCTGGCATACTGGACCATTACCCTGCGGACTGCCTTCTCCACGGGCGCGGGTATGCGGCCCGCCACACTGGTCATGATCTCCTGCAGCTCCAGCAGTGGCAGTGATGGGTGTCGCAGGGTCATCATGAGCTTCTGGACCCACTCCTTCAGCTGTGGTGGGACCACACTGTTAGCCGCAGCCCCCGCAAGTGTGGGGCCACCACCAACCATGGATACCCAACACTATTCAGCCCACCTCAAGCCCCCCAGCCCTAGGCCCCGATCCAGGGCTGGCAGAAGGGGAACATCCGGTTTCCCCTAAGCATCAGAGAGCCACATGGGGTAGGGAGAGCACAGAAGGACATTTGATGAGCTAAGGTTTGTGGGACCTGTGCTTAGTGCAGTAAGTGTCCAAAGTTCTTTCTTTATGTTTTCTTTTTATCCTCGGAAACAACCCACCAAGTGGGTGTAATAATTATTGCCCAATCACAATTGAAACTAAAACATAGAGAGGTTGATTAGGTTACCCAAAGTCACTACTAAGAAGATAAGCCAGGATGCAAATCCAAGCCATAAGTCTTGTAAGCTTTTAGCATCTGCCCTACACCACGTCCAGGGTGTCTCGGTGGCCATGGGGGATGGGCTTTGGATGCCGATGAGGGTGATGCCAACCCCGAATCACAGGAGAGACTTAAAAGGGAACCAATGTGTATACTGGAAAGTGCACAGACCAAATGGATGTTGTGTCTACAGCAATCACCATGAGGCAGTATGGCTCAGGGGTTACAAGCACAGACCCTGAAGCTAGACAGCCAGGGTTCAAGTCCCATCTTCACCTTTTCATGTGAGAAGCAGGGCAAGTCTCCCAGCCTCTGTGCCTCACTTGCCTCAACTGTAAGTGGAAATAATAGCTCCTATCTCAAAGGTTGTTGGGAAGGCAAAGTAAATGCAGTAAATGTTAAGTGCTGAAAATGGTGGCTGGCACATATACAAACCAGACTGGCCATTGTCCTCACCAGCATCAGCACCACCACCTAGGCCGGGGTTAGGCAAACTGAGTGGATGGCACTTGGCCATCAATAGTCAAGGTAAAACTTAGCATCCTTGGGTCTTCCAAGGAGGTCTGCAAAATGGAAAACTCATTGTTTCTCTACAGAGGTGACATCAGTGATAACCCTGGGATGGTGAGTTTCTGCACAGAGCACCTTGTTGTTGTGTCACTAAGAGAGCTGAGCTACACACACTGCTGCCCTAAGCTACTGCTCAATTGCTCAGTCCCCAGCTGAACTGGCACCCCTACAACTCAGGTCACTTACAACAGTTAATCACCCAGAAGAAAACACACACTGAATCAGACCTCGGAATTCCCTGAGGACAGGTCCTTTCTAGAGAGAACAGAGGGCTCACTATTCTCTCATTCCTTGCTGCCATAAAGCCCTCGCCTGATGTAACAGGTGAAGCCCTCCAGACTCTGCACAGGCTGCACAAACCTGCAGTCACCTGGTGACTTACCTTTATGCTGAAGAAAGGCTCTGGCAGGCAGTAGCCACTCATGACGTTTGTCAGGTCTTCCAGGACGTTATGAAACACCTGGTGTAGCTTCTCACCAAGGATGGGCAGGGTCTGCTGAGCTGGGAGCTCACCTGTGAATGGCTCAGCCTGACAAAACACAAGGATAGGTCACAGGCAATGACCCAGTGAGAGGAGACAAACCAGGGCAGGAGGCAGGTCCACCATTTATAGCCAAGTGAGGACGAAGCCTGAAAAGTAACAGGGAAAATACTGCCCTATTAAAATCTCTGAATTTGTATCCTGATCCAGGCTTTCCAAATCATCCCCTTGAAAATGTCACAGTGAAATCACTCACGCTGCAATCCATTTTAGGAGTTAGATTTGGGGAATTTGCTTTGCTTTGGAATCAAGATTATCTTCCTATTTTCTCTGTTCTCACTTCTATTTTTTTGTTTTTGCTTTGGAGAGTTTCTGAGACTACATAGCCCACGATGGCCCTGAATTCTCAATCCTGCTGCCTCTGCCTCCCAAGTGCTAGGATTACAGGCATGTATCCGCATGCCCAGTTATATTCATTCTCTACTAAATCTGAAAGGTAAACACCTAGCAAGATGAAAATTATTTTGCAAATCCTAAATACTTTAGGTAAACAAAGATCTACTGGGGGGAAGAGGGAAGAAATGACCCAAACATTGTATGCACATATGAATAAAATAAAAATTAAAAAAAAAAAGAAAAAGAAAATATAGAATCCTAAAACAAAAACAAACAAACAAAAAAACCCAAAGATTTATTGTATGGAAAAACAGTAACCTCACCAGAGGGGTAACCCTGACTTAAGGGATCCAGTCTTCCACTAACTCATTCTACAAAAATCCACTAAAGTATGGAGTGGCTTGGGATGTGCCACCCTCCCAGCCCAGAATGCTCAGTTCCCTCCCAACCCTCCTCTACCCTCACAGCTCCTCTCACCCTTCAGAACTGGCTTTGGGGTTCCTTGTCTGCAATCTGACACTGGCTCTCCACCTGCCCCCACAGCCGAGGGTAGTCTCTCCTGTTGCAGTGACAGAACCAAATTACGTGACCTGTCCATCTGTCTCACAGGTGTTTATGTGAACCTGCAGGGAGTGGAGTCCAGGCTCTGTCCCATTAACCCAACTTAGGAAATGCCTGCTGAGAGGAACCCCAATGCAGGCCCAGAGACCTTCCCACTGAACCCCTTAAAGAGAATGAAAAAAATGAGAAGAGAAGATAGTACCTGCCTAGCAACTGCACGGTCACAAGGCCCTGAGTTCAAACCCCAGTACCACAAAAAAAATAAAAATAAAAAGCTGACAGGATACTCTGGTGAAAAAGAGGCAATGAGACTTTTTAATGTTTTGGGTTTTTTCCCATGCTCTCTGCTTCCTGGCCGCTATGTGGTGAGCAGGCCCGCTCTTCTACACCCTCCACAGCCCCCACTTCTCACTCTTGGCCATGACACTCAGCCTCACTCAGGCCCAAAGCAATGAAGCCAGGTACCAAGGACTGAAACCTCTGAACCATGAGCCAAAAATTCATCTTTCCTAAGTTATTTGGTCAGTATTTTGTCACAGTGATAGAGGGCTGACTAACAAATAAAGACCTAGTATCCTTTCTTGAGGAAAAAAAATCATATCCTATTCAAATAGGCTACAGCATACTTTTCCCCTTGGATTCATATTTTAATTTCTGAGTCAATGGTGCTTTTGTTTTCTTTGTAATGATGAAGCAGAATTTACAGTGTGCATGGCAACCCCAGGTGAGAACTGTGTGTGTGCTGGGTAATTCAGTGGGAACGCAGTGGGGTTTTAAGTGCTCTATGGTTCACTTTGAGAGTCACTTCCTTGCTGCATTTGAGTCTATCAGTAGGGATCAGAGAAGGCTAGAGGTAGTATTTTTTTTCTGTTTCTCTACTTACGCTCTTAGAACATTTGACATCTACCATGCTTCTCTATAAAACAGGAAAACCAAACTATGTTGATCCAATCTCCTCTTATCACCATCCCAATATTTAAAGTAAGAAACAAGGATCTAAATTTCCAACTAAATTAGATGTACATCCAATTTCTTGATTTTTTAACTACAGGGAAATTCCATGTAAAGGTCATTCCCATTCAATCAGGATTTTCTTATAAGTTCAATTCCAATAAAATCAAAGGCCTAATTTTTAAGTTGCTCTTTTCTTCTGAGATGCATGAATTATTTCAGGAAAAGTTGGGTATTCTTTATTTGAAATGCTTGGGATCAGAGAGAGGTGTTTTGGATTTCAGATTGTTTTGGATTTTGGAATATCTGCGTACACAAGAAAATAGTTTGGAGATGGGGCCCCCATCTAAACACCAAGTTCACTAATGTGTCACACACCCCTTATACACACAGCCTGAAGGTGATTTTATACAATGTGTTTACTAATTTTATGCATACAAAAGGTTTCATGGTGTGAAATTCTAAACTTACGGCAACACGGCAGTGCTCACAGGCTTGGATTTCAGAGCACTTTGAATTTTGGGTTTTCCGATTAGGGATGTATCACCTGTGCATACGTGAGTGACAAGCCACCTCCCTGTGCACAAGGCCTGCTTAGGCCAGTGCAAACACTGCTTCATCAACAAGACCTATTTTTCTGAGCACCAGCCATGCCCCAGCCACCGTACTGATCACCAGGATGGCAATGGTGAAGAACAGAAAGCAGCCCTTTGGCCTTAGACACTTGCTGAACAATTCGCAGAACTCTGAGTGGGAGCTCCCCTCACCTGACCCTGAGTTCAAGGTCACATGACAAACACCCCAGGACACCCTCCGGTGGCCCTGAGGGCAGGGTGCTGCCTCCCTGGTTCCTGCACTAATGCACCTTCACCCAACTAATATTTATTGCGCACTTACTGCATGCCAGGACTTGTTTTAGGTACTGAGATGCCAGCAGTGGCCAGAAAGGCAAAAACTGTTGCCCCCAGGATGCTTCTAATCTCACGAGGGCCAAACGACAAGCCATCCAGACACCAGGGAGACACGATGACGACAGAGCAGGAGGTAAGGTAGGGTGTGTGTGTGTGTAAACACAATTTTTAAAATGTTGGCTAAAAGGTAGCTTAAGGACATGACAATACATGCAGTGTGGTCACATGGATGGCACCCTGGACACTGGGTAGAAACTAAGAAATTACAACACCTATGTTCATAGCAGCATCACTCACAGCACGGAAACAACCCAAGTGTCCATCGATGGGTGAATGGATAAGGAACAGATCCATCTTTTTCAGTATTTGCCATATATTTAGTAGAATATTATTCAGCCTTTAAAAAGAAGGAAATTCTAATACATGCTACAGCCTGGATGGACCTTGAGGGTGTTATACTAAGTGAAATAAGCCAGTCACAAAAGGGCAAATACTGTATGACTGTATGAGTCCTTTTACCTGAGGTCCCGAGAGTAGTCACAGCCTAGGAACAAAAGTAGAATGGTGGTTGCCAGGGAATGCAGGGTAAGGGGAGAATCGCTTTGTGGGTATTCGGTTTCAGTTTGGTAAGAAGGAAAGGATTCTGGAGATGGTGGTGACACTTGTACAGTGGATGCACTGAATGGTGCTCTGAAGAATGTGAAGACAAGGTTGGAGGAGTGGCTCGAGTGGTAGAGTGCCTGCCTAGCAAGCTCGAAGCCCTGAGTTCAAACCCCAGTACTGCCAAAGAAAAAAAAAATAATGAAGATGAGACTGGGAGTGAGAGCTCACTGGCAGAGCTCTGCCTAGCATGTGTGTGACCCTGGGTTTGATCCCCATATGGAAAAAAAAAGTGAGGATAGTAATGAGTTCTGTTACATACGTTTAACCGCAACTGAAAAAACCTGAGGAGATGTAAGTAAAGCATGACCTTTAACTAACAAGGACATACTGATATTGGTTCGCTATTTGTGACAAGTGGGCCATACAATTGCAACGATGGTTAAAAAGTAGCTAATTAATAATAAGTATGAATGAACTTAAGCTGGGTGCAGGGTGTGTGGGAGCCCTTTGTACCAGCCACACAGTCCTCCTGTAAATCACAACTGAAATAAAAAATAAAGTCTCCTTTTCTTAAATATATATATTAATTGTATAAATATATATTTATATATTATATTATTATATATTATTAAATAAATCTTTATTTATATATATTTATATATTTATATATATTTATATAATTAATATATATATATTAATTGTATAAAGTAATGGGTTTCAAAAGAAGGCAGTCAAGGGTGCCCTAACTGGGGGCGTCCCCTGAGTAAAACCCAGGGCAATGCCGGGCAGCTCCTTCCCTGCAGAGGGAGTGGGCTCAGGGTGGAAAGCTCAGGACAGTCAGTGAAGCCAGGGGGAGAGGGACAGAGACCCAAGGGGCAGATCAGCTGGGGACTCATAGGTCACTAGAAGAATCTGGGTGTACTCTAAGCAGGATGGAGAGCTGAGAAAAGAAGAATGGAGCCACTGGCTTTTCTGCACCACCCCCCACACTGACTGCTGGGACAAGGGTGTGACAGAAGAGCAGGGGTCGCTGGGGGTGCACCTGCACTAGCCAGAGTAGCCAGGACGGGTTGTCACATACCGGGTGCACCTTAGAAGGATCGTCGAGCTCCAGCCTGGCCACCATGCAGCCAGCTTCCAGCACGGCTCCCGGACGCTTGATGTACTTCACCCGGCCACTTTCTTGCACACTCAGGGTCAAGATCATCTTCATCACCTGTTTTGCAGAAATAAGAGATAGGACAGAATCCACAGGACCTGTGGCACCTGGAGTCACCCATAGGCTGCCTCATTGAAACAAGTCATTCCCTGGGTGGCCCTCAAGCAGGATGGACAGAGAGAAAGTGTCATTTACTGTAAGCGGTGTCCAGGCACAGGGCCACTCTTGACTATCTCCATCTGCCAGCCAGCCAGGGAGGGGGCATTCACAATGCCCAATTCATGGATGTGGAAACTGATACTTGTTTTGTCTCTTTATTTACGGTGCTGGGGACACCAGGCAAGCACTCTACCACTAAGCTTTATTCTCAAAGGAAGGCCTAGCGCTTGGACATAGTGCAGTCTATCACATAGAGTGATCAGTGCATAGTCAGGCAAGGCACAAGGATGTTTTGGTCGGTGATAAGGAAATTCGTATTGCCTAGCAACACTATAGCCGTCTGGACATTGTCGCACAAAGAAATCATCACTTCCACGTTTGTGGTGACGCTGGCGTGAACGAAGTTGCCTCGCTGGCAGCCATACAAAAGTGGAGCCAGTGATTACGCAGAGTGCACAGGACCAGATGGTGAAAACTGACGGCTCTTCCCAGTTTATGTGCTCACTGAACCAGACTTTTTAATCAGTGTATTCTTTCTACTTGTTAAAGAAAGGCGTACCGTCGGTGGGTCTGCTTACACCAGCAGCAGCCTCTGATGTCGTTTAGAGGCCACCTGGAATGACTGACCCATCTAGGTGTGGCAAGTACATTCTGTGATGTTCATACAAGAAAGCATCCAACATTGCATCTCTCAGAGCACCCTGCATGCTCAGCAACGCAGGGCCCCACGTGTTCCTACAATGGGCTGTGTACATCAAACATTTTGCCCACAGTTGAGGACATCCTCTGGGGGGTGCTTTGTGAAACGAACACTTGCTCATGGTCCCGTCAGCAGCCCTGTAGCCTGCCTCCCCCATTGTCTGGGGTCCTGTATGGCATGAGACTTGTTACCATGACAGCTGCCCATAAACAATCACACCGCCTCCATCAGCCAGGCCTGGGCTAGAATCCCAAGACCTCATTCATCACCTCTCTAATTCCCAGAAAGTACTTTCCCCTCTCTGAGCTTCAGTGTCCCTAACTGCAAGATGGGGAGTAACAAGCCTCAGCTCACTTGTCCTTATCAGGCTGACAGGACTAACAGCAGGAGGTCAGGATGCACAGTAGGAAGTCAGGATACCTGAGCAACTATTGAACTATGGACTGACCACTCCTTTTCACTGCTACGAGCATTTTCCTTGAACCCTGGTTTTGTGTGACCTCAAGCAAGATCCTCAGCCCTCCTGGGCCTGACTTCTTATGTGCAAAATGGTAACTACATTTGTGTCCTTCTGCAAAAGTTGTCAAAGTAAACACAGGTAAAATGCTTAGACCAGCACCTGCCACATAATAAGTGCCTGGCAAGTGCTGGCTTAACACTTTTTTTTGTTTTCCGTTCTGGGATTTGAATTCAGAGCGTTGCACTTGCTAGGCAGGTGCTGTACCATTTCAACCATGTCCCCAGCCCTTGTTGCTTTAGCTATTTTCCAAATAGGTTCTCACGTTTATGCTCAGGCTGCTCTGGACCGCCATCCTCCTGATGTCTGCTTCCTGAGTAGCTGGGATTACAGGCATGAGCCACTATGTCTGGCTCTGGCTTATCACTTTTAATGGTTGCCATCAGGATTATTGATCAGTTCTTACCCATTCCCATGGAGGTGTACACTGCTGGAGGTTCTCCCTTTGAATACTGCAGGGAATTTGGGCCAAATCCCACAGATCACCTCTCTTAAGAATCTATAAGGCAGTGAGGTGAGCTCTGTCTGCAGACAGAAGGGCCTGCCAGGGGAGCAGAGGTTGAAGGATGCAGAGCCACCCCAGAGCCAGCCCTGCTGTCACCTCCATCTCAGCATAGCTGCTCCCTGCTTCCACGTGGCCCCCATCCTCCACGGTGTACTGCATCAGCTTCCCAGCCGAGGGGGATCTCAGGACAGTAGGATCGTTCTCCTTCTCAAACACACATGTCTTGTTGCCGATGGTGATTCGGTAACTGGGAGAGAAGAAGAGCAGACGGGGGAGACTGATGAGGACCATCAACCCAGCAAGCCATGCTGTCAGCTGCAGCATGGTGTAAAACACTCTGTAGTCCCAAATGGTGTGGCACCTGACAGTTATCCCAGAGCCAAAGTGAGTCCAGGGAGCAAGACGTGTACTTCTTTTCTGGCTAAAGAGAAAGCAACCAATAAATATTATTCAATAAACCTTGACTGACTCAAGTTTCACTTTTGTTTTCCCCTTGGTACTGGGGAATTAAACCCAGGGCCTCACGCATGCTAGCTGATTGCCCTGTAACTTGGGCCACGGCCTTAGCGCTAAACCTTCACTCTGAACTGAACTGAACTTGGGGAGACCCTGAAGAAACCTGAAGTACTCTTGGCAGACAGAACACAGGTTAGAAAAGAGATAATAGAGCTTGATGTGGTGCATGCCTGTAATCCCAGCACTCGGAAGGAGACAGGATAGTGAGTTTGAGGTCAGCCTGGGCTACACAGTGAGACCCTGTTCAATAAAAAGGAAAAGGAGGTGTGGTTCAAGCAGTAGAGCACCTGCTTTGAAAGCACAAAACTAAGTTCAAACCCTAGTCACATCAGCAAAACAAAAAAGAAGGAAGGAAGGGAGGGAGAAAGGGAGGGAGGGAGGGGAAAACCTTCTAAGACATCGAGGACTATGAAGGAAGAGTCTCTCACTAACTGAAGCTTTCTTAGGCGTGGGGGTGCTGGCATACACACGTACACATGTACACACACACACGTGCAAACTCCACCTTCATCCTCCCTGGCCAGGGCCTGTGCTGCCTCTCTGCATGGGTCCCCTACACCCCACTGTGTGGCTTCAGCATGGTCAGATACACTGGAGCTCGAGGTGTTCGGAGCCTGTGATGCCCCTGTGCCCAGGGCTTCCACAGCATCTTGCCTTAACCCATGAAGGTCCACAGCAACCTTTACGCCACTGTCTGCTTGTTTTACGAATCATCTTCCCTGACAGGCCAAGAGTAGCTCAATAACCAGCTACTGAGCCAGGCAGGGTGATGCACACCTGTAATCTCAGCACGCAGGAGGCTGAGGCAGGAAGATCACAAGTTCCAGGCAGCCTGTGCTACACAGGGAGACCCTGTCTCAAACTTAAAAACAATTAAAAATAACCAGCTGCTGGATGGCACATCCACTCCACACACATCCTCTGCAAGTGTGGACACCACGACCCTGATATAGGGGGCAGCAGGCACCTCATCGCACACCTTGCAAGCCACAGAGCTGGGAGTCATGTGCCATTCAGCTCTGAATCCTTCCAGGTCACTAGGAAGGTATCACCTGGAAGTCCTCCCTAACTGTCTGCCAGGTGCTTGAAATTCCACCCTCAGCATTTACCAGGGAGCCTTATCTCAGACCCCCAGGCCTGCACACAGGGCAGCTTTGCGCCTTCAACTCCCATGGAGAGAGAGCCATGTGTGATCCACAAGGCCCCCGTGCCCACACACCTGTCCACTTCTTCCTTCATGTAGGTGGTGTAGCTGTTGCCATTGTACGAAAGCAACAATCCTCCATCGTTCAGCCGATGGGCGTCAATCTCGATGTGGCAACCGTTCATGATGAGAACAAACATGGTCAGAGACTGCCGGGCCACCTGTGGGAACGGATTCATGTCACCACGTGAATCTGGGATGTGTTCCCATGGATCCTACAATGGTGGGTGAGGGGAGCTGTCCGGCAGGAGCAGTGAGGTAGGTGCACACCATGTTCTCCCTAGCCCCAGGCTTCCCTCACCCCAAGGGGCCAGCCACAGAAGGGGCTGAAAAGGGCCTGAAGTCAGTGACGGACAAACAGCTGCCGGCTGCAAACACAGACACGGTCCAGCCATCTCTTGCTGACTATGTGTTCTCTGGAGCTGGGGACTTCCTTCTGATTGCTGTCTCCAAGCAACAATCCCGAGCGGGATGCCCTGGGTGGCAGGGACTGGGGCTTGCACTCTGGGGGAGGCAGCCCTGGAGGCCACACAGCGGTCTCAAAGGTTAAAAGGAAATGGGGCCTTCGTGAATGGACTGGTGCCCTTATAAGAGGTCTCTTTTAAGACCCCAGACAGCTCCCTTGCCCTCTTCTACCACATGAGGACACAGTGAGAGAAAATACCTGCTACAAACCGGGAAGCAAGCCCTCACCAGACACCAAATCTGTCATTGTCTTGACCTTGGGCTTGCGTGCCTCCATAAGCTGTGAGTAATACATTTCTGTTGTTTACAAGCCACTTGGTCTATGATACTTTGCCGTAACATGGATTCTAGTTCTTTCTGTTCCTAGACACAGCTCTTCCCCCTCGACCAGCTCTGCCCCCTAAACTCAGCTCTGCCGGGGACATATAAGACATTTGAGACACATGGCAGTCAGGCTCTGGCCTGAGCTCTGCCCTTCCATCCAGCTGAAATACCAGTTTTGGGCCCTCAGCTCATTGTGTATGTTCTCGCTCAGAAACCAGATATCCTGAAGGGCCTTCAACCTGTAAAAACATATGTCTTGTGACAAAGACAGCAAGAAACACAGGAACGCATAATGTAGTATTATTTGTGCTAACAATAAATCCTCAGCAAGTAAAGCACTCCAGACCTACACTGCTTGATTTGGTGAGCCCTAGCCCTACAGGGCTATTTAAATTTAATCAAAATTAAAGAGAGCACAAAATCCAGTTCCTCCGTAACACTCGTCACTCATTACAAGTGCTCAGGTGGCCCATGCAGGCCCCACGGCAGACAGCACAGATAGAGGACAGTCCCGTCCCCCTTGAAAGTACCACTGGACAGCAATGCAGACGCCAACCGTTGTGGAAGGAAACTTGTTCCTAACACAGGGAAAATGTGCAAAAAATGTCAACACAGCAGAACTACATGAATGAGGATCTCAGCGTTGTGAAGTCAGTGCAGAAGGGAGAAAAGCAATGAAAGACATCCATAAAATGCTAGCAGAGATGGCCTCCAGATCAGAAAACAAGGGGTTTGGTTTTGTGATTCTGGATGCTTATTTGAAATTTTAAATTTTCTCTAAAATGAGACTGTGCCACATTTGAAATCAAGTTGGTGGGTCCCAGATGCCCAAAGGTAACGAAAAAGCAATGGGGGCAAAGAGAGAACAGATACAAAGGATACACCCCCATGACAACACATTTGTTTGGCTGAACTAAAAGCTGGGGGTTCAAAGTGTACTCAGAAATATAAAAATAAGGTAAAAGAAAATAAAAATTAGCCAGGCGCCAATGCAGGTGTGTTGACACCAGTGGCTCATGCCCGTAATCCTAGCTTCTCAGGAGGCAGAGATCAGGGAGATCATGGTTGGAAACCAGCCCAGGCAAATAGTTCATGAGACCCTGTCTTGAAAAAATCCATCACAAAAAAAGGATTGGTGGAGTGGCTCAAGGTGTAGGTCCTGAGTTCAAGCCCCAGTACCGCAAAACAAATAATTAATATAATAAAAGTAAATATTAGGCCTCAGAAACAGACTTGAATATTGTCCTCTTCCTCTGCCCCCTTCCCCTCCTAAAACATGAGTCTGAGACATGCACAACAGGAAGACCTCAACTTTCAGGGGACATATAACTCTAACAGCTGTAGAGGAGCCTGAACCACCAATGCCACAGCTCACCCATCCCCTGTGGGGCTCCATGTGGACCCCAGACCTCACGCCGTATCTGCCTGTCTCAGATATTCTCTAGGCAGAATTGACCTTGAGCAGCCCAGGAAGGGCAACTGGACTCTTCTGACAGAGAGCTCTTGGGGCAGGCCAGGAAGAAGACCAGAAATCCACATGTGGATTCTTCTCACAGCCTTGAAACCCCTGGAAATGAACCTGGACTACTGCACCAGGCGGGGAAGGCTTTGCGCACTCTGTACTGGGTGAGTGGTGCCCCCACAAACGATGACTGTCCTGGACCCTCGGAATGTGGCCTTAGTAGGAAACTGGGTCTTTGCGTGTGTAATTCGTGGAGGTGAAATCATACTGGCTTAGGGTGGGTTGTAAATTTATCTGATGGATGTTTTATAAAAGGAGAAGAGACAGAGACAGGCACAGAAGGCAGATAAAGACAGACAGACACAGGGGAGAAGGCTATTTGGAGAAAGAAGCAGAGACTGGAGTGATGCAGCCACAAAGTAAGACACATCAAGGACTGCCAGCCACCACTGGAAGCCAGGGAGGACTAGGATAGCTTCTTCCTTAGTGCCTTCAGAGACACTGCGCCCAGCTGACACCTTGAATCTGGGTTTCTGGCCTCTAGAAACATGCGAGAATAAAATTCTGCTATTTCAAGCCACCAGTCTGCAGCACTTTGTTACCGTAGCCGCAGGAGTCTAACAGACACTCCCTCGTGACCTGTGTGTATCGCTCAGGCTGTTTTGAAACCCAAGTGCTTAGGTTTCAAGGTCACAGGCTACATAAGAACTCCTGAGGAACACAACTGCTCAGACCCAAGAACAAGAAAATCCACTCCAGACTCCAGAGTCGGTTCACAGAAGAATTAAATTCCCTCATGTGTCCAGAGCCCTGGAAACGTTGGAGAGGCACGAGGGCTTTACCTTGAGAATGTACTTGACACCTCCATAAATTAACTCCACATCCACAGTGTTCAGCAGAGAATCTGCTGGGAGGACCTGGCCCCTGAGAGAGAAGACAGACCTGCCATCAGCCCGGGGAGGGGCTGAGAAGGCTGCAACCATTCCCTGCACTTGACAGTATCCCCGAGGAAGGATGCAGGTGCAACTCCTCCACAGACTTGAGGCCCTGGGCTCCATTCCCAGCACCAACAAGAAAAAGTCACCCAGCTCTTTGCCCTTCCCAAGTGCCAGCTGACAAGGCAGACACAGATCCCGTCCTGACCTCCTCGGAACCTAAGGTGCTGGAGTCTGTTGAAGGATGAGGAGGCATTTGGGGAGCAAACGCCTAATGGCTTTTTCTCAGAAAAGTTCCCCGTATGGGCACCTGCCACCTGCTATGAAAGAAGCCAGCGCAGGGGCTATGATTCTACTACTGCTCTTTATTTTCTTGGTAGTTTCATTTGCCTGACAAAGTAGTTTGCAAGTGGGGGTGATATTGCCCCAACTCCCGGGCCATTCAGCAATGTTTGGAGATGTAACAGTGTCCACTCAGGGAAGGGCTTCTCCTACCATCTAATGAGCAGAGCTATGGCTGCTGCTGTCACCCTACAATGCATAAGACAGCCCCCCACAAGCCACAACCCAGCCTGAGGTGCTGAGGTGGACACCGACAGTAAGCAGCTGGCCACTTTCCGCTCTAGGCCATTTTGGTAGTCACCTTGTGATCAGGTGAGGGTCTGGGAAAGAAACATTAGTAGGAATGACCTTTGACCTGCTCTGCTTCTGAACTCCTGAGAGAATCACAGTGTGCCTTACACACATCAGCAAGAACCTGCACAAGACTGTGTGCGAAGCAACTGCTGCCCCCCATCCCCACCCTACCCTGGGCCTCTTCCTGGGCAGCCTTGGTTTGAAGTTCAAAGGCAAGCCAGTGGGAAGGAAGGCACCCAAATAAAGCACCTCTGGGGGTGCATGCCTCCCCCAATACCACAAGGGGGGAAAGGACCCACAGGCTCTACCTTTCCAGGGAGTGCAAGAAGTCCGTCATACAGGCTCTGAACACTGCGTCCGCCACATTCAAGGCCCCACACACCACCCCAAGCATGATGTCTGGCTTCTCTGCCTAGGAAAGACTACATCTCAGTATCAGAGGGGAGCCCCAGATGTTGACCATCTGCAGGGGAGGCTTGGACAGCTCTCTACCTGCACTTTCTCGGCAATGAGACAGTCCAACCACCCAGTGTCAATGTCATTGTTCTGAAATCGCTCTGTCTCCAGGAGGTTAATGAGATACTCCACCGTGGTCCTGAAGTCACCCCGGATGGACAATTCCTTCAAGGCCACTACCATGTTCCTACAGAGGAAAGGCACGTGATTGGCTTCCAGATTTACACGGAATTCCTGCGGATGTGGTACTCAAGAGTGCCAAAGGGCCACAAAAGGTAAGAGAGAGCCCTGAGTCAGAAGTCCAGGCTGTCAGTCTCAGCTCTACCACTGACTGTATGAGTAATCTCACAAGTGACTTGACTGCTCTGGCCTCGGTTATTTCACTTGGAAAATGGAGGAATAACCCCAGTGTCATATAGTTGTTGGAGGACTAAATTGAAATATTGTGTACAAAGCATAGTCACTGATGAACAAATGTCAGCTGCTATAAATGTGATTCACAATATTGTAATTATTATTGCGAGTGGCTAACAATCAATAGAGAACCAGTCTCTCTGGTTGACACCAAGTCTGTCTTCCCTGGATCTAATCAAATCTCCTCTTGTCCCCAGAGATGGAGCTGCCGTCTCGCCATCACGGTTGCTACATGCAGTGTTCTTGAGCGGCACCTGAGTCTAGGTATCTACTGGTCAGGGGGCTGGCGAGCTCCACAATGCTGTCCCCATGTCTGTGCGAGGGAAAGGTATGAAAGAGAGGTGAGGTATTAAACAGGAGGCCTCTTCCTGGAAGAGGAGCTTTACACATGTGACAGTATCCCTGGAACTGGGAGCAGGTAGCGGCAGGGTAAACAGTGGTCTCATTTTAGTAGTGAGAAAATGAAGACACAGTGAGAAGAAATGAGCGTGTCAACAGGCTACCAGAAGTCAAGTGTGGGATTGGGACCTGGATCTGGAAGTGAAACCACTGGACTCACTGGGACTGCAATGACCCAGTTTGCTGGGGCACTTGCAGCTTTATCACTGAGAGGTCCTGTGTCTGGGGAAACCATCTCAGACCCAAGATATTTGATCCTTCAGAGAGAAGTCTCCCACTGGATCCTGCTGAAGTTGTGGGTAGTCCTGAACAGTGTGGAAAGAGCCACAGGTCATTTCGGTCAGAGTGGGGTAGGCTGGTGTTCTGCTACCTGCCTCCTTCTATGAAGTCTCAATTGTTCTTCTGCTAATCCTCTGTAAGCTTCAAGGATCTCTATTTGCCTCTGAATATGATTAAAATGAATTTATTCTACGGTCACAGAGAAGTCCCATGACTAAAAACCACCAAGTTCAAATTAATTCTCAGCTAAGCGCCCAGGCCAGATTCTAATGCTTTTAAAAATGAAATGTCCTTGGTGCCTCTGGGCGTTTTCCACCCAAAATGTTTAATTACAAAGTGAGCTCGCGTTTCTCTTTCTGCACCCACATGAAGACAGAAGAAATACGAAGGGGTGTTTCAAAATTGGGGTGTTCCTTAGTCAGTTTGAGAAATTATGGCAGTCGTGGATTTGGCTGAGTGGGGGGCACAGCTGCTGCCCTTGGCATGGGTGGTAAGGGGTACACAGAAGGAACCCCCCTCAGAAACTGAGTCTCGGGCGTAAAGACAGCAACAAGGAACTGTGTGTGAGGTTCAGGTTTCAAGGAGCTTGGCCCCTTTTCTCAGCTATAATGCTCAGCACATTCTTTGGGTCTCCTTCAAGTCAGATCCCTCACAGCCCAAGCTCAGTGACCTTGGTAAGCTACTTGGACTTGGACTTCAAGCGGAAGGGTATTGAAATAGCATCTGTCTGTGACTCCTCCCTGGCCTTCCTATAGCCTACTACATATGACCTACAGTGGAGCAACTGGTTCTTAAAGGAGGGAGGGGGTGGAGGAGGGGAGGGGGAGGGACACAGAGAGGAAGGAAGGGAGGAAGGAGAGAGGGAAGGAGGGAGGGAGAGAAAAAGGAAGGGAGGTGGGGAGGAAGGGATGAGGGAAAGGAGGAAGGGAGGGAGAGAGAGAAGGAAGGAGGGAGGGAAAAAGGGAGGGAGAGAAGGAAAGTGGGAGGGAAAGAGGGAGGGAAGGGAGGTGGGAAAGAACTGAGGGAGGAAAGAAGGGAGGGAAGGAGGGAGGGAAGGAGGGAGGGAAGGAGGGAGGGAAGGAGGGAGGGAGAGAGGAAAGAAGGGAGGGAGGGAGGGAGGAAAGGAGGGAGGGAGGGAGAGAGGGAGAGAGGAAAGAAGGGAGGAAGGAGGGAGGGAAGGAGGGAGGGAAGGAGGGAGGGAGGGAGGGAGGGAGAGAAGAAAGAAGGGAGGGGAGGGGGGGAAGGAGGGGGGGAAGGAGGGAGGGAGAGGAGAAAGAAGGGAGGAGGGAGGGAGGGAGGAGAAATACTGACGAAATGGCCTCTTCCCGGTTCTCGCCCCAGGAGAAGCAGTGACCAAACTGGGAGTCAGCGAACTCATGCAAGCCTCCCGCGGCGGCCACGCTGAAGTAGCCCCACACGTTCTTGTTGCTGCGGAAATTCAGCTCCTGGACCGTCCCTGAGCTCGGCTTAAACCCCTGCAACACAGGGAAAAGCAAGATGGAAGAAACCATTACCCCAAATATCCTCTCACCAGGATTCGGTTCTGGGGAGACCCAGGAATCCCTCCCCCAGCAAAGAGTAGAGGTCAACAAACACTGCTACTTCCTGCTCTGTGTGTGGGTGTCATGTGACCGTCAACATCTTCAAAAAACTAAAAAAAGAACAAGCACCAAGTTGGGGTGGGGTCGATGTAATGTGGGCAAACCTTGATACTGCTGGAGCTGGGAGGAGGAAACTTCTGGATTTATATGCTGGACATCTTTGATAATAAAAAGGGCAGAGTGGGGGCTGGGGTGTGGCTAAACCTCCTGTCTTGCCTCTCCACCAGAGCTGGTGTTTGGTTTGTAGCCAAAGATGCGAGATGAATATATCTACCCCAGTAAAAAGTCTTTAAATTCTTTAATTAAAATGGACAAAGGGCTCTCTTACCCCTTGGTTCTTGAATATAATAGGTACAGATTTTGTCTTTAAGACAGGGTCTTAGTATGGAGCCCAGACTGCCCTTGAACTCTTAATCCTCCTGCCTCAGTTTCCTAAGTGCTGGGATTACAGGTGCACACCACTATACCCAGCAGTAAATTCAGATTTAAACATTACACAATGTATACATGAATCAAAATGTCACACAATACTTCATGGATATGTTCAATTTTTATGTTTTTATATATTAGTTAAAATATATTTAATTTTAAAAACAAGGTAAAACGCAAATAATTAAGTCGGAGTAGATTAAAAGTCCTGTGACAATCCAGCTGTCAGTAGTAGGTGGTAAACACCAGCTGGCTCCTTTCTTAAGAACAAGTCACAAAAGGTCACCCCACAATGGGCCTTTATATTCCAGAAAAAAAAGTCATGGGGCCAGAAATCCAACTCCTGGGCTCTCAACCTGGGCACCATATGGAAAGTCACCCACTGGGCTCACCAGGCCCCAGTATGTCATGGTCTACAACCTCCCCGTATAGTGCCGATAGGAACACCGAGCCTAGCGGGGGTAACACTGCCACGTGAGTGATGAGCTGGCTGCCCAGTGCCTGGCACGCGACGTGTCCAGTAAGCCAGTAAGCTGTGGTGAGTCTCTTCTGTACCTCAGTTTTGACTATGAGCTGAGAAGCATGGACACTGGCACCTCTCTGAAGGCTAATATCCAGAGTTCACCCCATGCTGGGCCAGTGGACATGGTGGAGACACAGGGCCCACACTTGCCTCATCTGGGTTTTCACTGGTGATCCTGGTGGCAATGACGTAGCCTCGGGCGAGGGGAGGGTTCGAAGGGCTTTCAAAAGAAATGGGTGTCACCCCCCAGGGGGCCTCTCCGTACAGAAGGCGGATGTCCTTCAGCCGGTGCAATGGCACACCCATGGCGATCTACAATGCAGAATCCATCCCAAAGAGGTCAGTCCGCTAGAATCCTGGCCCCCAAATGCTCATGAGCACGGTAGAGGATGCAATGAAGGAAGAGACTCAGTCAATGACTTCAGACATACTCAGCCTGAACTAGCCACACCATGCTGTGCTACCATGCAGGACAGGTAAGAAAGCAAAAATCTTGAGGCACCTGGCTCCCATGGAGTAAGGAAGCATTTGTGAAATCACAGCACGTGACGAACAAAAGTGGGCACCAAATAAAAAATACAGCATCTCAGAGTTGCGGGAGGGTGTCAGCTGGACAGTTGAGGGAGCTTTCGGGGAAAGACACACAAGCTGGCAGAAGAGTCAGCAACACCTAGATGCTTCTGGACAGCAGCCTAACCGTGCAGCCAAGCTAAACATCTGAGCCTCCTGATGGGATGTGCCAAAACCACAGGAGCATCTTTGCAACGTCCTGCCTAAATGCTCAGCGTGACCCTAACCAGGAAGAAAAAGTCACAGAAATCCAAGCTGAGGGGCACTGGCCTGAACGCTTCAAAAACACAAACATTGTGTGAGGCCCTGGGTTCGAATCCCAGTACTACCAAAAACAAACAAACAAACAAAAACAAGCCAGTATCAAGAATGAAAGTAACTCAGACTGGGGAATGTTCCAGACTGAAAATGGACTAGTGGAGTTGCAAGTGGTAGAGCGCAAGGCCCTGCGTTCAAAACAAAAAAGCAGCTTGACAATGAAATGAAATGTGTCATCTGTATTGGATCCCAAATTTCAAGCAAATAAAAAACAGCCTTAAAGGGACCAAATTATGACATGTGGGAATGAGTTTACTGTAGGCAGAATATTAAATTTGTCCCATCGGTGCTGCACTTCCCAAGGGTCATGCTTGTATTTCGGAGTTCTGTGGACTAGAATATTGATGCCCTCAGGAGGCCTTCATTCTGAAGTATTTGGTTCAGCCCAACCAGCCCTCACAAGGGTGATTCCCACCCCCCCAAAAAAGATTATACAGATAAACGGAACAGAGAAAGAAAGCAAGTCTCACAGCTGGCGGAGGAGATGTAGGTGTCTGAGTGCTAACATGCTATTCTTGTAACTCTCCTGGAGTTTTTCAAGCTGAAGAACATAAACAGACCAAGTGAAAACCACAGACTTCTGGTGATAAGAGGAAGGGAAGGCAGGACGGAAAGAGGGAGGGAGACAGGGAGGGCAGAAATGTGAATTTAAAAGTTCTTGTTAAAGAATGCATACAGAATTTTTAAACCTGTTGAAATCACCATAAGAAGGGGACTAAGGAGAAAAATGGAGGGGCTGAACCAATTCGGGTTATAATATATATATACATGGAAATGTCACAAGGAAGCTCCCTGTATAGCTATCTTAAACAAATAACAATGTCATGTTTTTTTTCTTTTACAAAATCAGAGAACAGGAAGGTGAATAGGTCCTGTCTGGGGGGGCTGGTACCAGTGGGAGTGGGGAGGAGGTGGGAAAATGGTGAAGGAGGGTGAATATGGTGCAAGTACTATGTACACATGTGTGTAAATGGAGAAATGAGAGCTGCTGAAACTACTCCTAGAATGGGGGGATGGGGGATAAAGGAGAATAGTGGAGGGGGTAAATTCAAATATGATATATTTGATACATTGTAGGAACTCATAAATTCCACAATGTACCCACACCTAGCACAACAATGTAAAAAGAAGTTCTTGTTAACACAACAGGAGTTCATAACTATAGGTCATGTGTACTTAACAGGAATGACATTGTCCCCAAAAGGGTGAAGAAAATCCCTTTTTTATGTATAAAGCACAGATATGTCTATAGACCCAAACAGACATATAACACATCTGTGAAGACAAAATTTCACAGGAAACAGATTAGGAAAAAGTCTTTAAAATCTGATAATATAAAAAAAGTTGAGAGACAGTTTTCTGGTCCATGAATGGGTGGCCAGGGTTCACGAGTATTTTGAAATTATACGAAATATCTTTTCCCACAGAGAAAGGCCCTAGCTTTTACTCATTCCTCTAATGGCTCTTGTCCGGACCAAGGGGATGACTCGTTTCCAAAAGGTTCTCATCCCAACACTACTCAGACGTGAAAGTGGTCACGCCCCAGGGACGGCCAGCCGAGAAAGGGACAGGAAGAATTCATCAGAATAGGATGAGAGCCCCAACATCCCAGGTGGAGGAAGCCCCAGGGTGTGAGCCTCTGCTCACCTGCAGCTGGGCGGCTGGCAGGTTGACGTCGGCGATCATCTCTGTGCAAGGATGCTCCACTTGCAGGCGAGGATTCAGCTCCAGGAAGTGGAAGCTGCCGTCCTGGCTGTAGAGGTATTCCACCGTCCCTGCACTCACGTAGCCCACGTCTTGGCCAGGCGGACGGCACACTGCAGATCACGCAATCTTAAGTGGGGACTGTCAGGTCCCTCCCCCAATGCCCACAGAGGTCCTGCTACTGGGAAGTTCTTTGGGACCTCTGTGATCAGCTGATGAAACACACCTCTGGCATGGGCTCCCTCCCTCCTCCTTTTGGGGTCCCACCCCAGCCTCCAGCCATGCTTCTACAGAAAGTCCCTGCTGACTCCAACTCGGCCACAGCAGGTCTCCCCATAGCTGCCCCCGACCTGGCTCTCCAAGCACACCTGCTCCATGAACTCAAACACAGCTGCTGTGGCAATGGTGGCTGGCGCCTCCTCGATGATCTTCTGATGTCGCCTCTGGATAGAGCAGTCCCGTCCAAAAAGTGACACGGCATTCCCGTACTGGTCAGCCAGGACCTGGACCTCCAGGTGCCGGGCATGTTGGGCCAGCCTCATGAGAAAGATAGGTGAGCCAGGGATCTCACTCTGCACCTGCAGGGAAGAACAGCCACCTGCTCTTCAACGAGCTCTGGAAGCTTCTGGAAGTTCTTAAAAGCATCAAACAACAGCAGTGATGAATCTGCTAGTTTTTAACTTTTGTTTTACCTCTCTCCCAAACATGACGTTCTCATTGTTTTTCAGTCAAACATCATGCAAAAGGTGACACTTCCTCACAATCTTGTCTCCTAGAGGCAACGCACTAAGTTTGGTTTTGGGGGCTTTGGCGTATAGCAAGGTGACGAGTTAGTAATAATATATTGTGTACTTAAAATGTGTTAAGAGACATCTCAAATGTTCTCACCAAATGTACCCAAAACCAGTAGCCGTGTGACTAGTGGATCCATGAGTCACCTTGACTGTGATGACCATTCCACCACAGATAGACAGACTGCCATATAACGCTCCTCACATAGGTGTGATTTTATTTGTCAATTGTAGCTCAACAAAATGAGAAAAGGTTTGGTGTACAAACTCCTTTTTTTATATGCACAGACTATTTCTTTAAACAAAAATGGCGCCAAAGCACATGACTGGGTAGCTTTCTTTTCTTGTGATTCCATGGACTCTCACAGCTGCCTCTACCCGCAGCCTGAGGTGGACAGGCTTACTCTATCCTTTAATGGCTGAAAGGCGTTCCCCCATAAATATGTCAGCTAGAGACTCTTTAAGAAAGATATGAAGATAAGTGTTCATGTAGGTTCAGTGATTTCTAAGACAACTTCAGGGGAGAAAGAAAGTTTCAATACTGTACAGGATGCTCCCACTTATGCGGAAAATGATGAAACAGAACTGTACGACTGGCTTATGTGAACACACAGACAGTGACAGTGACAGAAAGAGACCCAGCCGCAAATATTACATCTGAGAGACAAGAAGGGATTGGGAGGTGATGGTGAACAGACTTTTCATTTTTCATCCTTAACATACTCCTGACTTGTCTGAATTCTTATATTAATGACATTTTCATCCCACCACCCAGGGAAGTGGAGGTTGAGAGGATCACAGCTCGAGGCCAACCCAGGCAAAAAGTTAGCGACACCACCATCTTAACCAAGCTGGGCATGGTGGTACATGCCTGTCATCCCAGCTGTGAAGAAGGCATAGACAGGAGGCTCTTGGTCCAGGCTGGCCTGTGAAAAGATGCAAGACCCTATTCAAAAATTAGCTAAAGCAAAAAAGACTGGGGGAGGGGGATGGCTCAAGGGGTGGAGAAAAGTGGAAGGCCCTGAGCTCAAACCCTAACATAGCCAAAAGAAAAAAGCATTTTCATAATGCACTCATGGAAACAAAAGAAAGAAGCTTGGAGGAGGTAAGGGAATATGCAGACACTCTGCTCCATTTTGCTCTGAGTCTAAAAATTAGCCTTTTTTAAAAACTGAAATGAAAAAGGCTCCAAACTCTGTACGATACAGAATGCAACCTGGTAGCCAAGACTGAATCCTGCAGCAGGGAAAGGATATTCATGGGAAGATTCCTGAATTGTGAATCAAGCCTGGAGTCCTCCTAACGGAAACGTGAGCACTTCCATCTCTCAGCCATGACACCCAGGGCGGAAGTCATGCAAGTTGTTAACTGCAGCACTGGAAGAAGGTAGGCAAGGAGTCTGTACTGCTGGTGAAACCTCCCTGTAAATAGCATTTCTTCCATCCAAATTCCCCCAAATCCGCACCGCTCAACAGACACACCATGGTAGAAAAACTGCTACTCTCACTACGGGAGGCTCCCTTTCTAGGAAACCATCTTCTGTATGTACTGTAAGTTTCTGCAACTTAACTAAGTCCTCCCTAGGTCTTTACCCAAGAAAATAATTCGGAAGAACAAAAAGAGCTAAGTAATATTTATAGTACTAAATACCATGTTTTGGGGTTTTGGTGGGTTTTTTTTTGGTGGGACTGGGGTTTGAACTCTACTACCTGAGCCACACCTCTGGTCCTTGTTTTTGTTTTTTTTGCAGTGATCTGGATTGAACCTGGGGCCTCACATGTGCTAGGTGACCACCGTGTCAAGCTTGCTTGGTTTGTCCCATATGAAACTCACGTTCGAGCTGAATTCCCACTGTGAGGTATTAAGAAGGTGGAAACTTAACCCAACTCTGGGTAATAGGACTAGACATGACTGAATGCTGGTGGCTATATAAGAGAAAAGAGACAGAAGGAGACACCCAGACAAATGCTCTGTCTTAGCAAGCCACCTTGGGACTCTACCAACAAGAAGTCATCACCAGATGTAGCTGCTCAACCTGAGACCAGAACTATGAACTGAAATAAACCTGTTTTCTTTATAACTATCCCATCCTGCTGCATTACTAGCAATAGAAAACAGACTGAGTGAGTTCTGTAGTCTAACTGCATTATTACTCTGCTATAATAAAACATCCTTATTGTAACAGTGAAAATGGAAATAAGCTAAACATTTAACAAAGAAGGAATGGTTTCAGAAGTAAGGCTACAGCCATGTATTGTGCTATCATCAAAATAGTTGTCATAATTGGAACAACACGGTAAATATGTTTGTAATTGACCATTTAGAATTTTGTAATGTACAAGGACATTATATAAGACTGAATATACGCAGAAAATATACACATAGACAAGGTCTAAGAGACAATATAGAAATATTAAAATGGGCTTAAGGAGCTCCAACCCCAGTACTGCCAAAAAATTAATAAAATAATAGGTTTAAGAATAGCAAGATGCCAGGTACCGGTGGCTCACACCTGTAATCCTAGCTACTTAGGAGGCAGAGATCAGAAGGATCGCAGTTTGAAGCCAGCCTGGGCAAATAGTTTGTGGGACTCTATCTCAAAAACACCCATCACAAAAAAAAAAAAAGGCTGGCAGAGCAGCTGAAGCAGTAAGAGCACCTGCCTAGCAAGCATGAGACCCTTGGGTTCAAATGCCAGCATTAAAAAGAAAAGAGAAGATGGTCAGTATAATTTTTTTAAGCAGAGAAAAGAACACACAAAATTTATTGCATGCTAAAGCATGGGTGTTTTAGGCTCTAGATTTTTTTAAATTGCTAATATCAGGCATAAGGTTTTGAAAGAGGAAAACTAGCTAAAAATAAGTAAACATACAATTAGTGCCCACATGAAAACCAATCATCTAGAAATGTTAAAAATACCAAGACTTTTAATATTTACAAAATATCCCATCCCTCAATAGGCAAATCTACTCAGAAACATAGTTTGGCACTGGTTCATAGAATTGGACCATCCAAAGAAATGGTGCAAACCCCAGCACTGACCACAGACGTCTGTGAGTCAACAATGTACACATCTGCCTCAAATTCAACACGAGGCTACAGGGTAGCTCCATGGCAGACTGTTTGCCCGGTACCACAAAAATGAATAAACAAATAAGTACAGCACAGCCATAGAGCCAGCTCCTGCTAATATCCTCTCCAGAGTGACAGAATAATGCTAACAGAAATCACGCAGTGGCCACCACTGTAATGACGCAATTTGCAGAAACATGGAAGGACATAGGCAAGGACCGCTCACTTGTCTGAAAAGCAGGGGGAAGTCCTCGGTGCTCTCAGCCTTCCGGATGCCTTTCCCTCCGCCGCCTTCAGAAGCCTTGATCATCAGTGGAAAACCAATCTTTTCAGCCGCCTGGGGGTGAAGGACAAACAGGCCTCTTCAGAGGTGAGACGGTGGCCACCAGGGGATGGAGAAGATTCTAGCACCCTGGCTGGCCCGCAGGCCTGCGGTTACCTCCAGGCCCTCATCTACATCCTTCACACAGCCCTGGTTGTAAACAGCTTCTGGGACACTAATCCGGTTCCCCTCCTGCAGGCCGTCCTCTGCCCACTCCACCGTCAGACCTGGGGAGGCACAAGGTAAGCTGAGTCCTCCAAGGACAGCACCAACACAGCCCTGCCACCATGGGGCCACACACAAACTGCACACCCACGGCCACCACCCTGCATCGCTAAGGACTGACTCTTCTTGCATGGGAACTCCAGCTTAGCACAGCTGAGAGCAACGTGAACCTGATTGCAAAAAGAATCCTACTTCAACCCTAGGAGTCACTCATCCAGGAATCATTATTTCCTAGAACCACATGAAGATTTCACAAACAAAAACAAAAGTTGGAACTTTTCAACCTTTAGAGGAAAATATCACATTGAATAGGTTTTATCCTATTTATTTTTTAATTTGTTCTAGAAATTCCACTTTAGAAATTTATCCTGCGATGATTAAAATACAACATGCAGATTTAGCTGTAAGATTATCAAAAGCTCCATTCCTTTGACTATTTTTTAAAACTTTAGGAAAAAACTAGGAAACAAAATAAACTATATAATCACAGAGGATTATTAATTAAATTAGTACATCCATACAATATGATCCTATGCAGGCACCAGACATGGTGATACACACCTATCGACCATTCCTAGGATTCCAAGATGGGGACTAGAGGGAGGAAGCAGAAAGCGTGCCTCCTAAAGTAAAATCTTGGAGAGACGCTGGAGATACACCTTACAGGAAAAACCACTGAGAAGAGGCAAAACTTTGACTCCTCCACACCTATCACCCCAACTACTTGGGAGGCTGAGGCAGGAGGACTGTTAATTGAGGCAGCCTCAGCAACTTAGTAAGATCCTGTCTCAAAATAAAATGAAAAAGGGGAATGATGGAGGGCTGAATTTAATGAAGATATATTGTAAGCACTTTTGTAAATGTCACAAGGTACCCCCAATACAACAATGTGATTAAAAAAAAAAAGACAGCAAAAATAAATAAATATTTTAAAAAATAAAAATAAAATGAAAAAGGGCTGGAGAGGCTGGGGTGTGGCTCAAATGCTAAAACACCTGCCTAGCAAGCCCCTGAATTCAAACCCCAGTTCCAAAGGCAGGGGGTGGGGGGGCAGATTATATAGCTCAGTTGGTAGAGCACTTGCCTTGCATGTGCAAGGTCCTCGGTTCAATCCCCAGTACCACATACCAATTGTTACCTAAATGATGTGAATTATATTTATTGACATAGAAAGATGTTCATTAGTGGAAAAAGAAGTCACAAACTAGGAAAAATTCTGATTACAGTGGCTCACACCACTACAGGCTACTTGGGAGGCTGAGATCAGGAGGATTATGAATTGAGGCAGCCTCAGGAACCTCAATAACCAGAGCCAAAACTAGAGGCATGGCTCAAGTGGTAAAGCACCTGCTTTGCAAGTGCAAAGCCCTGAGTTCACACCCCAGTCCCACCAAATAAAAAAATTAAGTAAAAGGACAGGGCTGGAAAACAGGCTGAAAAGGTAGTGTTAAAAATGTTCAGCGGGGTGCAGGATGACAGTGGTTTCCATTTCTTTTTGTATTCACATTTTCCAAGTTGGCTACAACTAAGTTATATACTTGCTTAATGATTTAAAATTTTTTAATGAAAGAATTTTAAAAAGCATGGTCCTGTCAGCCTGACTAGCCCAAGCAGTTCCCCCAAAGAGAAAACCAAGGTCCCTTACCACTTCCGCTCCAGGGCAGGGTTGGGATCTGCAGTGTCTGAGCCACGATGGTGGAGGCAATCTTGTCTCCCAAGGCCCACATGGCCTCGCTGGGGGGTCCTGAGGAGTCGGAGAGAGGAGAGCAGAACCCAGTCAGCCACAAGACCCTGGAGGCCGAGTGTCAAACGGGTGCACAGTGGCAGGGCCAGGTGGGAGGCAAGAGGACAAAAAGGAGTGCCCTGAGCCAGAGGCCAGTGGCTGACACCTATAATCCCAGCTACCGGACAGTCAAGATTGGGAGGACCACAGGTCAAAGCCAGCCCAGGCAAACAGTTAATGAGACCCTATCTCAAAAATACCCAACACAAAAAGGGCTGGGAAAGTGGCTCAAGTGGTAGAGCACCTACCTAACAAGCGTGAGGCCCCGAGTTCAAACCCCACTATGGCCAAAAAGAAAAATGCTCAGGCCCCCACTCCCCAGGAGGTGAACTGCACTTCAGCAGCAGGGATGAAGAGCATCTGTTAGTCTGCTGTTGCATCAACTTCCCACATCTGCGTCCTAAGCCTGACCTAAGGCACCACCAACCTGTGTGGCAAACACAAAAGTCGCTTGGAGAGGAAGCGAAAAGCTGGACGCGGAGGAAACCAGCACCTCAAAGAGCTACTATGGGGTGGCAAAGTTTTTCTAGAAAGAGCACAATAGGAAAGACTTCCAGCTTCATGAGCCTGCTGGGCTCTGTCACAATTAACTTGCCCAGGACAGTCGGCTCTCACGCCACCTGCATCAACACCTGAGGACCCAACTAACCACAGATGGAAAGTATTTTTTAATTGCACATTTACTGAACGAGTACAGACTCTTAATGTTATCATTCCCTAAATAATACAGTGTAACACAGCATGTACAGTGTTTCAGTAGTATCAGTCATCAGGAGAAAATTTAAAGTATGCAGGAAAAGCTGGGTGCCAGTGGCTCATGCCTATAATCCTAGCTACTCAGGGGGCAGAGATCAGGAAGATCCCAGTCCGAAGCCAGTCCACACAAAGAGTTCTCAAGACCCTACTCAAAAAAAGCCCTTCACAAAAAAAGGGCTGGTGGAGTGGCTCCAGGTGTAGGTCCTGAGTTCAAGCCCCAGTACCACAAAAAAAAATAAATAAATAAAGTATGCAGGAGTTCGTATACAAATACTGTACCATTTTACAGAAGGGGCCGAGCATCTGTGGATTTTGGTATCTGGGACTCAAGGGACACGTACAAAGTAAATAAATATGTTCACAAGAGTTGGCAGAGTGGCTCAAGCGGCAGAGCACCTGCCTAGCAAGCAGGCGAACAAAAACGTTCACACATAAAAATCCTGCAACCAACTGATACCAACAGATAACGAGTATCATTTTTACCTAACGAGTGGCAGCAATGAAGGACTCTGGTCCTAAGAGGTTAAGGTTATTCTAAAGATCCCAGAATACTTCAAACATGGTGGCCCTCTCAGAAATGTGACCCCCCCCCCAAACCTAGTCAGAAATCTGAACCTGGCTGAAACTGTAATACCAACAGAAACACAGCAGAGGGCTCCACTGGTCCTGGCATCATTCAGCTGTGGTAACCATGGTAACAGCTCCTACTTCTGTGGCCTGGAAGAGTCATCCATGTGCCCACTTGCTCCTCACAAGGAAAGGGTGAGGCAGAAAAGCAAACTGAACCCCCTTTGTCATGCAGTACTGGAAGGAGACACTGACTCAGGTAAGCATCGCCTCCACCCACCCCCAACCAATGCCCCATTTCCAGCACATGGATGGATAAAACACTTACCTAAGAAAGCAATCCCGTGTTTGCAGAGCAGCTCGGGAAGTTTGGGGTTTTCGGAAGCATGGCCCCAGCCAGCCCACACTGCCTGCAGGTGCAGAAAGGGGTGAGCAAAGCCCTCCTGCGAGACCCCAGCACCCATCCCATCCAAAACTCTGAACAGCTCGATCAGCTGCTCCAGAGTGCGGGCGCCAGCACTGTGGCACCTACCTGCACGGGGATTCTCTTGGCGATGTCCACGATCAGCTCCACGTTGGCGTAGTTGTTGTTATTGGGCCCTCCCGGCACCGGGACATACTGATCTGCCATCTTGATGTACTCTGGAGTTGAACAGAGGGAAAGAGGAGAGCTACTGACGGAACGAAATCAACTGCAGAATCTGGGAGGGGCAGCCACGTTCAGCCACCGACAGCTTGACTGTGACAATTCCATGACAACAGTGGACACATGGATAAGAAAGTTTGAAGAAGCCAGATGCCAGTGGCTCACGCTTGTAATCCTGGCTACTTGTGTAGCTGAGATTACGAAGATCAGGGCTCAGGCAAAAAGTTCGTAAGACTCCATATGAACCGATGACTGGGTGTGGTGGTGCATGCATACCATCTCAGCTATACCGGAGGCCAATGTTGGAAGGATCACAGATCTCAGATCTAGGCCAGCCTGGGCAAGAAGCTTGAAAGACCCCATCTTAATGGAAAAAAGCTGAGGGTAGTTTTGGGCACCTGTCATCCCAGCTACAGCAGGAAGCATAAAATAGGAGGACCATGGTCCAAGCTGGCCTGAGACCCTATTTCCAAAATAACCACAGCAAAAATGAGCTGGAAGTGTGGCCCGAGTGGTAGAGTGTCTGCTCAGCAAGCACAAAACCATGAGTTCAAACCCTAGTACCACCACCACCAAAAAAAAAGAAAAAAAGAAAATTTGAAGAAAACAAAATATGATTTTATTTAGGTGAAAACAGGTGTCCTTTGTACAAGGCCTGAAAGGGAATAAAAGGAGACAGTCTGTCCTGATGATGAGGTTATATAGGTGGATTGTTTTACTACTACTTAAGTTTGTCTTAACATTGTTTTACCACTAAATAACATTTGTGGTTAAATTTTACTTGTGGTAAAAAATACATAACATAAAATTTAGGATCCTAGCCATCTCTGGGTGGGCAAGACTGGGGATTGATCTTGGAACCTTATGCTTGCTCAGCAGGCACTCTACCACTTGAGCCACTCCTCCAGCCCTGGGATCAAAACCATTGATGAGTTCAGAAGTGTTAAATATATTTGTAACATTGAAGCAGATCCCCAGAACTTTTCACTTAACAAGTTTGCAACTGTACACACGTGCACAGCTCCCCCCGCAAATCCCTGGAAACCACTGTCCTATCCTGTGTCCCTATGAACGTCACTACTCCAATGCCTTGTGAGTGGACTAATACAGTATTGGTCTTTGTTGTGACTGGCTTATTTCACTTAAGGTCCTCAAGGTCCTTACACCATGGTCCACCCATGGTATAAAATGACACTATCTGACACTATTGCATTTTTTGTGGTGGGGAGGGGGACAGGCTACAAGCGATAGAGCACCTATCTAGCAAGCACAAAGTCCTGAGTTCAAACCCCAGTACTGTGAAAAAAATAAAAAATAGGGCTGGAGGTGTGGCTTAAGTGGTAGAGCTCCTGTCTAGCAAGCGCAAGAGTCTGAGTTCAAATCCCAATACTGCCAAAAAACAAAACTAAATGAAAAATAAAAACAAAAACCATAATGAGCTAGGTGCCAGGGGCTCATGCCTATCATCCTAGCTACTTAGAAAGCTGAAATGGGGAGAATAGTGACTCAAGGCCAACCTAGGCAAATAGCTTGTGAGACCCCCATCTCCAAAATAACCAGCAAAACGAACTGGAGGCGTGGCTCAAGCAGCACAGCACCAGCTATATAACCTCGAAGTCTTCAAACCCCAGTCCCACCAAAAGAAGGCAACTGTCAGTGCAAGGCAGAGCCCAGGGCCTATGCTCTGAGAGGGCTCAGGGGATGCTGGTACAGTGTGGCAACCCCTGAAGCATTTCTAAAAGGGGAGGCATGAGACCTGACTCAAAAGATCCCTTAGGCTGCTGTGTGGAGAAGAGGCTACAAAGGGTGGAGCCTACTCCAGAAAACAAGCAAATGGTCCCACAGTTACTGAGAGAATGCCATGTCTTCTTTCTGTCTTAAAAAGAATATGTGTGGTGGCTCACGCCTATAATCCTAGCTATTCACTATTCAGGAGGAAGAGATAGGAGGATTGCAGTTCGAAGCCAGCCCAGGCAAATAGTTTGAGAGACCCTATCTTGAAAAAAACCCCATCACAAAAAAAAAGGGCTGGTGGAGTGGCTCAAGGTGTAGGCCCTGAGTTCAAGTCTCAGTACTGACAAAAAAAAAAGAGTATGAGCTTTATTTATTTTCTTTTGGTGGTATTGGGGTTTGAACTCAGGGTTTCTTGCTTGCTAGGCAGGCAGTCTACTGTTTGAACCCTGCCTCCAGCCTAGAATGATCCATCTTAACACAACTATTGGTAAAGAAATAGAAAAACGAACAAGTGATTAAAACACAGCACCTAACAGCTGTAGGAAGCAACATCTGGAGTAAGAGAGGTGAGACCATGGGCGGCCCTCACAGATGGGCTTTCCACTCTCCATTCCTCTAAGGCACATGGTTCACGCTCCTTATCAGCAGACATTTTAATTAAATAAAAAGGAAAGAGCAAGTAAACACAGACTCCTGAGAGGTACCCCGGGGCCTGGAGCGCGGGATGGATCTGCCTGGGCAGGGTGGAGGAGTTGGAGGTAGGTGGCGAGGGGCCGGGGGTCCAGTGCAGGTACCTGCATTGGCTTTGAGGTCCTCAGGGGTCACCATGACCACAAAGCGGATGGCCCGCTCGTTGCGGAACATCTCGTAGGCCCACCTGCGGATGGAGCGCATGCACTTCACGGCGGCAATTCCGTTGTTGGCGATGAGCACCTGCAGGGGACGGGAAGGGGCTGGCGGAGGCTGCGTGTGACCCTCGGTGCACCGCGGTCCAGATGCGCTCACCTCTCCCGCGCTGTACCTCTAGAGCTCGGCCCGAGCAGATGCTCAGGCTGCCAGCCCCACGGATGGATGAGCGAGTGAATGGGTGAGAGAGAATTGTGATCATGGTGGCACCCTCTGGGCACCTTTAGCATTTCCTATGAACCACACTGGAGTAGGTGTATTTTACCTGCTTGGTTTCATTTCATCCTGGCAGCAGCCATTTCAAAGAAGTTTTATCGTTTTCCTTCTTGAGGGTTAAAGACACTAAAACTCAGAGTGAAGACCCTCACCCAAGGTCAGATGGCCAGTAAGCAGCAGGGCTGGGGCTCAGGCCCACGGTCTGATCTGTGCTTTGAACTCACATGCTGCCTGTGCTTTCTAAAGGTGAAAGGTCCCAGACTGGGTGAGGAGAAACAGAAGCGAGAGGCTGGCTGTCCTCAACAGCAAACAGCAACAGCAAGGAGCCTGATCTCAATTTCTGATTGTCATGAACTTTCTGTGTGGTCTTAGATAGATCCTCTCCCTCTCTGAGGTCAGATTGGCTGTCCTCCTGGCCTGGTCCTCAGAGATAAACCAGAAGCTCTAGTATTCTTGTTTTAAAAGTAAATCAATAAATTAGTGCTGGGCACCTGTAATCCCAGCACTCAGGAGGCGGAGGCAGGAGGGTTGAGAATTTGAGGGCAGTCTGAGCTACACAGTGATACTCTGTCTCAAAAAATAAACACAGGTAAGTAAGTAAGAAAGGAAGTAAATAGGGCATGTGGCTTCAAAGCTGTGACTGAGAGCAATTCCATCATGCTGAGTCGTCCTCCATTGCTGCATAACCTTGGCAAGAGCCCGGAAGGGCGAGTCTCATTAGGGATTTGAGATGTGACCTCCTCTATTTTACGGAATGGAAAAGCCAGGGTGGATGAGTTCATGTCCTGTGAGCAGCCACACCAGGACTCGACCCCAAGCTTCCTGGCTGAAGTTCGATGATCGTCCTACCCTGTCAAAAGTGGCTCTCGAGCCTGGCACAGGTGGCTCACGCCTGTAATCCTAGCTACTCAGGAGGCAGAGATCAGGAGGATCATAGTGCAAAACTAACAAAAAGTTTGCAAGACCCTATCTCAAAAAAAGCCATCACAAAAAAGGCCGAGTGGCTCAAGCGGTAAGAGCACCTTCCTAGCAAGCTTGAGGCCCTGAGTTCAAATCCCAGTGCTGCCACCAAAAAAAAAAAAAAAAAAAACGCGGCTCTCAGGAAGGAATGGTGAAATGGCTGGGCTGTGGCTTTCACAACCAAAGCAAAGCTTGGTGCGGAGGGAAAGCCGTTTGTTCCAGCTTCCTCTGCTCCCCAGGCTGTGGCTTTCCTGGCTGTGCCAGGAATCCAGCACGGAGGGCAAGCCAAGGTCAGCTCCTAAGCCAGAAAACACATCAGCTCTGGGTGGAGGCCTTCTGTGGCCATCCAGGTCTTTGGGCTCAAATTGAGCTGGCTCCACTGATGAGTGTGCAAAAGTGCAGCTTCTGGATTCTTCCCAGGAGACTGAATCTGAAGGTCTGAGTTGAGGAACCTGTGTGCTGAACCAGCAGCCGGGCTGGGAGCCTATGTGTGTCTGCCATTCTATACTGGGCTGGGGATGGGGGTTCGGGAGGGATTCAAATCCCAGCTGTACCACTTACTATGACCCTGCACAACCAATGTCAATGTGTGACTCCCAACAGGAATAACTAAACAGCAGGGGCCCAGGCCTTCATGAGAAGGGAGAGGGACAGTGTAGGCCTTCAAAAATGGCAACTCTTAGCATTGCCCTTTCCGTTAGTCATTCCAGGACGTAAGTCTCCTGTCCTCTAGGAAGCACTCTATGCAAGGCAAAACCTCAGAGACACAGGGCTAGGTTTTATGCTTCCTTCCCAAAAGTCCAGAAAGCAGCCCCTTTCAGAGACACACCCAGCTTCCTGACCATGCCGAGGCCTCAGTCTTCCCCTCTGTGAAATGGGACACCACACCTGTATGAAAAAGTCCTGAAGTCAAACACCCAGCACCAAGTGCAGTGAGAGGGCAGCCCACGTCCCTCTCTGAAGTGTGAGAAATGGGCTTGAAGCTTGTTCTTCCATCCCAAGCCTGGACGAGGGGCCCCTCTACCCCAACCCAGCCCCATCCAGAGCAAAGGACCCGCCTGTACCTTCTCGATGACCCGATTCCCCCCAAAGCGTGTGACAAACTCGGCTGGGGACGCAACAGTAAAGTCTCTGTGCAGGTCCAGTTTCTTGTGCTCCCGGCCCCTCTTCACCAGGTGGAGTCCAGACATGCTCGGTCTGCAGAGGGAAAAGACAGAGTGATGGGGGAGGAAGGCTAGGACCCTGGTGGAGGGGGAGAGCTCCAGATCACACCCCCACCGCCTTCACTCTCCAGAGACCTTGAAGCAAGCCACAGGGGGCTCGAGGGCAGAAGAACCAGCTCTCGAGCCAGTGGTGAACCTGCCTGCCTTCCGTGGCCTTCTCCCTGGCGTCCCTAATTTAGGAACACAGACACTGAAAACTTGTAACAGGGATGGCTCTTACAACCACTGTAATGCTTCTCTCCTTCATGCACTTTTCTGTATACGAATTCCAAAACTTTGAAAACACTGAAAACAATTAAAAAAAAAAAATCACAACCAAATAGAGGAGCCTTGCTCTGCCCCTCCACCACCTTCACCAGAGGAAATCACTCGTGATTCTTCTGGCATCTTCATATTGCAAGGATCTAAACAGTATGTGCACACAGTCATGCACATACTGTTTCATTAGCTTCATTAGCTTGTGCTTAATGAAGGGTGCATTCAGAGAAATGTGTGTAGGCAATTTCACTGTTTACGAACATCATGGAGTATACCTGCACAAGCTATCTATGACATCCTCAGGCCATAATTTTTTTTGAGACAGGGTCTGGCCTCAAACTCAAGATCCTCCTGCCACATCCTCCCAAATAGCTGGAATTACAGGCGTGAGCCACCACACGCAACACTAGGCTATCATCTGATGGGACCACCGTCAATACACACAGTTGCTCATTGACTGAAACACTGTTATTCGGCACATAAGTGTTCTATCTTATGAGTCAGCCGTTTGAGACGCCATCTATGGCCTTTCCATGTCAGAGATGAAGCTTCAGTTCTTTTACATGGTCACTCATTCTCTTCCCTCCCCTAGCTGTTCAATAGCACTACACTGTCACTTGGAAAATTTGGTACTCAGCCTCGCTGTATTAGCTGTGATCATTTTTATAGATGAGAGTATGGCAGGCAGATTCATTTCCGTTTTCTCTTTGTTTCCTCCTGGAGCTAAGGATTTTTCTCTTGGTGTTCCTCATCCCTGCTGCTACTTCATCCCACTCCACCCGCAGACTCCCAAAACACTTAAGATAATCGATTAGCGCCATCATTCTTGCAGTGGCGACATTCCTCCTGGAGGTTTCTATTCTGCTTGCACCTGCTCTGGCTGTTCTTGAAACACCCCCCCCCAATCATGGTGGTGACAGAATGTCACTTCCCTGACATCCCTAGAATTCCTTTTGCCTTTCCTCAGAGTAACTGGGGGGTTGGTGCTCTGTCTTTCTCAGGGGACCCCTTTGTTTTGCTGGGGCACATCCTCCAGTAGTTTCACTGGTTAACAAGAAGTGTGTACAATGGCAGGGCAACGGACAATGATGCCCTCGAGATGCTTGTCCTGAACTGGGGCACCAGTGGCTCAACTGTAATTCTAGCTACTAAGGCAATCAGGAGGATCAAGGTTTGAAGTCAGTCAGGGCAAAAAGTCCACGAGACCCTATCTAAAAACAACCAGAGCAAAAACAGAGCTGTCAAAATGGCAGAGCACCTGCCTAGCAAGCTTGAGACCTGAATTCAAACTCCAGGACCACCAAAAAAAAAAAAAAATGATGCCTGTCCTGCCCCCAGATTCCCGGGGCGCTGGTCACCACCTCTCTACAGATGCCCTTTGAGTCTCTGTGGCATCTCCTGCTCCCAGTCCTCTGTGTGCTGCCCTTCCTTGGTTTGCCCTCTGGTTTCAATGGAAGACACCCTAAGTAGCTTGCTAAGAGCAGGTACTGGGGGAGGGGATTTGCAGTCTTACACATTCTACAGCCGTCCTTGTCATGCCCTCGTCTTCAACCCTGTCAGTTGACAGGGTCATTGTAGAGCGTTTTTCTGAAGGAAAATACCCTCCTTCAGTCTTGGAAGCCCCATTTATTTTATGGCTTCCAACATCGTCCTGATACCTGATCCTTTGTAGGTGGCCTGATTTTTCACAGGTGAAGTTCAAAGGATCGTCTCTCTGTCCCCATATTCCACAGTTTGACACGATAAGCCCAGGTTTGTGTCTGCCTCCGTCAGTAAGGCTGCAAACCTCAGGCACTGTCCATCTGTCGTTCTGTTCTGTTTTGTTTTTACGGTACTGGGGATGGAACCCCAAGACACACACTCTACCACTGAGCCACCCCAACCCTCTCTATTTGGAGACTCTTGTTCAGGGATTTTGTCTTCAAATATTTCCTCATCTCTTTTTTTCTCCTTTGTCTGCTGGAGTCCCATCTTATTGTTTGGATGTTGCAATTCCTAGACTAGTTTCCATGAGCTCCCCTCTCTTCCTCTCTTCTTCTTCTTTCTAGGGATTTTTCTCAGTCTTCTAACCATATCCTGCAAATGTTCCCTTTTTACAGCACCCATTCCTCTGTATGCAGCACCCTGTCTGACCCCTGTGATGACATGAATAGTTGTTTTAAGTTCTCTTCTCCAGAATGGTTTTAGCTTCTTTCAAGTTTCCTGTGTCTGTTAGTTTGTTAGGGCCTTGTCTTCCATTTAAGAAACTGTACCTGAGGACTGGGGCGTAGCTGAATGACTCAGTGCTTGCCTTGGAATGAATCCCCAGCACAAGGAAAAAGGGAAGGGAGGAATGGAGAGAGGGAAGGAGGAATTGTATCCAAATGTTAAGCATAGAGCCTGTGGTGGAGCTGGCTGACCCTGAGCTCAGCAGAGGTGACTAAAGGGACTATGTGTTGGGGATCCCTGAGTTGGTCTCTTTAGAGCCATCTCCCTCAGTCAGATTCCCAGGGAAAGGTCATAAAGTAATGAGGCCAAAAGTCACTCAGGGGTCTGAGGCCCACTGCAGTTCTTAGGGCTTCACGTCCTGTTTGGGGTGCCACTCTGCTGTCAATGTCCAGTTCCAAGTCTCCTTGCCTTTCCTCCCCCGCCACCTGCCTTGGTCAGGGTAGAAGTGCACAGCCTCGGCCACCTAGAGCAGGCAGGAGTCTGTGGTCATCACCCAGTCCATTGGTCCTTCTTGCTGTGGTACTCCCCTTCCTGCCCTCTCAGCCCAGTTCTAGAGCAACCCTCCATGCTGCCAGCACTGTGGCACTCAGGGGTTCTGTGGTGCAGATCTGGGGCTGGGTGAGGGGGGCTGGCTCTCCCAGCTTTCTTGGTTCTGCTCTGCCAACTACTGTTTGTTCATCTGCTTTCCCATTTGCAAAATGTCAGGCTCCATGGGTTTCAATGGATTTCTACCTCTTTAAAAAACAAAGCAAAAAACAGCCAAGTGTGGTGGTACACACCTGTAATCCCTGCACTCAGGAGGCTGAGGCAGGAGGATTACTGGTTTAAGGCCAGCGTGGCTACCCAGTAAGATTCTGTCTCATAAAAGTTAAAATAAAAATAAGAGCGCTGATGGAGCGGCTCAAGTGACAGAGTGCCTGCCTAGCAAGAGTGAGGCCCTGAGTTCAAACTCCAGTACTGCCAAATAAATAAATAAGAAATAGTATCTTTGCTGTGCCTTGGCAAGGTTTTATTTGTTTGTGTTTGCAGTACTGGGACTTGAACTCAGGGCCTACACTTGAGCCACTCCACCAGTCCTTTTTTGTGATGTTTTTTTGAGATAGGGTCTCACAAACTATTTGCCCAGGCTGACTCCAAATTGCTATCCTCCTGAGCAGCTAGGACAGGTGTGAGCCACCGGCACTTGGCTTGGCAGGTTTGACTGGAACACAATGAAGTGCACACACTGAGTCCATTTGGTTACCTGCCCACGTGGAAGCCAGGGCGGGAGCTGTCCACTAGGGTCTGGGTTAGAGAGTAACCACTCAGAGGGGTGTCTGGTGGCCACGTGTCATCGGGCATCCCTGGGAGGCCAGGGATGAGGAGGTTCTGAACCTAAAAGTTTTGTTGAAGACCTGACGGATCCCAAAGAACCAGCACACCACTATCTACTATCTGAGCAGGGTCAGTAAAGCCAGAGAGCAACAGAGCAGTCCAGGAAGAGGAATTCCATTTTACAGATGGGCAAACTGAGGCCCAGGCAGCCAAGTCACCCAGCAAGTCAGCAGATCTGGTGGTCTCTCCCCTACACCAGGCCTTCTCATTCACAGGGAAGGCTGGAAAAGTAGCGGGGGTGGTTGTTTTCTGCTGCGTAAAGGTTCTGTGTCCAGTATGCTCCCCATGGGAAAAGCCCCCTACAAAGGGGCCTATCCCCAGTGTAAGCCACCAGAGGCTCTGCCTGTCAGAAGAAAGACTTCTGAGCCTTGAGAACCAAAAGGGAAATGAATGGCAGAAGCCCAGACGTTATTTCCAATAAGAAGTTCTCTGCTCACCTGGGCTTAAGCACAGAGCTGAATGAATGAATGAGCAGAGGGAAGAACATGGGATTCCTGGCCTTGAGATGACATTTCTGCCTCCTGCAAACTGCAAAAGGATCTGCTCTAAAACCTCCTAGCACTGAGCCACTGGAAGGATGCCGCCTCGGGAGTGCTTTCGAAGGTCGATGTCCTCTTGCAGATGTGAACAGCTTTCATCATAATTGCATTCCCCAAATCAGCACAGCAAGATTGTCTTTAAGCACTTTATTTATTTACAAGAACAGGCACAGATGGCCTGAGGACCATCATTTGCAGACCCCCATCCAGGGAGAGAGATTAAAATGTCAACAGCCCTATGTCAGGAGGTTGAATATGGGTGGTTTCTGTTTCCTGCTCTTAGTCTAAGTCTTAAAAACATTTCCTATAGTGTTTATATTATTTTCCATATGAAAAAGCAGTCTTTAGGGATGCCCAAAGCCACAGTCAACCCAGCATCCCTTGGGCTATAAAATGTAAGATTATTCTCATCTGTAGAATGGGAATAATAACCCATACCCCATTAATTAAATCATACATAAAAGTAAGGATTGAATATGGCTTTGAGAATTACAAACATCAACGCACAGGAATAGTGTCTAGCTCAAAGTAAACACTATTATTTTAATACATCCATGATCAGACTGCTAATCTATTTTTTGATTTAAACATTAAT